GAGGTGGTTGCTGCTGCCACTCAGTCTTAACTGGTGGGGGTGGTGAGGATCCTCGGCCTTGCCTGGCCCCAGGGTCCATCTCCAGCCACCCGTGTGCCCCCGCAGGGTGTGGGACTGGCTTCCCTTGTGGCGCCCTTGCTGATCTCACAGGCCATGGGCCTGGCCCTCTATGTCCTACCTGTGCTGGGCCAGCACGTGGCCACCCAGCACTTTCCCGTGGCCGAGGCTGAGGCTGTGGTGCTGACACTGCTGGCCATCTATGTAGCTGGCCTGGCTCTCCCACACAACACCCACCGGTGAGGAGCTGGGCTGGGTGGGCACCAGTAGGGGGCACCCTGGACACACAGGCAGCTGACTGAGCCCCTTGCCTTGCAGTGTGGTGAGCTCAGAGGCCCCAGACAGGGGCTGGATGGCGCTGAAGCTGGTGGCCCTGATCTACCTGGCACTACAGCTGGCCTGCATCGCCCTCACCAACTTCTCACTGGGCTTCCTGCTGGCCGTCACCATGGTGCCTGCTGCCGTGCTCATTAAGCCCCACGGCCCCCGGTATGTGCTGGTCAACCCCCTTGCCACCCACAGGGCCTATGCCCCTCACCACAGACTCGCCCTCACATAGTACCCTTCCACCCCGGTTGGTGCCTGTGCCCCCAACTCAGAGCCCACCTGACCCCGCTTCTCCACCCAGGCCGCTCTATGCTGCTCTGCTGGTGCTGACGAGCCCAGCAGCCACACTCCTGGGCAGCCTGTTCCTGTGGCGGGAGCTGCAGGAGGCGCCGCTGTCGCTGGCTGAGGGCTGGCAGCTCTTCCTGGCGGCGCTGGCACAGGGCGTGCTGGAACACCACACCTACGGCGCCCTGCTCTTTCCACTGCTGGCTCTGGGCCTCTACCCCTGCTGGTTGCTCTTCTGGAACGTTCTATTCTGGAAGTGACGTCGGCTTGCCCTGTGGCATGAAGACTGCAAATAAACCAGTATTTTGCCTCAGCTGTCCTGGGGCTCCTGGCCCGCTGTCCCTGGTCCGTGTGGGCCCCGGGTCCTGAGGGGGAGAGGCTCTGCCTGCAGGGCGTGGCATTCCCACGCAGCCCCTTCCTGGAGGGCACTGCCCTGGCCCACTTCCTGGATGGCACTCTGCCAGCCCCAGGGGGCTCTGCGCATCCCGGCCCGGTGCTGTGGGGGTCGCAGTGCTGGGGAAGAGGCAACAGTGGGCAGGGCTCAGGGGTCTGACAGGAGCGGAAGCAGGCAGAGACCTCCCGGTGCCACTGTACTCAGCGCTGGGGCTGTGGGGCTGGAGCTAGAGCCCTGCAGGGGAGGCTGGGGTGAGGAATGGGGGCCCAGCCAAGGCCAGGACCTCAGTGTGGACTTGGGATGGAGCAGAGAGGAGCGTCCAGCCCAGCTTCCTTGGAGCTGAACCAGGCCAGGTGCCCATTGTGGACACGGTGGGGGAGCCCACCCGGCACCCCCCAGAAGCAGGCAGTCTGTGGGGTCGCACGCAGTGCCCCCAGGGAGGACACTGATGGGCCAGCACAGAGAAGTGCTTATTGTTCTGAGACCCCCAAAAGGAACTGGGACAGCAGTGTCGTCTGTGGAGGGAAGAAAAGCAACATCATGTCAGGCTGGGGAAGCTCTCCTCTCAGGAAGGCGAGGTGTTCCTGCCAGCACCCCAAGGGCTAGTGAGTGCAGCCCTCACCGGCCTGTGTTCACCGCAGAGCTGCGCCTCCTGGAGGATCAACTCCAACCATGTTCTTGCAGTACCGCCTGTGGCCCGACAAGCCCCCAGCCCCTTGTGGTGGGGATTGTCTTTCGTTAGCTGCTCCTGGTCCACGGGGGGCGTCGGTTGGCACAGCCACAGGGTCAGCACCCAGAGGGGTTTCTTGGAGCCTCTCTCCAGAGGTCTCTGCTGGTCCCCTGTTAAGGAGGCATGTGCACTCTGACCTGCATTGTGGGCATCAGGGTGGGGCAAGGGTGCGAGAGACCCACTGTGACTAGCAATCTGTCTTTGGCCTGCTGGTCCCCGAGGTGCTAGAACCTCTATTCACTTTCTATGTGGAACAAGGGTCCTCAGGCTTCCACCCCAGGAGCGCCTCCCAGGCTGGCCTCTCTAGGTCCCTCCCCCAGTCTGCCCAGCACCACGTGTCTGTGGGCCTCCTGTCATCCAAGGCAGGCGGACATCCCACTTTGTCAGGGCCTCTTGTAGTAGTCTCGGTCCCTGTGGGCTGGCATCTAACACAAAACCCCTTCCAGCCAGACTTTGGCCTCAATCAACCGCCTTTCACTGGACTTAGGCAGTCACTTGAACACAAGTCATGAAAAGACACTAAGTCACTGAACATACAAGTGGGGACCAAAGCTAAAAGACCGTCTTGCCCTGACTGGTGTGGCCCCGGGGGTTGGGCATCATCCTGCAAAACAAAAGGTCACCCGTTCGGTTCCCAGTCAGGACCCGTGCCTGTGTCACAGGTTCAGCCCCCAGTCGGGTGGGTACAGGCAACTGATCCATGTGTCTCTTCTCTTTCCTTCTCCCACCCCCTTTCTAACAATAATGTAAAAACAAAAACAAAGGTCATCTCTCTTGTGTCTGAGCTCACCTGTGCAGGATTTTCCGGGGCTGCACACAGGAGCGGAAGGGGGACCGTGGGAATGACAAAGCTGACCTGTTGGGGAGGCGGCACTTCTGTTCTGATTTTCACTGTCACGTGGCTTTTTTTTTTTTAAGCCAGGTGGTAAAGATGTAGGTCAGATGTAAAAGGGACGAATATAAAACCCTGAACTTTCCTCTGAAGATGTGTGGCACAGTAGCAACTGCACCCCCAACACCAGTTCTTAGTCAAAGAGCCCCACTTTTGACTGGAGCACAGGCCACCCCCAAATAAGGGCACTCCCAGTCGGTCTGCAGCCAGGTGTCACCGCGTGACCACGCTGTGGCTGATAGGAAATGAGCAGCAGCTTCAAGGGCAAACTCTGCACGAGACCTCATGCAGCCTAACCTTCCCAGCCCACCTCCCTCCTGCCCGTGGGACTGTGGGAGTGACGGGTGGGAGACGAGGGACAGCCCACACTGAGGGTCAGGAGCCGTCACAGCAGCCCCTGGTTGCTAAGCCCCTGAGCTTCTTAAACAGGGACAAGGAAAAGAGAGAAAACTTCACCTTGTGTAAGCCATTGTTATTTGGAGTTTTCTGACACTCTGGTCTGCTTCCAGCCCATACGAGAGTGGCTACTGCTGAACCAGCTCACATGCGGGCCCTTAGGTGGTGCCAGCTGCACAGATTTGCAAGTGTGTGTGTGTTGTGTCGATAATCGGTATCCAATAGGAAGTCCTCCCTTGCCTCCCCAGCCCCACAAGGGAAGGCCAGTGGGGACAAGCACTTTCTCATTTGCTGCCGTTCTCCTGGCACAGAACCAGGCACACCACAGAGTGTGGAAGGAAAGAGCCAGAGAGACCCAGTGAGCTCAGTCACTGAGTCCAGAAGGAAGCTCCAGGGGTAGACCTGCTGCCTTCCACAGGGGCCTGGAGGTCTGCCCGTGTGGGGTGAGGGCACCAGCAGTCGAGGGCTGAGGCCTGGGGACCTTCAGCCACGTCTCAACACCCGGCCGCCTCTCAACTACCAGGCTGTACACAGATGCCCACCTTGGGCTTGGGGTGCCTCCAGCAACTGTCCTGGGCATCCTGGGTTACCTCTGTGCCCTCCACGACCCTTTGCCAAGTCACCCACGCCACCTGAGGCTTCAGGAGTGCCAGGACCTTAGGGGCTGCTCGGGGCGGCGTTACCTGTGACCTGCTCCCACGGCCTCCAGCTGTCCACACTCAGGTCCTGGCTCCCACCCAGCCCCCTCTTCTGAAGCCCTGTCCACGTCTCCTCCACTTCCTGGACATGCCAGAGTCACCTCTAAGTGCGTTGTCCCAACCTGACCACCTCCTACCCGGCCCCAGGGCTCTCCTGTCTGCCTCCATCACTTCACCTGCTCGGGGCCCCTGGCCGGCGTGCGCACACCGTAGGCCGTCGGGTCGGTGGTAACTGGCGTCCCTCGCGCAGCACAACGCCCCCCAGGTTCACCCTGGGTTTCTTGTCTACGGCTGAACAGTCAGTCCACGGTGTGCACCTGCCACACATTTTGTTTACCCCTTCATCGAGTGACGGACATTTGGGCTGTCTACTTTTTGGCTGTTAATAGATAATGCTGCCTTCAGCTTGCCTGAACTCAGCCAGTGAGACACCTTCACCCTGAACTCTCCGTCGCCTTCCATGGACTTTCGCTGGAAGCTGCCCCCTCCCAGCTGTCTTCTTTCTCTCTGTGAAGGTTCTCCCCTTTGTTCCCTGGACTTGCCTCTAGTTCTCGGTATCGCACGCTTGTCCCGAGTGACAATTCGCTGCTGTTCTCGAATAAACTCCCCCCTCCCTTTTTTATTTTTTCTGGGAAAAAAAAAATGGATGTTTTATTTTAAGGTCAACTTTACCTTTGGTTAATTCCCAGAGCTCTGAAAAAGTTGACTCTGACAATTACTGCTAGTTTTTTTCCTTGCTCTTAATGCGGGGGGAAGGCGCAAGCAGGCTTCCCGAGGTCCTGACTCCCCACCTTCACGGCGGACTGCCCGCGGGTTCCCGAGGAGCCGTGGCTGCCGTGCTCCTGGCGGCTGTGCCGGATAATCCGAGTCGCTCGGACGCGGGAGAGCAGTGTTCGCGCGGGCCCGGCAGCGCTGCGGGGCCTGCCGGCGGCCGAGGGGGCGTGCAGGAAAGCCGGGGCAGCGCGAGGCCCCACCGACCCCGCTGGGCGGCCGGTCTGCCCTCAACCCGGAGGAGCGGGCTCCGCTCTCAGGAGAAAGCCCGGGTAGTTGGCCGTTGTCACGGCAACAGGGAGACTCGACGCGGACAGCCCAACCACTGGTCCCCACGACAACCGAAGCAGCGCCGCGGGAACCTGCCCCGCCCCCGCCGGATGGACCCCGCCCCGCCCCGCGTCGCGGGCTCTCGCGAGCTTTAAGCTCCCGTGGCGCCGCAGGGGCCGACGGGAGCGGCGGCCGCGCTGAAGAGGGCCAAGATGGCGGCTGCGGCGGCTTCGCTTCGCGGGGCGGTGCTGGGCCCTCGGGCCGCGGGGCTGCCCGGCGCGCGCGCCCGGGGTCTGCTGTGCGGCGCGCGGCCCGGGCAGCTCCCGATGCGGACGCCTCAGGTGAGCGCTGGCCCGTATCCGGCCGCCGTGCGGCCGCGCAGCCCGTGAAGGTCACGGCGGGGAGGCACCGGGCGCGGGCCAGCCAGCGCGGGAGCGACCTCGGCCACCCGAGGCCCCTGCTGGGCCTCCGCTGCCGGCCTTCCTGGTGCCTCCCGGGGGCAGGGCCGGGCGCCCACTCCTGCGAGCAGCAGAGGCGCTTCGTGTCGAGCGTGAAGGCGGCGGGGCGGGCTGGCTGTCCTGTCGGGGCTGAGGGCTTTCCCGAGGGGGCGCGCTCAGGCCTACTCCCGCTCTGGCCTTCGCGACTGGGCCGGCGTCCTGAAGTGACCTCAGCCTGACCTCGGCCAGCTGTTGTGACCTTGGCCTGCCCCAGCACCCTTGCTCACCTCGGCGTGATCCCCGGCCCCGGACCCGAGAACACGCCTCACACCCAGTCCTCATGGCCGACTCACGGTCGGGGGGTCAGCGGCGCGGAGGAGTGGGGTGGGCAGTGGCGCAGAGTGTGCTTTTGGCGGTCCGCGGGAGGTGGCCAGTGCTGGGTGATGCGGGGGAATGGTAGGCCCCGAGAATCAGATTCCCAGGTAGGGCAGGGCGGTGTTCTGGCAGGCGCTGAGCGGGGCTCTTGCAGGCAATGCCCTTGTCGTCGAAGTCTGGCCTGTCCCGGGGCCGGAAAGTGATGCTGTCAGCGCTGGGCATGCTGGCGGCGGGGGGTGCAGGCCTGGCTGTGGCTCTGCATTCTGCCGTGAGTGCCACCGACCTCGAGCTGCACCCTCCCGGCTATCCGTGGTCCCACCGCGGCCTCCTCTCTTCCCTGGACCACACCAGGTGTGCGGCTGGTTGGCTGGGGGAGTGTCTGGGTGGACTGGGTGGGGCGGGGTCCCTGGCGCCACTAACCCTTTCCCTCCTTATTAGCATTCGGAGGGGTTTCCAGGTATATAAGCAGGTGTGCTCCTCCTGCCACAGCATGGACTATGTGGCCTACCGCCACCTGGTGGGCGTGTGCTACACTGAGGAGGAAGCCAAGGCCCTGGCCGAAGAGGTATGCACCCTGGAGATGCTGCAGAGGACCCACGGGTCGGGGCTCTCAGGACAGAAACCAGGGTTGTGATGCTGCTCTCCATGGCAGGTGGAAGTTCAGGACGGCCCCAATGAGGATGGGGAGATGTTCATGCGACCAGGGAAGCTGTCTGACTACTTCCCCAAACCGTACCCCAACCCTGAGGCTGCCAGAGCAGCCAACAACGGAGCACTGCCCCCTGACCTCAGCTACATCGTGCGAGCTAGGTACACCAGCTTCTTGCAGGGGTGGAGGGAGGGGAGGAAGGTCCAACCCACACCAGGGCCTGAGGAGGCATGGATCTGGTCTCAGGCACGGTGGTGAGGACTACGTCTTCTCCCTGCTCACGGGCTACTGCGACCCGCCCACCGGGGTGTCACTACGGGAAGGCCTCTACTTCAACCCCTACTTCCCTGGCCAGGCCATTGCCATGGCCCCTCCTATCTACGACGAGGTCTTGGAGTTTGACGATGGTGAGGCCCCCCACCCTGGCATGGTCACGCTGCTTCCCCCGCTGCCCGGGATGCTTCTCTGGGTTCTCCCTGGCTGGGGAACTGTCTGCTGTCTGCACATCTGAGCTGGCTCATGGTCGGCCTTCACAGCCCTGTCCAGCTCTGGGCTGTGTGCTGAGGCGGTCCCATCCCTTCTGAAGCCTTGGGCAGGAACCCATCTACCATGGAGGGGATGTTCTGAGGGTCACCGCAGGTTGGGTAGGGACCCCAGCAGCAGCCCTCATCACTTGTCCTTGGCGCAGGCACCCCAGCTACCATGTCCCAGGTAGCCAAGGACGTGTGTACCTTCCTACGCTGGGCATCTGAGCCAGAGCACGACCATCGCAAACGCATGGGGCTCAAGGTGAAAGGGCTGGGCGAGGGCGAGGGCGAGGCTGGGAGCCGGGGTAAGGCTCCTTTGCGCCTCCCTCCTCTGACCTTGCCTCGTCCCCAGATGTTGATGATGATGGGCTTGCTGCTACCCCTGATCTACGCCATGAAGCGGCACAAGTGGTCAGTCCTGAAGAGCCGGAAGCTGGCTTATCGGCCACCCAAGTGACCCTGACTAGTGTCTGCTTGCTGTACTGCTTGAATGGGCCCTCAAGCCAGGAAGCTAGCTGGGGCCCCTTGAGGCCCCAGCTGGCCCTCTTGGCAAAGCCCCTCTTCTTCTGGGACAAGAGGGGATGGGGCAGGAGACAGGGCTCGAGCTCCTTGTCCTCCAGCCTCTATCATGGAAATAAATTAAGTTTCTCAGTGGACACATGTGAACCATTGTGTGATGGGAGTGCAGCTTGCAGGGTACACCGAGACTAACACCTTTGCTCTCAAGAGCTCCCAGGGACACCCCGTCTGCTGTGGCCAGCATTGCCCTGCACGGACTGCTGGCTGGGAGCTCACCAAGTTCTGGAGGTGGGACAGGAAGCAGAGGACTTTTAGAGAAGGTGGCCGCACTTGTTGGGGGTACTTGGAGAGTACTTGATCACAGATGAAAAGGGCCTGACTAGACACGGCCCAGGGATCTGCCAGAGTAACAGCCAAATGTCAGTGTCTTGAACCACTCGTCCATCTCCTGAGGGCAGCAGGGAGGGAGCCCTGGGGGGCTTCCCAACAGGAGGGCCCGAGCCCAAAGTAAGACCTGCCGGAGCCGTTTGGGGCTGGGAGAGGGAGACCCACCCTGCCCAGAAGCAGAGATAAGCAGGCAAGACTGGGTTGTGCTTCCAGTCTTGGCTGGACAGATGGAGGGGAGCCGTGTGGCGGAGTATCTGGGTGTTTGTCATAGGATGGTGCCTCTGGGCAACCACAGGCAGCTGGGGCTGGGTGCGAGCAGCAGCAGGTGGGGGACGGGGGAGGGGTGGGGGTGGGACAGCAGTGGACCTGTCCTTGGTAGGAGGGCTACGGACATGTTGCCTAAGCAGGAGCCCAAGGCCCTGGCTTAAGACTCTTAGCTTCTGGGCTTTTTCTTGTTCCCAGGAAGAGAATGTTAAGACATCATGGCTGGGGCGGGCAACTCAGGGGGCAGAGAGCTGAGTGGGAGAAGGGAAGAGGGTACACACCTGAGGGGCTTTGGGCGAATAAGGGGAGGCCTGGCTAGCCGGGGCTGGGGCTTACAGAGGGCCCTGGCAGTGGTCGGCCGCTGAGGTGGGGGCTCTGTAAGCCCTTGGGGTGTGGGAAGGCGTGTCAGCGCGATGCCCCAGGACCCCCGGAGGTCAGGCTCCGAGTGAGCTCTTCAGCAGCCACCTGGACTCAGCAGGGGAGCCCCAGAACTACCCCGCTCCACCTGGTGTCCTGGGTGGGACTGTGCCCTGCACCCCATTCCAGCAGCCCAGTCCGCACAAAGTGGGGACACTCAGTTGGCTCAAAATATCTTTAATGGCTCTGGCTCTATCCCCAGGGAGCTGTCAGCGGAGGTCCCCGGAGAGGTTCAGGAGGGCATCCAGGGACCTCGGGCCTGGAAGGGAAGGGCCATCCTCTCCCCTTGTTACCTGGGGCAGGGGGGAAGATGGTTCATTTTGCTGTTCTGCCACCCCTCCCCCTCCTTCCCTCCCCTGCCTCTAGTACCATTAGTGACTGCTGGGTGGAGGCCGCAGGAAGTGGGTCCCAAGCACAAGGTCTCTGAGTGTTACACATCTCACAGCCAGGCCGGCTCAGGATGTTGATGAAGGTGCAGGAAGGGCAGGGCCAGCCAGACTGGAGAGGGGGTACAGTTATTGCTTACTGCCTTCCTGCCACTGCCCCATAGCTGCCCAGGCCCATCTTACCTGGTCCCTTGCCTACCTGAAGGGGGCTGGGGAGGCTGGAGCTGGCTGGCTGAGGGGCTTGGGGCAGCCCCAATGACTGAGGAAATAGGCGGTGGCTTAGTTCCCCATCCATCTTCTGGGGACGCTGAGGGCTGCGTCCTATAGTAGAGGGGGTGGGGCTCAGGGCCGAATCAGGCTACACCCCCCCCTCCTCATCCCACCCCAATCAAGGACTGACCGGGGGTTTCTCGAGGAGCTGAGAGTAGGTAGAGGAAAGCAGGGTCCCTGTCCTGCTGGACTCCGTAGGAAGCGAGGCTGCGCTCTGGCACACACAGGCACTTCCCGATGACCCAGCGCTGCACTGCTGGCGGAAAGCCAAACTCCGAGAACACCTGGAGCCAGAGCATCAGGGCCCCACAGTGTCACCCAGGATCACCACCCTCAGCAGGGCTCCCCAGGTGAGCCCCTGTGCTCACCTGCTCCTGGAGGGTGGAGATGGTGCAGTGGGGGTAGACTTGCAGGGAGATGTGGGCGGAGGACGCAGCGTCTTCAACTGTGACCTGTAGCCTGGGCCAGAATATGGGGAGGGGAGTAAGGGGGTGCTGGGGAGGGTGGGGAGGGTGGGGTGAGGACACAGTCCCAGGTCTCACTTGATGGGGCCAGGAGGGAAGCAGCTCTCCTGGAGCTGAACACTGAGGGCCACGTGATGCTGGGCCAGGATGGCTGCTGCTTGGGCTGCCCCCTTCTCATCCCCACCCTCAATGGCCTGGGCCAGGCGCCCAGCCAGCTCTTCTGCAAGGAAAAAGAGAGCACGTCATCACAGCTGAGCACATCACCCAAGGCCCCGAACCCCCTCTGGCCACCTGCCTTTACCTTTCTCCATCAAGTCTCCAGGGTGTGAGGAAACATCCACCTTGGGTTGGGGGGCCTTGGGTGTGTGCACTTCAGAGGGGCCGGGTGCAGAAACAGGGCCTGTCTCTGGGCTCAGGGCTGGAGGCAGGCTGTCACTGCCTAGGAGGGAAAATGTGGGGTGGGCTGGTAGTCTCCCGAGACCCAGCCTCCCTGTGGAGTCCTCACCTAGGCCTCTGCTCTCTGACCTCGGTTTTCCAGGACCTTTGCCTCCTCCCTCCTCACCTCAGCCCATGCCAGTGACCTGCCTTGACCACACTTCAAGCCAGGCCTTCCCCCAAGCCATAGCCCTTAGAAGGGTCAAGGGACCTCTGGGGTCCTGGCCGACTGCTCGCAGAACTGGACCTGCACTTGTGCTCTGGAGTCCTCCAGATCCTCTGCCGTCCGGTACTGCCTTTGTTCCTCCTCCACAGAGGCCAGGCCACTTCTTTTGGCCTCCACAGGCCCCGTCAACCAGCCAGGGACGCTTGCTCCCTTGACCACACAGCAGAACCAAAAGCAGGTGCTCAGGGGCCTGCCCCTCTGGCTCAGCAGGAGCCCTGCAGACAGCACAGCCTCTTCTCGGTGCCTTTAGGGACCTCCGCCCCCTCTCCTGGCTACCATCAGCACAGAACCCCTCAGACTGCTCCATTCCAGTCCAGCCCTCCCGGGGCCACTGTCCACCCTGGGCGTCCTTACAGAGCGGGCCGCTCTGTCCCCCCGCTTCCCTCTCATGTGAGGCTCAGGCCCTCAGCATTGAGCCATCTGCCCTATGAGTACCAAGCACCAGGCCTGGCCCAGCCTCGGCTCATGCTCTTGCCTCAGAGCTGTGAACCCACTGCTCTCTGGCCACATGGGTCACAACACCTCAATCTTCAAATTTCACACGGTGTCACTTTAAGGCCTTCACTGCCTCCCTCCCAGCACTACCATCCCTTCCCCCATTTGACAGAACTCTATTTACTAATTTCATGTGTCTGCCTCACTTCTAACACTGCAAGCTCTGAGAGGGCAGAGATTTGAAGTTTTATTCATGGTAACCTCCAAGGCCTAACGAAGTGCTTAGTCCAGAGTGGTACCAAGTACACCTGGTGAGCGAGCCAATGAAAAAAGCCTTTCTTCCTCGGCAAATGCAGTGTTGTCTGGGCCCCCCTTCCATCACCTTGTGTGGTTTTCTTCCTGCCCCTCTAGTGGCACTTGCGATGCACTTGTGGGCTTTCCCTGATGTACTGTCGACCTGCCTGACCCTCTCCTCTCCACGCTTCTCTCCTGCTGACCTTGGTTAACCTTTCCTACCCCAATCTTGACCTCTCCAGAGCCCCAGCGCCAGCCCCCATCCACCTGCTCCCCCTCCCCCCAGATGTGTAAGAACTGGGCCACCTCCATGCCCTCCCAAACTGGCCCTCTCTCTAGGAGCCTGAGGGTATTTGGTCCCCCATCTTTCTGTCTCAATCACTAACTCTTCGATTTAAACAGCCAAAATTCCAGACAGTTCCATCTCCTGAGCATCTCTGGAAACATCCTTCTATCCAGCCTTGTCTGCACCACACCTGCAAATGCAGGTCCCCACCGATCTTAAGGAGCTCAGATCAGAGCTTGTCACTCTCCCATTGCTCTTGATACAATGTCTTCTCACCCAGGTCGTGAAGGCCTGCTTGTTCTGCCCCTCCACATTTGTCTGGTACTCCAGGCTCCGGCTCTTGGTCTGTTCCTTTTCTCCACTTTCTTCTGGGCGCCTTCCCAAAACGCCAGTAGTGGGTAAGGTAGGCCCGTCTTTCCCCACTACATTCCCCATCCAGGCCTGGGAGGCCTGGGCTACTCCTGCTCTCTCCCAGCACAGTCCCTGGCCAACCAAATGAATCTCTGCTCCAGGGCACTAACCATTCTGTCCCTCCACGGTGGCACCTCGGATCAGGGCTGCCCACCGCTGAGCATCCAACGGGTTGAGGAAGTGCAGGCTGAGGGTCCCAGGCCCTCCTGGTGGAGGCTGCAGCTCATGCTGGCTGGGACCTCGGACGGTGTAGGAGACTGTCTCCAAGGGCCACTCCAAACTGACCTGAGAATGGGGAGAGTCCAGGCTCAAGCCACCCCCTGCACACGCTACATGAACAAAGGCTTATGAAGTAACATTTATAGACCACTAACGTTTTAAGCTCTTTAAGACTCCTTATCTTATAAAACTCTCATAGCAGTCCTACAAAGGTAAGTGCCAGCGTAATCCCCATTTACACACGAGGAAACGGAAACAAAGAAAGTAACCTGCTACTCGGAACTCGGGGCAAGTGGATGGCCCTGGCCTCGAGCTCTGCGCCCCGCCCCGCCCAGCCCCCTGGCCAGGCGCCTGCACCGCCCTCACTCACCGCCCCGGGACCCGCGCCTAGCAGCTCCAGCCGGAAGCGCCCCGGCCGCTTGGGGTCTGCGCTCAGCTGCAGTCTCCGCAACTGCGCCTCGGCGTCCGGCCCCGCGGCTAGCGGCCTCACAGTGGCGTGCACAGCAAGTAGCACCGCTGCAGAGCCTGGGTCCGAGGCCGCCACCGTTCCGCCCGCCGGCGGCGCCATCTCCGGTCCTGCCGAGTCTCGGCCCTCCGAGTCTGCTTCCGTAGGCTGGGGCCACAAAACGCCTGCGCCGGCCGGAAGCCGAGGCCGCGAACCTGGGGTTCCGGGCGCAGCCAGAGCGTCGGAGCCCGGGGACGGGCTGTTTTCGAATCTGACCCTTCGGCTTTGTCCAGAATGTACACGGTCCAAGGGTCTCCGGACACGAACGAGCGAGCGAGGCTGGTCCTGGAGGCTAGTACGTCGGGGCAAAGTGTCAGGGACTGACGGCCGAGCGCCGGCCAAGGCTAGAAGGCGGGCGCGGTCCCTTCGCCCTAGAGACTTGGGCGGGCGGGAGCTGCAGCCGGGCTGTCCGCATTTACCTGCCGGCCTGGCGAGACCTGGACGCCGCTCTCAGGACCCTTCTGCTTGTTGCCCTGTCACAAGTCTACCAGCCCTTCTTGGGAGCCCGGACGGCCACTGGAGGCGGAGCAGGCCAGGGGCTGCAACCAATGAGCGCCAGGAAGGAAGACGGACTCGGGCGTTGAGGAGAGTGACGGACAGGCGCCGCAGCCAATAGGTGTGGAAGAAAAGACTGAGCGGCGGGTAACGTTCCCAATGGCTCTCCGAGTTCTCGATCGCGGCGGCTGGAGCCGGCCATTCGGGGGCGTGGGGCCGGGCTTTGCGGGTGCTTGTTGTTGTCCGGACAGAGGAGGCAGAGGTCGCTCGCTCTCTTGCTCGCTAGCTGGGTAGATTGGTGGCGGTCGGCAAGCAGGTCGGTCGCGATAGTCGGGCGCCTGCGGGGGAGAGGCTATGTCGCAGTGGCAGCCCGGATGGGCCGGCAAGGCCGGGAGTAACGGGATGTCGCCGCGGAGCTTCTTCCCCCGGATACAGTACGGCCCGAGCGGAGGCCGCGGCGCCGCCCTCCGGTCCTGAGGATCCCGCGCTGTCCGGAGCCCGCACCGCCTTTTCACCCGCAGCGACGCCAACCGACCCGACCCGACCCGACCCGGTCTGGCCCTGCCCGGTCAGAGAGCGCAGCGCAAGCAGGTAGGTGTCCGCCCTGTGCCGTCTCGGGGCCTCTAGAACTACAACCCCCAGCCGGCCGCGCGCCCGAACGTGCGCGCGTCTAGGGAGCACGGCCTCCTGGGATTTGTAGTTTGCCGCGGCTAGGTTGGGGTTCCGCTAGGCCGGGGGTGGGGGACGGGCGCTGCGGGGTGGGCGCCGGAGCGCCCTAGCGGCCTGAGAATAGGTCATTCGGGTGCCGTGGGGCCTCGAAGAAACTAGGCACACTTTTGGAGAAGAACAGAGGAGCCTACAAGTTTCCTGTCTTCGGCTGAAAGCCGCTCCTAGAGCAGGGAAGAGTGCCTCTTCCAGGTGATTGCAAAACCGAACCCCAGGTGTTCCTAACCAGGTGGGACACCAGGTGGGGGTTCTTACCCTGGCTGAGGGGTCAGGCCTGAGGGTGGCTGCTGGAGTCCAGTCCCTTCTCAGGCTCTTTTGTCGGGTAGGGAGTGTTGAGGGAGATACGAAACCAGCAGCCCCTGGCTGAGCAGGATTCCTTGTGGCCCCCACAAGCCTGGTTCCAGAATGTGAGTGAGGTGCATGGGGTGTGGCTGAATGGGGGCCTGGACTTGCCACTGTCAGGTAACAGGGTCTCATTGCCTCTCCTGCCAGTGCTGAGGAATCGGGAGCAGGCTGTGGAAGGGACCCAGCATATTTACTTTGGCCCCATTTATGGGGAGGGCTAAAGGTGTAGATCCTGGGGCCACATACCCATGGGCTGGCCTCCTGTCCCCAGGCAGCACTAGCCCCTCGCAGCACAGGACCCGCTCCCAGAGGACATGAAGCTGTTGGAGAACTCCAGCTTCGAGGCCATCAACTCACAGCTGACTGTGGAGACTGGAGACGCCCACATAATCGGCAGGTGAGGGTGGGGCTCCAGGGGCTGCTGTCTCGGGGGTCGCTCTGCCCTGGCCCTGAGTCAAACCTGGGGCTGGCACGCTCCACGGTTGCACCTGCACCCCGCAGGATCGAGAGCTACTCCTGCAAGATGGCGGGCGACGACAAGCACATGTTCAAGCAGTTCTGCCAGGAGGGCCAACCGCACGTGCTAGAGGCACTGTCCCCACCCCAGACCTCCGGCCTCAGCCCCAGCAGGTGAGCCAGGGCAGGGCCTGCCCACTGGGGGCTGTCGGGTGCAGGGCAGTCCTGGGCTGACGCTTCTCTGTGCAGACTGAGCAAGAGCCAAGGTGGCGAGGACGAGGGCCCGCTCAGCGACAAGTGCAGCCGCAAGACCCTCTTCTACCTGATCGCCACGCTCAACGAGTCTTTCCGCCCTGACTACGACTTCAGCACGGCCCGAAGCCATGAGTTCAGCCGGGAGCCCAGCCTCAGCTGGGTGAGGGACCCACGGCCCACAGCTGTGCCCCCCCCATCCTCCCCCGTTGTCAGTGGCCCCTGGGCTCCAGCCAGTCCATGCGTGCTGTCCTGGCACCTCGTCAGCCCAAGCTGTGACCGTCCTAGGTGGTGAACTCGGTCAACTGCAGCCTCTTCTCGGCCGTGCGGGAGGACTTCAAGGCCCTGAAGCCCCAGCTGTGGGACGCCGTGGACGAGGAGATCTGCCTGACTGAGTGTGACATCTACAGGTGGGCCGGCACCCCTGCGGGTGGGTCCTGGGTGCGCGTGGCCCGTGGGGTCTCACACCAGTCTCACCCCACACCACCCAGCTACAACCCAGACTTGGACTCAGACCCCTTTGGGGAAGATGGCAGCCTCTGGTCGTTTAACTACTTTTTCTACAACAAGCGGCTTAAACGGATTGTCTTCTTCAGCTGTCGCTCTATCAGGTTGGCCGCTGCCCCTCACTGTAGCTCCCTGTTTGGCCCACCCTACTTCCGACTTGGTTCTCCTTGGACATCCTCCCTGGGGTCAACAGCAGGCCAGGGTGGGCAGTCCTAAGACCAGTTCCCCAACTCCCCCAGTGGATCCACGTACACACCCTCGGAGGTGGGCAATGAGTTGGACATGGAGCTGGGGGAGGAGGAGGAGGAGGAGGAGGAAGAACTCAGAGGTGGAGGCAGTGAGGGCGGACCTGAGGAGACCAGCCCCATGGAGGACAGGTGTGTGATGGTGGCGGTGGCCTGGCTTCCTGGAGCCTGGGGTGGGCAGGACAGGGTGGGGCTTCTCTGCCCAGGGGCGTCTCCTGGGTGTTAGCTCCTCAAGGCTGGCTGTGTCTCCCCCTCTGCCTAGGGTCCCAGTGATCTGTATGTGAGGAGGAGGAGCAGAGGCCTCAGCTTCGTCTAGCTTCAGCCAGCGCCTGGGCCTGCCCACCTGAGGGGCCCCAGGGCCTCCCCAGCTGCTGGCCAGACCCTGGCGCTGCCACAGCTCCAGCGCTGCCCATTTAGCCCTTTGGCTCCAGCCTTTGGACGGCCACTTACCCCACAGGCTCTGCTGCCCACACTGTGGCTGGACTGGACAGACGGCACAAGGCCTGGTGGGCACAGCCACTGCCCTGCCCAGACGAGCTGACACGGGCAGGGGCAGCTGGGCCACAGAGTTTATTTTTGTATTTTGTATGGGGTCAGGCCTGAGCCTGCACACTCCAGCCCGAAGGGCCTGAGACCCCGCAAGCAGGCCCCAGTGGTCATCTGCCCTGGGCTTGAGCTGGCTCTTGGAGCCCACCTATACTCCCCACCTTGCCCAGTGGGCAGCGTGCACTGAGTGTCACTTTGCTGCAGCTTGTTTGTTTCCAATAAAAGTTTATGTGACTTACTGTGGACCTGGGCTCTCTTTGGGGTGCGGTGGGGCAGGGCGGGGTGGGGGCGGGGCCTGTGTCGGGGGTGGGGCCTGTACCACCTGGTATCCTAGCAACAGACACAGGAGACTGTTAAGCTGCCTAGACCTGGGAAATGGAGATGGATGTATTGGATACAAGCAGTCCCTTTTCAGTAGAAGGCGACAGCCTGACCCTGGACTCAGACCTGTATGAAGCTGACAGCTATGACATCCCAGACCCTGGGCTGCTCAGAGAAAATGGTGAGGTGGTCTGGCCTCGGCCTCACGACGACCAGCCTAAAAGCAGCCCTCCCTCAGGCGTGGGCGCTTTCCACCAGGAATGCAGTGCCCCATGGACAGTCCCCTAGCCCACAGGACCCCCCAAAAGGCCCTGCTGCCCACAGCCTCTGGGTGGGGGGAGCCCAAGGCCACACAGTGACAGTGCTTCCACCACTGGCCCACAGAGCCATCATCCTCAGAGCCGGACTCAAAGCTTTTTACCAGGAGCTCCCAGTGGCGCAATATGACCCCCAGCGCCCGTGCCCGCAAGCTGTGGCTGCTGCTGCGTACAAGCCTCCACAGCTTTGTGGAAAAGGTGCGACTGGCCCCTGGCATCTGCCTAGAAGCCTCTTTCCTGGTCCAGCTCTTCCCCTAGGGGTCCCTATCATGATCCCAGCCCATCCTCTTGGCTACCCCAGGCGGGTGCAAGGCCTCTCCTGGGTGTCCCCAAGTTGACTGCAGGTCTGCCTGCCCCTGCCCGCAGGAAAAGAGATCCGAGTTGCGTGTGGCTTGCCTGACACACGGACTGGAGCCACTGCGCCGCCTGGAGGTGGCAGCAGGGCTATGCTCCGTGGCACAGGACCCAGTGGGTAGACGTTTCGTGGTGCTGGACAGCGCAGGTTGCCTGCACCTGCACAGAAAGGACGGCTGGGCGCAGGAGAAGCTGCTGGCCCCCATTGCCCTCAGGGGACTGGTGGCAGTGCCAGGCCCGCCAGACTCTGTGAGCCGCTTTGTGGGCTGGGGTCCCGCAGGGCTGGCCATACTGAGGCCGGACCTCAGCCTGCTGTGGCTGAGTGAGCCAAGGGTGGGTCGGGCACCCCACCACGAGCCCATCTGCTGCCTGCCGGTGCCTAACTTGGGGCTGCTGCTAGTAGCGGAAGCAAGCGGTGGCCTGGCACTCTGGAAGTTCCGTTTAGGGGGTCGCTGTCTGGTGCCTACTGGGTCACCTGTACATCCTCCGCCAAGCTCCACCCATGTGCTCGCTGGTCTGGCTCTGGGGCCCCCGCTTCCCCACCAGCCTCCACACTGCTTCGCAGCCTACGGCTCAGCCGTACTCACCTTTGACCTGCACACCTGGGCTGTCGTGGATGTGCACCAGAAGCTGCACAAAACGTAAGGGGGACCCGGGGATGAGTCCTCGTGGGAAAGCCGGTCACGGCAGGGGTGCGGGCACACTTACCCGAAGTGGTGCTGAGTCGGCGTGGCCTTCGTCCCCAGCACCATCTCCGACCTGGCGTACTGTGAAGAGGTGGAGGTCATGGTGACGGCTTCCCGAGACAGCACGGTGAAGGTGTGGGAGGCCGACTGGCAGATCCGGATGGTGTTTGTGGGCCACACAGGTGCACCACGACACTGCGGCCGCTGAGGCCCCTCCTCTCTCTGCCTTGCCTTAAAGAGCTCTGGGCTGCCCACGGTCCCTGCCAGCTCCGGCCATGCTTCTCTGCTGGTCGTAACCCGAGCCAACAGCTTCCCTTTCCTTTGTCCCTCGAGTGCCCCAGTGACCTGCACCCCTCCCGCAGGCCCCGTGACAGCTCTGGCCGTGCTCCCGAACACACCCCTGGTGCTGTCGGCCTCACAGGACGGGACGCTTCGCACATGGGACCTGCAGGCGGTGGCACAGGTGGGCGAAGTGATGCTCAACTACTGGGGCCAGGACATGCGGTCAGGCGGCGTGAACCGCCTACTGGCACCCGCCAGCCCCGGCTGGCCGGTGCTCTCCTTGCGTGCAGGCAGCGTGGAGCTCTGGCGCCTGCGCGAGCTGTACTCGCCACTGGCCCAGCTGTCAGCACCAGTGCTCCACCTGCAGGTGGCGCCCGCGCTGCCCTTGCCCCTGTGCCCCGCTCTGCCTACACGCCTCGTGTGCGCATGCGCAGATGGCTCAGTCTACCTCGTGTCGGTGGCTACGGGGCTTACCGTGAGCGCACTGCTGCTCGAGCCCGAGGACTGCGCGGCCGCCGTGGCCTACTGCTTGCCGCGCGAAACACTGTGGCTGATAACCCGCGCCGGACACCTCGTGTGTGCCAACGCGGCGTGCCACCCCATGTGCGTGCTGTACCGTGAGTGCCCGCCACCGTCCCCAGCGCCCAGGCCCTGCTGCCTGCACCTCTACAGCCACCTCATAGACCCCAGCAGTGCGTTTGCCAGCTGGAAGACCGTGTGCCGGCCCGGGGGCAAGCTGTGCCACAGCGACATCCAGGCCAGGAAGGATAAGAACCGGTAGGCGTGAGAGCCAGCGAGGGCCAGGCGGGCCTACAAAGTGCACACCGACAGGTTGTTGTCGCCCGTAGGTACCTGCTGGTGCTGGGACACACGGACGGCACCCTGTCAGTGCCGGAGTGGCACACATGGAAGACTGTCTTCCATACACAGGCGCACAGCCCCGGCCCGGTCATCGCCATTTCGTCCACTTGGAACATCATGGTGTCCTCGGGTCAGTACGTCCCACCCCCCCCCGCAGCCTGTGGGGGGAGCCCCTGCCCGCCCTGCCCAAAGGCGCAGCCCTGGCTCCCGCCCGCAGGCAGAGACCTGACCGTGAAGATGTGGCGCGTCTTCCCTTACGCCGAGGAGAGCCTGAGCCTGCTGCGCACCTTCTCCTGCTGCCACCCCGCCCTGGTGCTCTCTGCGCTCGGGAAGCGCGTCACCGTGGGCTTTGAGGACTCGGACAGCGCCACCTACGGTCTGGTGCAGTTTGGCCTGAAAAACAGCCAGCGCTATGATCACCAGCCCCAGGACGACCCCATGGACCACATCACCGGTGAGAGGGCAGGGCCAGGGTGAAGCCCAGGCCACCGTGCGGCTCTGGCTCCTGACCCTGAGCCCCGGGCCCTAGGCTTGTGCTGCTGTCCCACCCTCAAGCTGTACGCCTCCTCCAGCCTGGACTGCACCATCCGGATCTGGACCACAGACAACCATCTGCTGCGGTCGGTGGAGCCCCTGAGGAGGGGGGCGGGGGGGAGGGGGGAGGGAGGGCGGGGGGGGCCGCCTGGGAGCCGGGGGCAGCCCACTGGGCCCCCCTGCCTCTGCCCCTGGCAGAGCCTAGCGGGTCGATAGGGCCGGGGGAGCCTTGCCCCTCCTGCTGCCTCCACTTCCTGCTGTTTGGAGCAGGGCTGGGCTCTTTCCCTGCACGTCCCTCCAGGCTCCTGCAGCTGAACGGAGCCCCTCAGGCCCTGACCTTCTGCAACAACGGCGGGGACCTGGTGCTGGCTCTGGGCTCCCGCCTGTGCCTGGTATCTCACAGGCTCTACCTGCCCACGTCCTACCTGGTTAAGGTGTGCAGTGAGAACAGGGTGTGCAGATGGGGCTGCTGCAGTGGACAAGCCCCCTCGGCCGGGACTCCAGGCTCCTTTCCCCGCTCAGAAGCTGTGCCAGGAGGTCCCGGACGTGGTGGATGACCCTCCACTGCCACTGACCAGCCAGGAATCGCTGACCTCAGCCCAACTGCAGAGGCTCGCCAACCTGCATGGGATTTTCAGTCTCAGGTCTGCCAGCAGGCCCGCCGAGTGGTCCCAGGGGCCACCCCCCAGCTCCCCCGGGGCAGGGTCCAGCTTTGTGCCCCCAGCACAAGGTCCCAGGGCCCCCGGGCGCCTGGGGCCACCTGAAGCCTGTCTCAGCCCTGGCATCCCCGCTCCTGGCCATCTCTCATTTCCCGCTGGAAACGCCACTCAGTGTCCCACCTGTGTCCACCCCTGCCTGCAGCACGGCCTTGTCTTCCACCCATCGCCAGATGGCAGCACCTCAGCAGCCACTGTTGGAGGAGGTAGGGCGGGTCCTGATGCCCCCTCCACCCCAGTACCAGCCCTTCCCCCTGCCCAGGCGCAGGCCCCGCCCCTTCCGTGTCTGGGGCAGGCCCGGGACCCCTGTGGTTATCCAGGCAGCATGTGGCAAGGCTCTGGGAAGAATCGGCTGAACTCTGACCCCTGTTCCAGGACCTGGAAGCCTTAGTTGCCCGGGACCATGACCTTCAGCGGCTGAGACTGGGGCAGGTGGTCCCAGCAGCGCGGCCCCCACCCTCCGGTCCGCAGCAGCAGGAGGCCTTCGACAACTACCTGCGTCTGATCTACGGCCCGGCCCTGCTGGTAGGTCGGGTGCCCCCCCCCCCAGCTCTGACCCAAAGCCTCCCTTCCTCCAGGGCCTCTGACGCCCCAACCTGCCCTTGCTGCCACCCCCTCCCCCGCAGGGCGTCTGTTCTGGAGCCGAGTCCCAGCAGTGGAACACCATGACCCTTACAGCGGAGAAAGAAACCTGGGGTGTGTGCACCCTGCCCCCACCAGACTGGAGGGCACTCAGCCAGTGCTTCCCCCAGGTTGCCTTTCCCATCCTGCCTCCCCTCTGGGGACCACACGGCAGAGAATCCCAGGTGAGGCCTCCCACCCCCACCACCCCTCTGCCCTGCTCTCAGGGCCCTGGCCCCCACCCCACCCACCACTCCTCCTCTGTTGCCCCAGATGCTGGCCCATTCCTCCCTGAGATCCTCCCTGGGCCTCAGTGTGGACCTTCAGCTGCAGTTGAAGCAACTCCCCCAGGAGAGGCCCTCGGCCCCAGATGCACTGTCTTCCCACCTGCAGCACAGGGTGAGGGTCCCAGGCAGGTGGGATGCTGCCCGCCCAAGGCAGAGCTGCAGGGGTCCTGAGTCCATGCCTGGCTCTGAGCCTCTGCCCCGCCCCCAGGTCCCCCTGCTGCTGGAAAGGCGGCCCAAGGAGCTTCCCTCTAACCTCAGGGGCTTCTTTCCTGCTGCCATTGAGCCCTACAAGGTGAGACACACACACTCTCCAGAGGCAGCTCCCTCCAGGGGTCACCCTTCATGTGTACCCCCTCTTCCCTTCACTGCAAACCCTTGTGTCCATATCCGACCTAGGGCCACGCCCACCTGCAGCCCAGGCCCCACCCCTCCCCCACCTGCCCAGCTGTGATGCTGCTGCTCTGTGGGCCCTGACTGCTTGCACTCTGGGTGTGGCTGCCAGAGGGTCTGGGGCTCCTGGAGCAGAACTGGGCAAGCCAGAGCCTCGTGCCAGCTGCTTGCGCCTGCGTGCCCCTCCCCAGTGAGTGTCTGGGAGACCAGAATCTCCTCCCTTCGGGGGATCAAGATCCATGGGAGCTGGCCCCTGGCAACCCACCGCCTTCCCTCCCCAGATGCCAAGACAGGCCTCTGCCCCCAGCAGACCTCTGGCAGGATCACCGGCCCAGGCAGCCACTGACCCTTCCAGCTGCCGCACCACACACCCAAGCCCCAAACAGCCCCCCTCTGGGCTCTTGTCCCCCCCTGCCCCCCGCTTCTTATGGATATCCTTGGTCCAGAGCTGGCGGCCAAGCTCTGTGGAGAGCATGTGGGGTGTTAGGGTGGCCCAGATTTCCCTCCTCAGTTACCACAGCCGGCGCCTCCCTGGTTTCCAAAGGCTCTCTCTGCCTGTCTGTGCGTTGTGGGTAGCAGGGGTGGGAGACCAGTCCAGCTCTTGGAGCCGGGCTGGTGGCCCGGGTGCTCCGCCAGGGCAGACCCCAGGATGGGGCGGAACTCAGGCTCTCAGCCCACTGTGCCGTGCTCCACCTCCAGGACCTGCCGAGGCCCATCCGCTTCCCGGGCTGTGTCCCCAACTCCATGGTGCTGCAGCACATGTGGCCGGCCAGGAGAGTCAGGGGCCCTGGAGCCCTGGCCCGGCTCGCCAGCCAGGGCTCACTCAAGGCAAGCAGTGGGGCTGGGGGCTCAACCTCGGGCCTGGGGAGAGCTCTGCCCAGGGCCGAGACCTCCCATGCCAGCTGCCGGCCGCTTGCTCTGTCCACTCCGCAGTCGAGGGAGAGCCAGCAGGATGACTGGTGGGCGTCAAAGAGTAGGCGGCGCCACACCATGTGGCAGCAGAAGCTGATCCATTGGTCGGACGAGGAGGAGGAGCAGGAGGAGGAGGACGACGAGGTGTTGGATCTGGACTGGGCCTCAGACTTCCTGAGCCCCCACCTGGGGCTCTCCCAGGAGCTGCTGGAGTTCGAGGAGCCATGGGCCCAGGTGGGTGCCCAGGGCAGGGCTCCAGTGGGAGGAGTGGGTGCACACTCGGGTCCTGACGACTTCCTGCCCCCAGAGCTTGGCGTCCTTGACTCAGAGAAGCTCCAGAGACGACTCCGGGACGGAGGACTACTCCCACCCCCGCTGGTACCACCACGAGCACTCGCTCCTGGAGGAGCGCTATGGGCATCTGCCCAGGTTCCTGCGTCTCTTCGCCATCCAGAACTGGTTCAAGAAGCTGTTCCCCCTCTTCACCCTGGAGGTCCAGGGGACGCCTGGGAAGCGGGCTGGTGGGAGAGAGCCGTGCAGAGGCGGCTCCTTAGCAGCCGGTCCCGACAGGCGTACCCCGAAGTGGGCACGGTGGACGGCTTGGCCTCTCTGCTGCTGGACCTGCTGAAGGAGGCCTCCTGGGAGGACCGCGTGCACATCCTGCACGCCATGCTGAGGCTGGTGCCCGACGTGAGCCAAGACGTCTGCAGCAGGTTGCACAACATCCTCCTGGACCTGCTCAACCAGGACAAACCCCCCAGCCTCCAGGTCCGCCCCAGCCCAGCCCACGTCGGGCCAGCCCCGCCCTGCCCGCCCCGCCCCGCTGCGGCCTGGGCCTCCGGCAACCATCGCACCGCCTGCCTGTGCTCAGGTCCGGACGCAGAAGCAGTTCGTGATGCTGGCGCTGCAGCTGCTCCTGGCCTCCTCCCTGGAGGCCCGCGACGTGGTGCTGGAGCTCATGTCCTACTTCCTCTACTCGCCCGCCTCCTGCCGGTGAGGCCCACTCTTTGCGTGGCGTTCCCGCCAGCAAGAAGGCTTCGGGATAAGCCACCCTCACCTGTCACAGGTCTGAGCTCAAGAAGCTGCTGAACGGACTAGGCCTTCAGGACCCAGAGGACCTCCTGTTCAAGGAGATGATGACCTGGGTCCGGGACCTGGACCTGGAGTCCAAGGCCGTGCTGCGCGGTTGCTGTAGCCAGAAGCTGGAGGAAATGATCCACCACCTGCAGGTCTGGCTGGGGATGGGAGGGGCGGGCCACCTGCCAGTGGAGCCTCTGGCCTCCTCCTGGGAGAGCCCCCAAGTCCAGGGAGGAGAGCCAGGTGAGGCTGCCAGGTTCCTCGCCTCACTCTGACTCAGCGTCACCTGTCTCCCGGGTCCCCGGGGCTCTCGGGATCTTCCTGCTCCTTCCTGGGAGGGAGTCTGCATTGAGTCAGGCTGGGATCCAGGAACAGCACCACTCCCTGGGCTCCGGGGTGTCCTCCACTGGCCGCCTCCCCCGCAGGCGGAAACCTGGCATCCGTCAGTAGCCAAGTTGTCGGAGATGCTGCCCAAGGTCTCGGAGACCTCAGTGCTTTCGCCCCGGTCCAAGGAGACCCTGTCACCGACTTCCACAGTCTCCGGGGTACCCATCTACATCTCCGTGACGTCCTCATTCCACTCCAGGACGCCCTCCCTGGTGGCCTCGCCTGTGGAGCCGGGCTTGGCCTCCCAGGAGTCCCAGACCCATGGGCTGCTCTCACCGGTGCACACCAGGCGCACCTGCCGCACGCTCTCCCAGACGCTGGTGCCCTTCTCCGCCCTGGCCGTGATCGGGCTGCCCTCCTTGGACTCCGACGCGCGGCCCAGCCACCCGCTGTTCCTGGAGCAGACGGAGTGGTCACAGTCGAAGATAATGGACCTGGGGCCAATCGACGCCCTCAACTACTTCTGCGAGCAGCAGCGGGTGCGGCGGCTGAGCTCCCTGCGCACCCAGGAGCCCCAGAGTGCACACCTACACCCCAGGACACGGGGCCCCAACGCCGTGGTGCCACAGCCCCGCCCCCACCTGTGAGTGGCCGATGGCTCCAGCCACGGGCTGGGGCAGGGCCCACAGTGGGGGTGGGGGGCGGGCACTGAGGGCCAAGGTCGCACAAACCTGCCTTTCTACCACTCCAGGCCCGACCCCATTCTTCAGCTTCAGGAGACCAACATCCGGAGGTCTCCACAGAGACAGAGGGGTGAGTGGGGGCAGGGGTAGAGATTGGACTGTGAGCTTCACCCCCATGCCTGCCACAGCCTGGGCCCCACAGGGCCCTGACTTCACCCGAGGCCTCACTGCCCCTCTAGCCTCAGGACAAATGCTGTCCTGGCACCGGGAAGGCCTCACCCTCGAAGGCCCCATCCGGACACTGAAGCTGCCGCTGCCTCGGGTGGAAGTGCGGCCTTTCCCCGCGGACTGGCCCCGGCCTGCCCGTCCACTGCCACCCCTGCTCCTGCAGCCTGCCCTGCAGCGCTACTTCCTGCCAGACCACGCCGACCCCCGCAACTACAGCTGACCTGCTGGCGGCCTAGGCCTGACCCCGCTCCCAGCCAGCCTCCCCTTCCCTCCAGCAGGGGCTCGGGACACAGCTCTTCACTGGGCCGTTTGCCCCTGGCCCAGGCGTGGGCTGCAATAAAGTCCAGCCAGCAAAGTGGATGCCACATCTGTCTTTGGGGGCTACTGGGGTGCGCAGTGAGGTCTGGCTGGTGATGTGGGTGGGACTGGATCTGGGGTGTGGTCGGTCCATGGGGGGACAGCCAAGCTGGCGTGCTGGACCTATCTACCCAGGTGGGGTCCCCTCGTGTGGACTCAGCCCTGCTGCTCAGGCACTCAGCCAGGGCTCATCAGTCACCTACTGGGGGCAGGATGGGAGCGGGGACGAAGCAGCCAAGCAGCGGCCAGACACTCTGGGGAGAAGCGGATGTCTCGCTGCCCCAGGTGTGGGTGGGGTTTGTTGCCTTTCGGCTGGAAGGAAGAACCAGTGAAGGGACACCGCCTGCTTCATCCAAGAACCAATAAGGGGGCAGTATCCTCTGGACCCCTCAACCTCAACACCCCCAAGCGACAGACCTTGTCTGTGAAGTGCAGGGTCTGGAGCATCTCCTGACTGCCGTGGCCGCACAGGGACCCACGTGCGCGCTGGCTGCTTGGCCCGTCCCGGGCAAGGGCCCGTCTGGTTTTCACACCCTCCTGCTGGGCCGCCTGAGCAGCTCGCTCCCTCTCTCTCTCTCTCTCTCTCTCTCTCTCTCTCTCTCCTGTGACTGTTCTCCCCCTCCGACTCCACAGGCTCCTTCTCATAAGCTTTATGGTTACCGTTGGCCTCCCGCACCTTCCCCACAGCCCCGGAGCTGGGCAGCAGTCTGGATGTGGGGCTGCCGGGTGGGTGGCTCTCTCAAGGCCAACCAGGGCCAGGAGCGCCCAACCCGGAGAGCTTCGGGGCTGGGCGTTTTCATGAAAGGGGCTCTGCGGCCCATGGCGGTCTGCGTCTACGGGCGTTCGTGGTTTAAATTATAAAGCAATAAATGCTTTGAACATTAAAAACATGTGAAAGTCAGGCAAGTGTAAACAGGTCAAAAACCCACTAACCATAAAGGAAAATATTAATATGGTTTTAATATATAATTATGTTTAAATTAAGAAACCTGTTAACCTAAATATACCATTAAGAGAGTGAAAAACTAAAAGTGGCTCATCTCACCCTGGCTGGTGTGGCTCAGTGGACTGAGCACCAGCCTGTGAACCAAAGGGTCGCTGGTTCAATTCCCAGTCAGGGCACATGCCTGGGTCTTGGGCCAAGTCCCCAATAGGGGCACATGGGAGGCAACCAAACACTGATGTTTCTCCCTCTTTCTCCCTCCTTCCCTTTTCTCTAAAAATAAGTAAATAAATAAAAATAGCTCACCTCCAAAATATATAAAGAACTTCTACAGATCAATAACAGTAAGAAAAACCACACAGCCCAATAGAAGAATGTACAAAAATCCGGAATGGGATTTTCACTACAGAACGAGTCAAAGTAGCAAATACATAACTTCTCAGCAACAAGAGTGGACAAATTAGGGACACACAACAACCGGAGTGAATCTCTGGAGAATTACGCTGAGTGGAAGACAACCCAATCTTGAAAGATCACATTATGTCTCCATGTATAAAACGTTACGCAGATGAAGAGGAGGTTGTTGGTTGCTGGGGTTAAGGACGGGAGCGCCCAGAGGTCTTTGTGGTGGTTAAACCGTTCTGTTTTGCTTGTGGCATTGGTTACATAGAAGTACACACTTGTTTTTCACACTGTACTACAGCTACAGAGACTGTAACCATTGAGGTGCCTAAAACAGGCAAATTTATAGAGACAGAAAGTAGCTTAGAGCCCTGGGCAGGCAGCTCAGTTGGTTAGATCGTCATCCTGGTACACCAAGGTTGTGGGTTTGATCCTCCGTCAGGGCACTTTTAAGAATCAACCAAGCCCTGGCTGGTGTAGCTCAGTGGATTGAGCGTGGGCTGCAAACCAAAGCATTGCAGGTTCGATTCCCAGTCAGGGCACATGCCTGGGTTGTAGGCCACAGCCCCCAGCAACAGCACATTGATGTTTCTCTCTTTCTCCCTCCCTTCCCTCTCTAAAAATCAACCAATGAATGCTAAGTAATAAGCATTCTAAATAAGTGAAACAATTTCTCTTTCCTCTCTCTCTAAAATCAATACATTTTTAAAATTTTAATTTAATTAAAAAAAATTTTTAGCCCTAACTGGTGTGGCTCAGTTAGGCATCATCCTGCAAACTGGAAGGTCTCAGTTTTGATTCTGCTCAGGACACATGTCTGGGTTGTGGGTCAGGTCTCAGCTGGGGATGTGCAGGAAGCACTGGCCCTGGGGTTCCCCTGGGTGGTGCAGGCCAAGGTCAGCCCCCACCTATGTTTTGCCCAAGACCACCCTTCATGAGCTATAAAGCAATCTGAGATGGCTGCTACTTGTGCTGGACTTGGAGATTCCCAGGAGAAGCCAAGCCATGAATCTGGGCTGGCTGCTGCTGGTGCTGTTCTGGGGCTGAGTTCAGCTGTTGCTTGATTGAGAGGATTTAGGAAGCTGTGAATGCATGAGCCAAGACCAGTTATTCATATGGAAAAGCAGCGTGGGTGGGTCTATAAGCTGGGTGGGGTGGAGTCTCTGGGGATCTCCAGGGCGGGGCAAACAGTGTTAGCCAGTTTGATGGAGTCTTAGAGGTGGCACCAGCCCGACAGCCCTGTGGGGGGAGGGTTAAGAAAAGGGCCAATGGCTTCTGTTCTCCTCGATGCCAGACACTTCACATCCTCCCAGTGTGCCACTGGTGCCCTTCCAGCTGCGACCCTGGCGCTGGAGCTCGGAGGGAGTGAGTCTGAGTAGGTGAGTCCGTGTGGGTTCTTTAAGGGGAACTGTTGGGGCTCCAGCAGTTTCTTCGACCGACTCAATCCCCCCTGGTTTTTGCAGCCAGAAGCTGTGGGGGATTCTCTTCCTGGCCCTGGAGCCCTGGGCTGGGGGTCCTGGTGTGGGGCTGGGGCCCCTCGCTCCTGAGATACCCCTCCTGAATTTTTATCCGCCACATGTGGGTGAGAGAGCAGCCCGTTCTGTGTCTCCACCCCTCCTACCAGTCTGGATGGACGTGGCTTTGTGCTTCTGTAGCTGCTGGACTTCATTCAACGTGATTTCTGACGGTTCTCAGTGATGGTTGTTCTATACTTTAGTTGTAAATTTGATGTGGTTGTGCGAAGTGGCAAGCCATGTTTGCCTATGCCACCTACTTGACTGGAAGTATCACTTACTTTTTGTATCTTTTCACTTAACTTGGGAATAGTTAAGGTTCCCTAGCTGGTGATCACGGTGAATACTTCTGGTCCAGTGGGCTCTGAAGATGCACATTTTTGTTTCGGTCAAAAGTGCCCACCAGAGGGCATCATTTACCTGGGTTATCCATAACATTCCAATTCCATTCCTTGAGAAACACTCAACCTTTAAAAAAAAAAAAGATTTATTTATTTTTAGAGAGAGGGGAAGGGAGGGCAAAAGAGGGAGAGAAACATCAATGTGCAAGAGAAACACTGATCAGTTGCCACTCACACACCCCTAACTGGGGACCTGGCACCTAAGCCAGGCATGTGCCCTGACTAGGAATTGAACTGGTGACCTTTTAGTTTGCAGGCTGGCCCTCAATCCACTGAACCACACCAGACAGGGCAAGAAATATTCAACTTTTGTGGGTAGGATCTGTATATCCTAAGCATGTGCTTTCCTTGGAAAAGTGGGCACTTGCTTGGACTCATCCACCCTCTTCCTCGGTTTCCATGGAAATTTCATACAAGGTGAGGTGGGGATTGAGGCTACGAAGTGCCCTTCCCATGGGTCTTAGCCACAGGCAAACCCCAGCTCTTGGACCTATGACCTACAGACTTCAGGGGCATGCTGTCTCCAGTGAGTGGCTCTCCTGGGCATCACTGCCCCAGAGGTACTGTCCTGGCCCACAGTGTGAAATAAAAATAATATCAATCTATTGAGGTACTCGGAACCATGTAAAAGTAAAATATATAAATAGTTCACGACTCAAAAAATAAATGAGGGGAGAACGCTAACAGAAAAGATCTCAAATTAATGACCTCAGCATCCACACTAAGAAATTAGGAGGGAAAAAAACCCCAGCAAACTAATCAAAAGAAAGGATATAGTAAGGTCAAAGTGGAAAATCAATGAAATTGAACAAGAAAGCAATAGAAAAAAATTATGAATCCAAAAGGTGGTTCTTTGAGATCAATAACAATTGACAAACCTCTGGCAAGGCCTACAAAAAGAGAAACAAGACAGAAATTACACCTGCCAGGAATGAGAGGTGACCCCACTACAGGCGCTACATATATTAAAAGGATAGTAAAAGAATATTATAACGAGCTTCATGCCAATGAATTCCGCAATTCAGATGAAAAGAGGACTCATTCCTTGAAAGACACAAACTGCCAAAAGTCACCCAAGAAGAAAATGACAGCCTGAACACTCATGCATCCATGAAAGGGATTTAATTCGTAGTCGAAAAATATTCCCAGAAAGAATTTTAGGCCCAGACGCCTTCACTGGGGAGTCCCACCAAACACTAAGGAAATACGTCATACAACTTTCACAAACTCCTACAGAAAACTGAAAAGAAGGGAATACACCCCAATCCCTCTGAAGTCAACATCACCCCCAAAGACGTTACAAGAAAACTGCAGACGGTATCCCCCATGGACAGAGATGCGAAAATTCTAAACGAAATTTTAGCAAATTAAATACAATAATATATTCAAATGACACTGTATCAGGAGGAAAAGGGGGTCGTGCTAGGAATGCAAGGCTGGTCTGACACTGGAATGTCAATCAATGTCACTGATCATCTGTCTCTTCCAGCGAAGACGGATCTCTGCTCAGTCCATGATGGAAGAGGGCCGGCGTACTGAGTTAGCCACCAGGGGTCACACCGAGGGATGGGGCCACACAGGGGGGTCAACGTTTGTCCCTACGTGACCCCCACCGCCGCCTCTCACCACACGCGCGAATCACTTCCGCCCGGCGCTCAGCCCCACAATGCCCCGGGCTTCGTTGTGGCCCCGCCTCCGCATGCTGGTCCCACCCCCTGTGCCGAGTCCTCAGACTTGGATTGGTCTCTGTGGCTTCCGCGTTTTTTGGTGGGCGGGGCCGCGGACCACCAGTCGCCACGGGGCGGAGCGGAGGTACCCGCGCTGAACTGCCCGGAGTTTGCAAAGTGCGGGCGGGCATGGAGAAGGCCGCGGCGGACACTGGCTCGTCGACTGGTGGCGGCGGCCCTGCAGGGTTGCTGACTCTAGAGGTGGAGGTGGCAAAGCTTCTTCCCTTCCTGGCTCCCGGGGCGCGGGCGGACTTGCAGGAGGAGGCAGCGCGGCACGTGCTGGCTCTGACCGGCTCGGGGCCCGGCCGGACGCTGCTGGCCAGCCAGGAGGCACTGCTGAGGGCTCTGGTCGACTTGGCGGCGGCCCCGGCCCCGGCCCCTGCCCGAGACGCAGCCCGCGCCCTGGTCAACCTGGCCGCCGACCCCGGCCTGCACGAGCCGTTGCTGGTGGCCGAGCCTGGGCTGCCTGCGCGCCTACTTGGCCTTGCGTTGGATCCGCAGTGGCCATGGGCGGAGGAGGCAGCCGCGGTACTGGCCAACCTTAGCCGCGAGCCGGCGCCGTGTGCCTCGCTGATGGAGGCGCTGACGGCCGCAGAGCCGGGGGAGTCAGGCCTGGAGCGGCTTGTGCGCGCTCTTTGCACTCCGGGCTACAACGCCCGCGCGCCCTTGCATTACCTGGGGCCAGTGCTCTCCAACCTCAGCCAGCGTCCCGCGGCGCGAGCCTTCCTGCTGGACCCTGAGAGGTGAACAGCAGGACGCCCGTGGAGGGGGCGGGTGGAAGTGAGCAGGGACAGCACTGAGTGGTCCTTTCCTTCAGGTGCGTGATCCAGCGGCTGCTGCCCCTTACCCAATACCCAGACTCTATGATGCGCAGGGGCGGGGTCGTGGGGACGCTGCGAAACTGCTGCTTCGAGCACCGTGAGTGGCGGTGGGGGCATTGCGGCGGCGGGCAATGGGGAGAGACTGGGCTCTAGAGCACCTCTGGACTGGCTCCCATCCCTGCTTCCCACCCAGGACACCACGAGTGGTTGCTGGGGCCCAAGGTGGACATTCTCCCCTTCTTGCTACTGCCCTTGGCTGGGCCTGAGGAATTTTCCGAGGAGGAGATGGAGCGTGAGTAGTCTGGGTGGGTCCACAGGGCTGACCTGGCCGGAGAGAAGGACAGTGGTGGCGTGGGGAGGAAGTGTCCAAATCAAGCCCCTTCTGAAAACTTTTAGCAGCAAGCTGCTGAGCACTGATGAGGCTTACAAAGGTGGGGTCTGGCCTGGCTGCCCAGCACAGGGGCCCAGTGACTCCCACACGTGCCCCTAGGGCTGCCTGTGGACCTGCAGTACCTGCCTCCAGACAAGCAACGGGAGCCGGATGCCGACATCCGCAAGATGCTCATTGAGGCCATCATGCTGGTGAGCAGAGGTCCTGCTGCAGTAACCCCGCCCCCAATGTATGCCTGGCCACACTGACACCTGGCTGACCTCTGTCCTCTTTCAGCTGACAGCCACAGCACAGGGTCGGCAGCAGGTGAGGGACCAGGGAGCCTACCTGATTCTGCGTGAGCTGCACAGCTGGGAGCCTGAGTCCGATGTGCGGGTGACTTGTGAGAAACTGATCCAGGTGGGTGCAGGGTTTGTGGGGAACGGGGAGATGTTCACGGTATGCCAGCCAGCTGCTCACCTGCCTCCCTGCTGCAGGTGCTCATTGGGGATGAGCCAGAGCATGGCATGGAAAATCTGCTGGAGGTGCAGGTGCCTGAGGATGTGGAGTGCCAGCTGCAGCGGCTGGACCGCCAGGAGCAGGAGCAGTGCCAGCGGGAGCAGCAGGAGTGGGAGCTGGCTCCGGAGCCACAGGCGGAAGGAGATGCACCCACCTGAGGTCCCTGCAGCCCCAGCACACCTTTACTAGCCCATCGGCCCTGGCCTCCCAGACCAGGCCTTCCTGCAGTTGCCTCCAGGCCTTTGGGTTACCTTGCTGGAAGACTGTCCTGCTGAGAAGAAGCAGAGCTACACTTAAGCTCTGGGTTCATGCTGAGGGCTCTAGGGCTAATGCCCCTTAAACATGGGAGGGTTGAGGGCACCTCCCTGTGCCCTGTTGCTTCCAGCAACGATGCAGCTTGTTCAGAAGAGCACTGTTCAGTCCCAGCTGGCCAGGCCCTGGGGCTCGGCCAGTGGAGCCGTGAGGCACTTCTCAAGCATGGTGGTGGGGTCAGACAGGAAAACCACAAACTGGAGTGGCCAGCTGGAGCTTTCCAGTGCCAGGAGTGCTACAAGGGTCTGAGCCCAGGCACGCACCTGGTGCCAGCACTGCCCCCTCCTGCCAGTCCCCCCAAGTCCCTCCATCTGGGCCCTTGGCTTACCCTCAGCCTCAGTGGGCCGACCCCTTGAGACCTTCACTATCTACAGCCTGTCCTGGGGGTCTCCTAGAGCTGCACCCCACCCAGCCTGCCCTTGGAGCACTGGCTGGGTGCTGCCTCCCCTTCATCCTCTGCTTTCCCACTTGACCTGTGCCCTGGCTGTGCCTGTAGCCCCGTGTCTGCACCAGACCCCGGTCCTCCGCAGCGCCACCTGTGGTCTCCCTGACTCTGCAGCACCCAAGCTGCCACTGGCAGGCTGTCAGTGTGGCCCCACCCTCCGCGCTCCTCGCCTGGGCCCCCCACCAAACCTAGTGCCGTCTTGGGTGCAGGGCCTGAGTACCGGCCTCCCCCCAGGACCTGTGCTGTAGTGCAGGTTGGCTCCCCAGGGGTTCCCAGTGCCCCTGTTCTTCGTCCTCTGCCCTGTTCCCAAAGTTGGAGGTCTGCTCACTTGTGCTGTCCCATGGAGGCTGGGTGCTCCATGGGTGCTCTGCATCTCCCTCCACAGCCGCCCCCCGCCCCCCGCCCCGCCCCATTAAAGCTCTGGCATGGAGGTGTGTGGACTCATCTTCCTTGGTTCAGGAGCATCCCCAGTTTCCCCAGTGCTGGTTGGTTCAAACCTCTGACTCTACAGAATAAACGGTTTATCTGACCTCCACTCGGCGCACCCGCCTGCCCTCAGTTGACCTGGTAGAGCCCCAGCATGTTCTGGATGGTGCTCCTGGAGCACAGCAGAGGGGGCTGCCGGGAGGCGCCCGTGCCCAGGTTGGCCATCGCAGTGCTTCGGAGGCCCAGCTTGGCAGAGCCCCCACCTCCGCTCGGGCTGGCATCCGGGGGCTCTGGTGCTGGGCCGGAGGCGCCCTTGGGGGTTCCCAGCTGCTGGGGGCGACGCAGCTGCAGGAGTGACCTTGGTGGCCCTGAGTCCTCTCTGGGCTCCCCCGGATTCTCTACTGTGGATCACATTCGGGGTTCAGTCTGGGCACTCGGGGAGAGCCCACTTCCCCACCCCCAGGGCCCTGCCCCACCTGGCGAGGTGCTGAGCACGGTGCAGAAGAGCGCATGCGCAGTGGGCTGCGTCCAGCGGTGCCTGGCTGCCTGCCGCAAGTCCAGGCGCGCATGCGGGCGCAGCTGGAGCAGGGCCCGGATCAGGTCCTGGCACTCTGCGGGCGAGGACTCAGTGGCTGCAGCCAGTCCCCGCTCCACCTGCCCTCTTGCTTCCCCATCCTGCGCTCACTCCCCACCAACAATTACCAGAGCTTTGAGGGGTCTGCTGGAGGTCCTCCGCCAGCCACCAACGGGCAGACAGGCATAGAGAGGCAAGGTCTGAGTTAGGTCCCACCTCAGTCCAGCCTCCCCCTCACTACAGTGGGCAGGAGGAGGGTGCCAGGTGAGTCTCCTCTGTTACCCCCTCCATGGCACAGAATGACCCTCTGACCCAGGTCCTCTGGGACTTAGGAAAGACACAGTGGCAGCACTTACCTGGGGACAGGCCAGGTGGGAAGGTGGGGCCACGGCGCATCAGGAGCAGCATGCGGTGGGGCCGGCATTCCTTGAAGGGCAGCTTCCCCGTCACCATGGCATAAAGGATGACACCTCTGGGGACAGTGGCTCTTAAGGCACACCCCCACCCCCTCCCGCCCAGGGGCCTTGCTTCTGGGGTGGCTGGAGGGGTGGCACTCACAGGCTCCACAGGTCAGCCTGCTCCCCACTGTACTTCTTGCTCATGAGGATCTCAGGGGCAGCGTAGGCCATGGAGCCGCAGAAGGTGCTCAGCAGTGCTTTCTTGATCCCCGACTGGTTGGCGAAGCCGAAGTCTGTGCAGGGGTGCGGGGCAGGCGGTTCGGCGGGAGAGGCGGCTATGTGGTGGGCCCGGGGTCAGCTGCAGGGTGGGGCGGAGGCCTTCTGGGAGGGTTGGAGGTCAAGCCAGGCTGGGATCCCGTCTGGAGCCGAGCAGCGTGGAGGCCGAGGGTCTGGCAGGCATGCCAGCGTGTAGGGGCCTTGTGCCAGGCGGGTGGTGGCTGGGGTCAAGAGTCAGGGCAAGCAGGCACAAGGGCAAGGGCTGGCCACAGACTCACCCGTCAGCTTCAGGAGGCCTCGGCCATCCAGCAGGACGTTCTCACATTTTAGGTCCCTGCACGGGGAAGGGCAGGTGGGGCTGGGCCTGGGCTCGGGTGGGCCTCTCCATGCAGGTGGGGGTCAGGCCGGGCTGCGTCCTCACCGGTGCACGACGCCGGCGCTGTGGCAGTGGGCTACTGCGCTGACCAGCTGCCGGAACAGCCTGCGGGCCTCCTTCTCCCCGAGCCCCGGGCAGCAGCGGTGGTCCGACACCGCGTTGATGTGCTCCAGCGGGTCACCGCCGCCTGCCAGCTCCAGCACCAAGTAGGCGCGCTGGCTGTTGTGATAGGTCTCATACAGCTGCACCTGCACGACGCCCAGCCACCTGCTGCCACCATGAGGAGGGGCTGTGCGGTGCCCTGGGTTGGGGTGTCGGGATGGGGGCAGTGGTGGGCCTGGGGTGGGCAGCAGGTGAGGTGAGGGCTGGCACTGGGGAGGGGCAGAATGTTTACAGGCTGCCGTGGGGTATCTGCCTACCACGTTCAGGTGCTTGTAGGTAGCGTTGAGTGACGAGATCTCACGGGGCAGGAACTTGCAGGAGAGCTCCACAGGGGCCTCGGCGGTGGAAATGACCTTGATAGCCACCTGCAGGGGCGAAGGGTGGCCGCTGTGTACAGACTGCAGCCCCTTGGGGCAGGGTGGGGCAGGACAGGTCCCTTGTCCTTTGTGCACAAGCCAAACTGGGCAGGATGAGGCAGGGTAAGCAGAGTCCTGGGGAACAGTGTTGTCCAGACATTTACATGCTCAGGTGTTCAAGGACTTGAAGTGGTCAGCCTATGGGAGGGTGCAGGACTGGGAGGGAGCTGGAGCAGCTGGGAGGCACCCCAGTAGGGATGGACAGGGCCCCCTAGAGCTGGGTTGGACATGCCCTGAGCCCAGGGCCACAGAGAGGAGGCAGACGACCTCACCATGGTGTGGCGCTTGCCTTGCAGGTCAGAGGCCAGCTTGGGGTTGTGCTGCATGCGCTCCTGTGTGGCGTGGGCCAGGTAGACTTTGGAGAAGGCCCCGGAGCCAATCTTCTTGGCGGAGAGCAGGTAGCCCTTGTCCCTGCACTCACACACCTGCGCCATGAAGGTCTGCTGGTCCAGTTTTCGCCTGCCGCTGCCCTTCATGGAGAGCAGGGCACCGCAGAAGGGGCCAGGGCTGTCCCACTCAATGTGGGCTCTTGGGAGGGGGTGGGGTATGTGGCTGAGGCCTGACTTATGTCAAAGGGGCAGGGGTGATAGGGCCACAAAAGGCCAGGTGGGACCTGTGCCCCCTCAGGGCTGCAGCCACGTTTTGGAAGTCTTGCTGGGACTAAGGCAGAGGCCGGGGAATGACTGAGGCTGAGAGCTCAAGGTGGGGCCTGACGCAGTCAGGGACCGGTGCGGGGGGAGGGGGGCCAGGCTCCAGGAAAGCGGGGGCAGGTTCTAGAACGGAGGGTTCTAGAACTGCGCTAGCATTGTGCCCTCAAAGGGAGTGCCTGTGTCCTTCCATCCCTGAGACCTTCCTGTCTTGAGAAGGCCTTGCTGGAACCAGCCCTTCCCTGCATGGGGCCCACTCTATGTGGTGAGAACCCCCAAATGCTGGAGCCAGGCTGAGGCCTCTGTGGGCCACCCTGGATGTGGCTGAACACAAAAGGCCTCCACGGAAGCTGGGCGTGGGGGGCGAGCCAAGCAAGGGCAGTGGGGTTTCTGCGGACCCGAGGAAGGGAAAAGGAACACGCACACCAGCAACAGTTTCAACTGCACTCCTCGTGCTTTGGGAGGGTCCCAGGGAGGCAGCTGAGGCCGAGTCGGGGTGGGGGAGCACTGGCCTTCCTCTGCGGAGGCCTAGAAGCTTGTCTTACCGGGGCCAAGGCCTGCTGGAGGACTTTCCCCCGAAGCCCCCTGAAGACTTAAGGACATACCTCCAAGGCAAGTGGGGCCTCCAGCCTGGGCCCACCCCACACCCAGCAGCCCCAGTGGAGAGCAGCCAGTGGGGGCCTGCCTTGTCCTGTGCACGAGAGTCTTCTGTGAGCTCCGTTACCACGGGAGTAGTGGGTGACACTCGCCGGGGGCCTGCTGCAGGCCAGGTGCTGCGCGAAGCGGGTGTGGTAGGTGCAATTACCACCTCCCACAGACCACGCCCGACAGGCCTGTCCCAGGCAGTGCTTCTCCAGGCAGTGCTTCCCCAGGATCTCAGATCAGAGCCCAGCCAGGTGACGCCCATTTCACTGGTGACAGAACTGAGGCCCAAATGCAGTCTCTGCCAGGAGCTGGATGGCCCAGAGGCTGTGGACTGCTGTCCTGGGGGTGTCCCACAGGGCCTGGGTCGTGGTGGGGCTCAGTGTCGGTCCCCCACTGGGACTCGTGGTGGCTGTGGTGTGCCTTGCTGCAGGAAAGGCCCGGGAATGCCCTGCCCAGGATGCTGAGGTTCATTTTCTCATTCCTGTTGGATGGGAGCTGCTTGAGAGCAAGGCTTGTGTCTGCTCTTCCCTTGCTCCCTCACAGACTGCATCTGGCAAACTGCCTGGACTATAGCAAATGTGGACAAAATGACCAGTTTGTTGTTGACCTGCGGGTTAGGCAAAGAGCAACCACTGCAGGTATTCCCAGCAGAGGGGGTTTAAGGTGGGGCTGCTCCTCAGATGCTGGAAGGGCTGGAGAAGGGCCCCGTCTAGAGCCAGTACTGCACAAGGGAAAACCGCGGGGGTCTGCCCAAGGGTGGCTGTGCCATTGCCTGCACCCCTCTCACTTCCCCAGCTCCCACCGTGGCACAGGACACACTGGAGGCCGGCAAGTCAGTCGCCAGCTCTGGTCTGCAGTCCGTCTTCCCTCCTCTTTCTTTGCACCCTAGGGAGTCCCTCCATCCCATGGACACTCCTGGAGCATGCATCACACGCTGAACTTGGTGCTAAGCCCTTGGGAGCAAATCCCGGACACAGGCCTTTTGTAGAGCTTACTGTTGGGGAAGGGAAACTGGCATTAATAATTCAGTAAAAGTGAAATGACATCTGTGATGTGTGCTGAGCAGTTTGTGTGCTCGGGGACTGAAGTCCGGCCGAGGCTGGGCAGGGGGCAGGGCCAGCAGGACATGCTGGGCCCTGGCCATGGGGAACACGGTCAGGGCTTTGGTGGGAGAGCAAGCCACCCAGGTGTGAGTTTGGAAGAAACCTCCTGTCTCCCCCCCTGGCAACTTCCACATGCCCTAATTAACCCCTGCCCCCTCCAGCCTGGCGGGGTTAGGGTTGGAGGGTGAGTTTTGGTCTCTTCCCGAGAGGCCAGCTTCATTTGCCAGCCCCTCACTCAGCCACCTGAGTTCTGTCTTCCCCTACAAAAGAAACAGGCTGAAGCCTTTTTCTCTGTGAAAAAGAATGCCCCTCCTCTGAGCTGTCACCCTGCCCTCCTACTGACCGTGGGGTCCCACTTTGCCACCTTGCACCCTCGCCAGCAGCTCCCTGCAGACCTCACCTGCAGCAAGACGCAGACACTTACTACACTGTGGATGTGGTGCTGCTGAACACTTCCTTCTCCAAATGCGCTGTTCACTTCCTGAACGTCACTTTGTTTTCGTTTGTGGACACGTTCAGGCGGTTTCAGCGTCAGGGTCTTTGCAGGTGGTAGTGTCTCTACCTAGAACGCCGGCTGCTGTCCCAGCCCTCAGCCGCACCCCCTTACAGCACGTCGTGTGTCCTATGGATCGTTTACCTGCTTATTGTCTGCCCCTCCAGATCCCAAGATCCTGAACGCAGAGACCTGCTCCTCTTCATCCCAAGGTGTACCTGCAGACCGAACACACGCCTTCCCTGTGTATGTGTGTGTGTGTGTGTGCACCTGTATGCGGAGGGGTCAGCGGCCCCGGGGTCTCCGGGTCCTTGTTGAGTGTTCACTGTGTGTACATGTGTGAGAGAAATAGAACGTAGTGCCCGTGTGTCCAGGTCGGGTCCACCCGGCGTGTGTACCTGTTCAGCCGAGCAGGCCGGCTTTGGGCGCAATGGCGCGCCAAGCCCGCGTCTCTGAGGGGTCCCCCCTGTGTGGCTGTGTGGGGCAGTGTGTGTATATGCGCAGATCGTGGGGGTGTAAGTGTCCAATGTGGACACCGGGGAAGGTGAGAGAGGAGACCGTGCGCCCCGCGCGCAGGAAGCCTGAGCGTGCTCCTAGCGCCTGCGCAGTGACAGGCCGAACCCGTGCCGGAGCCCAACAGTCCAGCCGGGAGGTCCAGGGGCGACCCGGGCGGGGCCGAAAGCCAGGCGGAGTTTGCGCACTCCCGCTCGCTGGGGTTCGGTGGCAGTGGGCAGAGAGCGAGAGGGACGCGCCTCCGACCTATCAGCGCAGAGATCGCGTGGGGGCGGGCCCGGGCCGCCGCGCGCCGGGCCGCGGTTGGCGGAGGGCCGCTGGGGCGGGCTCAACGCGAGGCCCCGCCCAGTCCGGTTCGCGGCTGGGCGGGAGGGCTGATCCCGGCCGCTGCGGCGGCTCCTCTTCAGGTAACCGGTGGGCGGGGGCTGGAAACCCGCGGCGCCCACCGGGGCGGGCGCCCCTCGGGGAAGCCTGGGGCTGAGGCTGGACGTTACCGCCCTGGCCAGATCGCGCTGGAGGCTGAGTCAGGGGCGCCTCCCCAAGGTCACCAGGCTAGTGCGGCGAGCGTACCGGGCGTCGCGGGGCCGAGCCCGCCAGCCCGCCCTCCTGTCCCCAAGCTCAGGTGCGCCCAGGTCCCCGCGGGGCCTATTCGCCGCGTCGCAACCCCGGAAGAGAGGCTCGGGAACCCTGCGGCTCGCCGCTTCCTCACGCCGGCGCGGGGTGACCGGCCCCCTCCCGGGGTGGACGCGGGGTGCCCGCGCTCGTGCCCCGCCCGAGCGCGGGAGGTCCCCTGTCCGAGCGCCTGCCACCTCCCTGGGGGCCTGTGGTCCGCGTTCCTGCTTCCCCCAAAGGAGACTCTGAGAGAGTTCCAAAGCTCAGGGTCGTTGTATTCTTTCCCTGTCCCTTTGACAGGAAAGAAGGGGAGGCCGAGTAGGGGGGCATCTGTCCGGAGTCACGAGGGTCCTCGGCCAGAGCGTGTAGGTGCTATGGTGGCGGGGCTGCGGGCAGCCCCGATCTCAGCATCGGTGAGAGCCGCGTGGTGCCTGGCCAGCCCGGGCCCCTGGGCCCCTCGGCCTGGATTTGGGTTCCGATTTTATTCCTGCAGCGCTGGCTCCGCGGCAGTGCAGCGATAGGACCAGGGCTCCGTGGGCACAGGCGTTTCCCACCACACTCGCAGAAGTTCCCCTTTTCCGGCGGCGGGGGTGGGCGGCAGGGCGGGCAGAGGGCCTCAAGTGCGGTGAGGCCAGCACAAAGCACCCAGCAGGGTAGGAGGGGCGGAGGGCACAGTGGGCGGAGGAGTGGCCTTGCCCGGGGATGCAAGCTGGTGCTGCTGTCTGGTGGCAGAGCCAAGGGCGGTGGGGTTGAGGCTGTCTCGGAGGAGGCAGTCTGGAGGTGGGGGCCACTTTGGAAGGGGATGTCGGTAGGTGCGGTAGAGGCCGCGGAGGAAGAGGCTCCCAGTGCACCGCAGGGTGTGAGAGGAAGGTGAGGAGCCGGAGGGGGTGGTGCTGATTTCTGGCCCAGATAGCGGAGTGCCTGGTGACACAGGAAGAGGACAGGGGTGACGACGGGCTTCAGTGGCAGTGAGTGGTCCAGATGAGGAGGCCCAGGGGGCGCTGGGCCCCAGAAGACCACGGGGGATCATTCTCAAGGGACAGACGCCTCGGGGTGGTATGATTGTGACCTGTGGCGCCTGCAGTTACAGCTCTGGCAGCCAGGGGTTCTGGGGAGCCGTCCTGATCAGGTGCGCAGGTGTGTCTGGTCTTCTCTGGTGTCACCGTGGAACGCCGTGAGGTCCAGCTGTCTTGGTTTCGTTTTGTTTTTTGAAAAGATTTTATGTATTTATTTTTAGAGACAGGGAAAGAGAAGAGAGGGAGAGAAACACCGATCCATTGCCTCTCCCACGCCCCCAACTGGGGACCTGGCTGGCAACCCGGGCATGTGCCCTGACTGGGAACTGAACCAGCGACCTTTCGGTTTGTGGGATGATGCCCAATCCGCTGAGCCACGCCAAATCAGGGTTACCTTGTTTTGGTTACCTTGACACCACTGTGTAGGCTGCCACGGCTCGTTCAGAGCGGGATCTTGCTGTTCTCACTCCTCCGGGACCCTGGTGGGTCAGAGGGGGAGCGCATGGGGTACGTGCGTGCCCATCACGGCTGAGCCATGTGGCTGGAAGCAGGTATCTGCTCTCAGCTTTCAGACCCAGGGGCCTCTGAGGCCCAGGTGAGCATCAGGCTGCTGCCTGTCTGTGGTCAGCAGCCCCGCATCTCTGAGCCCCTCCGCCGGCTCTCACTGCATCTCCTGCAGGTGGGGGCTCTGGGAGCGCCCTGTGGCTTGAGTGCGCTCCTGGCCAGTGCGCTGGGGATTCTGGCTGCTGGCTGCCATGAAAAATGCGCCTTCTTCTTCAGGGAGCTGGAGGGCCACCTGGCTTTGGGGGTTTGCCCACGGACTCAGTGACACAGCTCGGTTGGCTGTGTCGAGCGGCAATGCTCTCAGAGTCCCGTGACCCTTGAGCAACAGCCCAGGCTCCTGCTGGCAACTCTGAAGGAGCTTCCTTCTCTGGCTGCCGTGCTGGAGGGCAAGTCGGGTGGGCCTGCTGTGTGGGTGGGGCATCCCTGTGGCCTTCCCCACTCATCCTGACTTCCCAGCCTCCCTGCACAGACTGGCCCTCCACACAGACTCTCGGCTCTGGTGGGTGTGGCCTCGGGCTCCTTGCCGTTGGCCCAGTGACTCTGTTCGCCCATCCCCCGTCCCGGGCAGCGGTAATGTGCTGGGACAGAGCCTGGCGGGCATTTACGAAATGCAGTTCGATGCACGGCCCAGCCCAGGTGAGTGAGGAGGAAGCTGGTTCTCACTCACGTGTCCCATGCAGGGAGGGAGGACCTGCCCCGGGACCTGGCTGGAGAGTGGAGCTGGCGGGGCCAGTCCTGGTGGCGTCCTGCCCCACCGCTAACTAGCTGCTGGCTAACAGTGTGTTCCTCGGACCCACGTGGCCATGCTGGCCGGATAGTCAGTAGCTGCACCTTCCTGCAGGACACGGGGCCTCCCAGGCCCTCCCCCTGGGCAGTGTGCACCTCGTGTTGCCGTCAGCAGGCTCACAGCATGGCCGTGGGGAGCAGGGTGCTGCCATGGCCCTAGCGTCCCGCGTCAGTGCACAGACTGCCTGGCCTGGGGCAGGGCTGACAGGACCTGACAAACCAGCCTTGCTCAGCTGTGTCTTCCTTTCTCTGTTTGTTTATAAAAGATTTGATTTATTTATTTTAGGGGGGAGAGAGAAAGAGAGGAAGAGAAACATCAGTGTGTGGTTGCCTCTTGCACGTCCCCCACTGGGGACCTGGCCCGCAACCCAGGCACGTGCCTCAACTGGGAATCGAACTGGCGACCCTTTGGTTCCAAGGCCGGCACTCAATCTACTGAACCACACCAGCCAGGGCTCAGCTGTGTTTCTTTCCAGAAGTTTTATAGTTGCTTTTTGTTTTTGTCTTTTAAGACTGTATGTGTTTATTTCTAGACAGATGGGAAGGGAGGGAGAGAGAGAGGGAGAGAAACACTGCCTGGTTGCCTCTCCCACCCCCCAGCTAGGGGCCCGGCCCGCAGCCCAGGCCTGTGCCCTCCCTGACGGGGAAGCAGACCCGTCACCCTGTGGTTCGCAGCCTGGTGCTCGGCCCGCTGAGCCACACCAGCCAGGGCAGGAGTTTTCTGGTTTTACATTTTACACTCAGGTCGTGAGTCATTCTGACTTCTTGTGCGTGGTGCGAGGTGCAGGCTGCAGGTCGTTGCCTTGCACACGGACGCCCAGGTGTCCGGCACTGTCTGTCGGGAAGTCTGCGCCCTCTCCATGGAGTGGCCCTCGGGGGCCCCGCGCCTTTGCTAAAAATCAGTCGTGAGTGAGGTAATTAGTGTCAGTCTTGCAGTTTTCTTTTGTCAGCGTTGTTTTGGCTGCTCCAGGTCCTCTGCATTTCCACGTGGATTTTAAAATCATTCTGTCACTGTCTGCAAAAAGCCTGCTGGGGTTCCCACTGGGCATGTGGTCGACCTGTAGATTCCTTTGGGAAGAAATGGTGCCTTTGCTCCGTATACCCATTTATTTTCGTTTTCTTTAGCAGGTTTCAGCAGTGTGAGACAGCTGTAGTGTGCTGTGTGTCCCACTTATCAGATTTATCCCAAACCATTTCGTGGCCTTATACCCTGTGACCTCGCCGGCTGCCTTACTGACTCCAGCCTCCGTGGTGGACTCTGTAGGGTTTGCCACATGAATGATCGCATCACCTGTGACTAAAAGCCGTTGTACTTCTTTTTCAACTCGAATGTCGTTTTTCTTTTCTTGCCTTGTTGCACTGACGCGACCCTCCAGTGTGGGGGTCGGTGGACAGACGGGGCGAGCGCGGACACCCTCGCCCAGGCCCCTGCCGGCAGGGGCGGCGTGTCGACTTTTGCCTGAAGGCCGAGCTGTCGGTTTCCCCGAGGTGCGGCCCGTTTTTATCGTCAGTGGACGTCGGGTTGCGACAAAGCTTCCCTGCCTTTGCCGAGACGATTGCAGGTGCCCCTCGACGTACCCAGCAGGGGTTTCGCCCGATAAACCGCCGCCAGGGGGAGGTGCTGTCAGCCGAACGGTGCTCTGAGTGCCGCACTGCAGGGTGTGGGTGGTTTATCCCTGTGCCCCCGTGGTGGCCCCGGTGCCGGGCGCGCCGCTGCTGCCCCGCACCCCGCCAGAGGACTGTCCCGCACGCCACTAGCCCCAGGAAAGACCACCATGAACAGTTCTGAGCACCGTTTCTGCCGAGCACACGCCCTTTTGCGCCCTCGTAAGGTTGGAAGGTTGTACGTCGAGCCGTTGTAAGCCCGGGGCTGTCTGCATACGGTCTCTCTCTTCTGGTCGCTGCTGCGAGTTGCACCGGCCGCACCTAACGCCGCCGAGCCTTGTGCTCACGGGGTAGCCCCGCTCGGTCACGACCCAGTGTCCTTTCTCGCACGTTGCTGTATGTGGTCTGACAAAACACTGCTAAGGATTTTTGCATTTGTGTCCACGACGGGTGTCGGTCTACACTTTTAGTCGTTGTGTTTCGACATTACCTCGTCCCCGGCTTCGTTGTCACTGGTGGGCCGGCCTCGTAGAAGCGGCTGGTAAATGTTCCCTTGTGTTCAGTTTTCCTGGAGGAATTTGTGTGGAGTTGGTCTTACCTCTTCCTTATACATAGAGAGAGGTGTAGGAATCTCTTACTGTAATTTGGATTTGTGCACTGTCCTTGCATTTTTGTTAGTTTTGGCTCAGTGTCTCTTGAAGCTCTGTTATTGGGCGCACAAGTGTCTGGGGCTGTGCGTCTCTCAGACCCGCCTGGTCTGGTGCCAGTGCAGATGCTCCGGCCGTCTGACGACGGGGGTCGGCCTCGTCTTCTTTCCTCCCCTCCCACCGCGACCTCCTTATGTCAATATAGCCAGTCTTGCCTATGGTTCTCTTTTTTAAATTAATTAACGAGAGAGAGAGAGAACAGTGATTGGTTGTTTCACTTATCTGTGCATCCATGGGGTGTTCTTGTGCGGCCCTGACGGGACCCCAGCCTTGGCGTGTCAGGACGCCACTCCGGCCGACGGAGCCGCGCGGCCAGGCGCCCGTGGGCTCCCGCGCACAGGAAACACAGTCACAGCAACTGTCCGAATGTGCTTGTCCGCGAGTTCTCTCTTCTGCGTCACCTCTGGTCAGCTCTCACCCCTTGGCTTAGCCTCATCATGGCTTGTATTTCGTTTTATTTTTTGCCTGTTGGACTGCCTGGTAACTTTTGCTTGGTTCCAGACCCTGCTGTTTTACCTTGCTGGGTGTTTCCGTGTTCCTCTCATTATTCGTGAGCCTGGTGCTGGGATGTGGCTGAGTTATTAGGGAACAGTGGGGTCCTTTCGGGTCTGGCTTTTCGCTGTGTTAGCTGAGGCCAGGACGGCGCTCAGTGTGGGGCTCACTTCACTCCCTCACGAGGCAAATCCCATCTGCACTGCCCCCCCGCGGCCCTGGGAGTTGGGGTGTTTCCCCCTCTGGCCCCGGAGCTCCAGGGATGTTTTTCTGCTCACCCTTTTGGGTGGCTCTTTCCCCGGCCTTGGGTCCTTGTGTCCTCCTCCTTCCTCCTCTTCCTCTTCTTCTTCTTTTTAAAAACATTATTTATTTACTTTTGGAAAGATGGGGAGGGAGGGAGAAAGGGAGAGAAGAGAGAGAGAGAGGGAGAGAAACATCTATCGGTTGTCTCACGCGCCCCCATCTGGGGGCCTGTGCCCTGACTGGGAGTGAACCTGCAACCTTCTGGTGTCCAGAAGGTGTCCAGGCTGTCTGGTGTCTGGTGTCCAGGCTGGTGTCCAGTCCACAGAGCCACACCAGCCAGGGTGAGTGGTTTCTTCTCAGACACAATGTTGTATCAGTTTCCTGTGGCTGCTGTAACCAGTAAGCACAGAAGTGGTGGTTTAAACGGCAGACACTTATTATCTAAAGTTCTTGAGGTTGGCAATCTGCCCTGGACCTCACCGGGCCGAGATCTGGGGCCGTGGGGGCCGTGCTCTGTTCTGGGGGCTCCAGGGAGGAGCTGTTTGCCGCTCTGTGGGGCTGTTGGCAGAATTGTGTCCTTTGTGTGGGGGGGACCCGAGTCCCTGCCTGCTGGCTGGCTGCAAGCCGAGGGACGTCCCAGCTTCTACAGGCCCCCCCCAAGCCTTGGCTCAGTACCTCCTCCCCCGTCTCCAAAGCCAGCGTGGCCCGTTGCGTCCTTCCTGGGCTCCGGACGTGTCCTCCCCCAGCTGGGACAGGTTGTCTGCTCTTGAGGACTCGTGTAATTGGGCTGGTCTCACCCACGCAATCCGGGGAACCCCACCTCTGTCTGTACACCGATCCCATCTGCTGGATGCCCTCTGCCGTGCCGCCCAACAGCCCTGGGTTCTGAAGAGGAGGGCGTGGGCATCTCTGGGAACGGGATCGTGCTGCCCCGCCCCGCCCCCGCCCAGTGGAACCGCCCAGTGGCCAGGGGACCCAGTGAGGGCCCTGGGGCTCTCTCGGTCCTGGAGCCTGCAAAGTCCAGCAGGACCTGCGTCTCCCGAGGCTCTCAGTCCGCCTCCTCAACTTCGGTGCTTCGCCATTCGGCCCGAGTGTGCCGCCCGCCAGGTTCCCTGTCCCTCGCTGCGGTGTCCGTCCCCTGCCAGCTGCGGTCCACGTGTTCTGTCCGGTCTCCCGGTTGTCTGGCTGGGGGCGCAGACTGGCCCCTCACTCCCGTGGGGAGGGGCGGGGAGCTGACCGCTCTCGGGCTTCCTTGTCCCCGTGTGCTCCTGTCTGAGTCGGGGGCGCGTGGCGGCGTGCACTCCCGTCAGCCCGCCCGGCTGGGTGCCGCTGGAGCCGGTTCAGCGCCGGCCGGGCGGCAGACACTGGCGACAGAGCCTCTGCCCGGGACAGGCGCCCCCCCCCCGATGCAGGCCGGGGCCGGGGGCTCGGGGTCTGGCTTCCGGGCGACGGCGTGCTCGCCGTGGAGAAAAGCGTGCTCCGAGTTCTGCGGGCTCTTTCTGGAACCTCCCGCCCACCTGACGGCCGCGGCGCTTGCGGTGTTGCCTCCTCCCGGCTCGGCCCCGGACGGAACACGTTCTCACTTCTTGTTTTCCGTGTCGCTTTTAGATGCTTTCCAGGAAGGAGGCGGAGACACCCCGCAGATGCCACCCTCTTCAAACCAGAGTCTTTCCCATCTGCTTCCTGTCTGCCTGGGATTCCTAGAAGTGTCTGGTCTGCCAGTTTATCCTTCTGGTTTCCTGGGGCTCCCGCGGGTGCCTTCACCTAGGACGCGCCTCTCTCCTGTCCTCTCACGGGGGCCGCGGGGCCGGGCGAGTGCGCGGGGCCTGCCGGCCGCTGTGAGCCGGTGCTCACCTATTTGGAATTCCCCACTGTCGCGCGGGTTTTCGCTTTGCCTCTTCCCGGCATGCACTGCCACCGGGGCGGGCGGACAGCGGCGTCTCCCCTGTACTGCCTTGGTCCTCTCGTGGAGGGAACGGAGGGACAGCGGGCTCCCCGCATTATCGGGGGCAGGAGTGTCAGGAAGCAGGCGGCGCCACAGTGAGGGCCTGGGCCCGCTGACCTCACCGCTCCTGGGGGAGCGGGAGGTGGGCAGGAGGGTGTGACCACACGGTGGAGTTAAGAGGCCCTTGCGTGGTTGAAAGCGGTGCTTGGAGGCGCCTGATGTTTGGAAACGGCCAGTCTCCAATCCCGCGGGCTGTTCGGGCCCGTGGTTTCACGTGCCAGCGCACCCGCCAGCCCCTGTGCTGCCGCTCCAGCCTCGCTCAAACCCCAGAGGCGCGTTTGGCTGCGCTGGAACCCTCCGCGGCGCGGGTAATCCAGGCCCCGCGGGGCTCGGGGCCCTGGTCTCCGCTCACGCAGTCCCCGGGCCCCCGGGGCCCCTTCTTCACAGCCAAAGCGGGTGCTGTGGGTGGAGGCTGTGGCCACGCCCGCCCAGGAACGGGCCCACGGGTGCCGGGTGGGGAGAGCTGGGACCTGTGGAGGGGACCGCGTCTTTCCTCCCCGCCAGCACCCCAAGTGTGGCAGAGACCGTCCCCCGAGCGATGACTTCTGTCACGTGCTTCACACAGACGTAGTGACTGCCCTGCCTGAGGAGGCTTAGGAACTCAGTGCCTGCTTCGGTCACTCCAGGTTTGGGAAGGCGCTGTCCATGTCCACACCGGGCGAGAGGATCCCGCGACCGCCACGATGAGCGTGTCCTACGTGAAGAGTGCGTGGGTTGGGGGTTGGGGGTGGGGGGGCGGGCCCTGGGAGCGCCCAGCGCTTCCGTGCTGGGGCTGAGTCCTCAGACCTGCCCGAGCGCGCGCATGGGCCTTGTCGCCGCAGAGCTGTCCACCATCCTGCTGGACGCCGTCACCGACAAGGACCCGCTGGTGCAGGAGCAGGTATGCAGCGCCCTGTGCGCCCTCGGAGAGTCGCAGCCGGAGGGGACGCTCAGCGCCTGCGAGGAGCACCTGCGGCAGCACGAAAAGGTGTGGGACCTGGGCCCGCTTTACCACGCCGGGGGCGGGGCCTGCGGGTGTGGGGGCGGGGCTTTCGGGCGGGGCTGCGGGAGTGCGGGTCTAGTGGAGTGGATCCTGCCGGTATGGGGCGGGTCTGTGGGGTGGGGTCAGTGGGGTCTGCAGGGTGAGGCTGGGCGCGAAAGACACTGCGCAGGGAGCCGCACCTGCAGCATCTGAGCGTGTGGTGGGGGCGTGTCCAGGGCAGACGACCTGCCCCGTCTTGTGGCTGTGGGTTGGAACCTCCCGGGACCCGGGGTTCAGCACTGCAGCGCCCTGCCGCTGGCGAACTGAGGCCCAGCGTTGCCGTGGCCTTCCACTCAGGGGCTGGCAATGGGTCGGCTCTCCCTGCCAGGGTCCGCACCGCGCCGACCGAGGGAGAGAAAGCCATGTCTCATCAACTGCAGTAACGGGTGGGAGCTGGGCGCAGCCTCCAGGCAGGGTCTGCGGGCGGAGGAGGCACCTGGCCGCCTCCCCTGGGCTTGGCCGACTCGTCAGCGTGCGTCGGGCTCTTGGGGCCACCCGCCGGCTGTGCAGTGCTCTCCCTTATCCAAGTGGGTGCGTCCCGAGACCCCCAGCGGGTGCCTGAACTCCAGAGGGCACTGAGCCCTGCACCTACGATGTTCTTCCCTCTATACACCCACCTTCTCACCTGACGGACGCACTCACGGCTTCTCCTCGGCACACCTGAGGTGTCAGCGTCCCTGCTCTCGCGCTTTGGGGCCCTTGCTAAGTAAAATGAGGGCGACCTGAACACAGGCAGTGAATGCCGCGGCAGTCGATCTGGTGCCCAGTGGCTGCTCGGCGGCTCCTGGGCGGGGAGCGTGTCCCTGGTGGTGACGCTGGACAGGGGGAGGACTCGCATCCTGGGCGGGGCGGGGGTTTCGCCACACCACTAGGGACGGGCCGGGCCAGGGCGGCAGAGGCCGCACCTGCCATCTGCACGCCATCAGGCTGCAGGGCCGCCTCTGAAGGTCCGTGTCCCGCGTGTGTGCAGGGCTGTGAGCAGCCCCGGGGGCCAGAGAGGGCACCCCCGTGTGGGGCGGGCAGGGCGGCGGCGGCGTGAGTGGCCCCGCACAGAGCATGCTGGGCTCGGGCAGGGCGCCTGGCGCGGGTCCCCCCCCGCCGCCGCCAGCCCTCCCTTGACGGCCCCTCCCTTCAGCTGGCACATCCGTACCGGACGATGATCCTGAGGGCCATGGAGACGGTCGTGAGCAACCACATCAGCGAGCTGGACAAGGACGTGGCCCGGGCCGCCGTCCTCCTGGCCTCCAGCGAGATGACCAGGGTGAAGGTATGCGAGGTGGCGGCCACGCGGCTCCCCGGCCCCCGCCGGCCTCGGCGTGGCTCAGCCTCGCCCCCAGGCCGTCCCGCCCCTGCGCGTCTGCATGTGGGTTTGGGTCTGGCTGCCTCGGGGCCGGCCCCCTGGCCTGGCATGCCGAGTGCACGCCTTCCGGGTGGGGAGGGCCACCGGTCGTCTCAGAGGTGGACCTGGGGTAGAGAGGAAATGCCTGGGCTCCGCAGGTGGACGTGGGGGTGCCAGTGCCCACAGCCCCCAGTCTGGGGTCGGAGCCAGGCTCAGGGTGGGCTTTTTCTCCCACGCTGTGCTCCTTCGCCCACAGGTGGAGCGGGTGCCGTGGCGCCTGTGGGTGGGGGGCCGGGTCTGAGGCCGCTGGCAGGGCTCACTGGGGAGCCGGAGAGCTGGGCGCAGAGGGCAGGGTGTGTCGACTCCACCTCCCGGGCCGGCAGGGTGCAGGGGTGTGGGCCGCGGCCTCCCCCGGCCGGGCCGTCAGAGCGCACTTCCCCCCGGGGAGCAGGACGTGGTCCATGACTGGCAGCAGGCTGCCAGCGGCGTCCTCGTGGCCGCGGGGAAGCGCTTCGTGGGCATGGTGATGGAGGAGCTGCTCAGCAAGTTCCAGCCCGGGACCCTGCCGCACTGCTTTGTGGTGCAGACGCTGGCCAACCTGTCAGTGTCCAATGGTAGGTGGCAGCTCGGCCTCGACCCCCTTCCGCCCGTGCCATGAGCTCCTCTGAGCCCCGTGGGCCCCTCGGTTCCTTGTGCTCAGCAGCCTCGCCGTCCCCGCACCCCCTCCCCTCCACGGCCGAGCAGGAGGAGCGCGGGCCCTGCGGGGTGCGGGAGGGCACGGGGCGTGGGGGAGACGGGAGGTGGCGCAGGGTCCCTGTCACGCGCCTGTTGCAGTGTTCGGCATGGTGCCCTTCCTGACGACCGTCCTGAGCACCATGCTGCCCATGCTGGGCCTGGCCAAGCACGACTCCATGAGGGTGGTGTTCTGCTGCGGTGAGTTGGGCCCCAGGGCAGGCAGGGCTCCCGAGGGCAGGGGCTCGTGGGGGTCACGGGCCCTTCAGGCCTCAGGAGGAGGGTGGGACTGTGAGAGGACAGGTGACTTCTCCCTGTGTCTGTATCCCGTCTCGTGGGGACATGGTCTTGTTGCATTAGGGCCCACTCCACTCTAGGGACCGCGTTTTAGCTAATTGCATCTTCAAAGACCCTCTTTCCAAGCAAGGCCCCTCCTGAGGTCTGGGAAGGGCGTGGACTTGGGGGGTGCTTGCCCCGTGGAATCCCAGGGTGTGCGCTGGGCCGGTGCACTGGGGCTGTCGCGGGTCTGGAAGGGGCAGCACGCACGTCGGGTGTGGAGCCCGCAGCCGCCCGCCGCTGATGGCCGGCGGCTGCAGCCCTGCAGCGCTTCAGCGAGAGCACCCTCGAGTACCTGGCCAACCTGGACCAGGCCCCGGACCCCACGGTCAGGAAGGACGCCTTTGCCGCCGACGTCGGCAGTGCCTACGACACCCTCTTTTATCAGTGGCTGCAGAGCCGCGAAGCCAAGGTGCGCCCCGGCTTGCTGGCCGCTCTCCCCGCCCCCCGCCCCCCGCGAGACTGCCCTCCCAGGCCCCCTCCCAGGCCTCCTCCCAGGCCCCCTCCCACCGCCTCGGCCTCTGTTCCGTGGGGAGGGGATGGGGCCGTCTGCCTGCACGTGTCCCGTCCCAGGTCCCTGCGGCCGGGAAGCGGGGTCCTCATCAGGGGGCGGACATGCCCTGCGGCCTCCCCTGCAGGTCCCCACAGAGCACACTGGTTTCTGGGCCCCCGTCACTGGGCACATCACCCCCACCTCACCCGCCGGGGGGAGGGGCCGAGGCCCGGCCCCGAGGACCCCATCGTGGGGCACCCGCTTTCCTCCCATCGGCCCTGGTTCTTGGTGAACGAGCTCTTTGCCTCTCTGTCCCCTGTGGGCCGGGAGCCTGGTCACCGTGGTTTGTGCTGCTGCCCCCTCAGCTCCGGCTCGCTGTGGTGGAGGCCCTGGGGCCCATGAGCCATTTGCTGCCCGGCGAGAAGCTGGAGGAGCAGCTGCCCAAGCTCCTGCCCGGAGTCCTTGCCCTCTACAAGAAGCACGCCGAGACCTCGCATGTGTCCAAGGTGCAGCGCTCAGCCTGGGCCCGGGCTGGGGCACCCGCCTCCAACAGGAGCGGAGCCGCCCTGAGACCCACTCTGGGCAGCAGCTCGGGACCCGCTCCGCCCGCCTCATCCCACGTCCCCTTTCCTGATCTCTCCCGTCCCCTCCGGCTTGCAGAGGTGGGGGGAGGGCTGGGGGCTTCCGGCGGCCCTGACGGCCCCTCTGCCCAGCAGAGCCTGGGCCAGATCCTCGAGGCCGCGGTGAGTGTGGGCAGCCGCACGCTGGAGGTCCAGCTGGACGCCCTCCTGGCCACTCTGCACGCTCAGGTAGGCTGGGGGTGGGCGAGGTCACGGGACCACTGTGGGGGCCGTGGGGGCATCCTGGTCGGATACGTGGTGTGGGGTCACAGGAACCCGGTGCGGGGAGTGGGGGGCTGCTGTCACACGGAAATGGAGTAGGGGAGAGAGATATCCTCGATCTCAGTGGGTGCAGAGAAAGCTTTTGATGCAGTGCAGTACCCGCTCACCCTGGAAACTAGCGGCTAGGACTGGGGAGGAGTTTCTCTGACTTGGGCAAGTTTATTCACCCTCAGCAGACGAGACGCCCTAATGAGCAGGAGGCAGACTTGGCCCCGTCGGGGCTAAGAACAGAAGCAGCCCCCCTCGCTGCGAACGGGCTCAGGGCCACTTCCAGGAGGAGGGGGACAGAAATGGAACGTGCGTGGCTTGGGGGTGGGGGTGCAGTGTCCGTCATCGCTGCCTCCTAGTCCTGGTTCCCATTTGTTCCCCCTCGGCCCTGGCCTCCTTTCAGTGCACAGCCGGCCCTGCGCAGCACAGCGTGAACTGCCGGGCCCACGTGCACGTGGCTGCTTCTCAGTGAACACCCTGGTTTCTTCCGTAGCCCTCCGTGTTGCGAGGGCACGGCATACAACACACATAACTGACCCAGCACGTGTTCATGGGCCCTTGATGGAGCCAGTGAGGCTTCCGGTCACAGTGGGCCACCAGTAGTAAGTTCTGGGGGAGACAAAGTTACACGTGGGTTTCTGACTGCTCGGGCGTCAGCGCCCCCGACTCGCCGGTGTTCGGGGCTGCACTGTGTGAGGGCTGCTGGCCGCCTGTCCTGCTGGAGGGACCGCTGTGCAAGGCCGGGGTCCGGCTGTACCCTGTGCAGCTCCGTCCCAGCACCCAGAGCAGCATCTGTCACTTGCGAGCACCCAGTGACCCCTGCTGTGCGGCCGACGACGACACTCACCCAGAAATCACGCAGGCGCCCCACGCGCATCAGAACCAGCCGTGCAGGGTGGCAGCACCCCTCTCCACTGGCAGGGGCGCACGGCGAGGGCAGGACAAGTGCTTTATTTTGGGGCTCTGTTCATGACACTCTTGCCACACGACATAATTTTCATGCCACCCTTTGTCTTTGATGGTACGGCCCAGGTTCCCTTGTGCTGAGAAAGCCTTTTGACCCTGCACTTGCTCGTCACATCCTCCCGTTTCCCTGCAGTTTTTTAAAAAAGATTTTATTTATTTATTTCTAGAGAGGGAAGGGAGGGAGATAGAGAGAGAGAAACATCCGTGTGCGGTTGCTGGGGGTCATGGCCTGCAACCCAGGCATGAGCCCTGACTGGGAATGGAACCAGTGACCCTGTGGTTCACAGGCCGGTGCTCAGTCCACTGAGCCACGCCAGCCAGGACACCCCCCACGTGTGCTGTGGCACCCACCCCGAGTTTACTTAGGGAGCGGCGAGCGAGACTCGGGTTTGCCTTTCTTCCACACGGCTGCCCGTTTGCCCTGGCTGCTGCTGCTGCTGCTGCTGCTGCTGTGACCAGTGACCTCGACACCGAGCGCCTCCAGCAGAAATGGGCCCGCAGTCCCTGCGGCCAGATGCCCGGGAGCCGCTCCCCGGTGGTGGCTCTGGCCGGTTCCGTGTGGTCGCGGTCGCTGTGGGGCTGGAGGCTCCGCCTCCGCGCTGGCTCCCTCACGTGGCTCCCCGTAGGGCTGCTTGAAGGTCCTCAGGACACGGCTCTGCTCCCCCAGAGTGAGCGGCCGACCAGAGAGCAGGCAGGAGAGGCGTCTTTTGGGACCAGGTCGGTCTCCACAGCGCGAACCTGGAGCAGGGCCCTGCGCCCGCCCAGCTCTGAAAACTGGCCGAGCGCAGGCTGGGCGGGCCCGTGGGTGCCTCTGCTGCACACGACGGCGGGCTCTACTGGAGCAGCCGGACTCCTTGCCCCCCGAGGCAGCCCAGCCGGGTGCCCAGAGGGCTGTCGGCCCTCCCGCCCGCCCCACCCTGCCTGCAGCCTGTCCAATCACCCGGTAACTCCTGCTCCGACAGGTGAGGCCTGCCGACACCTGCACTGGCCGCAACTGGCCGGCGCCGGTGGAAGCCGGAGGCCTCCCCCCCTCCCCCCCCCTGCAGTGCCTGTGTCTGGCACTCGCCAGGCGTGTGTGGCCTGCCCTCTCGCCCATCCGGGACCCAGGGCAGCCGAGCCATGCCCGTCACCTCCGCCCCTCTGCCCTCTGGAGCAGATCTGCGTGCCGGTGGAGTCCTCCAGCCCCATCGTGACGAGCAACCGGAAGGAGGTGCTGCGCTGCTTCACCGTGCTGGGTGAGTGGGGCGCGGCTCCGTGGGCCTCGGCCCCCAGCGCGCCCCCTGCTGGCCGGGTTTGGAGGTGCCGGCAGCGTGTACCAGGGGCTGACCCTTGCTGTCTGCGTGCTCCCCTGCAGCGTGCTTCTCCCCTGAACGCCTGCTGGCCTTCCTGCTGCCCAAGCTGGACACCAGCAACGAGAGGACCCGCGTGGGCAGCCTGCAGGTCCTGAGGCACATCATCAACTCGGCCGGTGAGTGCGCAGAGCGGTGCCTGAGAGGCGACGGGGTGAAGGGGGGCCCCCCATGCTGAGTTCTTTGTGAAAAGTTTGCCTCAGACACTGACTGCAGATGCCAGATGCTGCGTGAAGGCACGCGGACAGGTGACGGAGAGCTCGCAAGGCCCTGCCGCCCGCAGGGGCTGTCTCTTTGGCCCTTTAGGGAGCGAGTGTGCGGATCAGCCCCGAGAGGCTCAGGGGGCGGCACCGGGTTGCACTCGGCACTGGGGATGTGGGGCAGTTTGGGCAGGGGCAGGGGCAGTGGCGGGCTGGACAGAGTGCAGCCCTCGGCTCACTGGCTCCTGAATAAAGCCCCCCCCACGGAGCAGGAAACCAAGGCTGAGGGAGGCGCAGGGACCCTTGGGCAGCAGCTGAGATGGAGGCGCCCTCCTGTGCCCATTGGGTTCTGCTCACTTTGGGGAGAGACGCTTCCTTCCGCTCAGAAGCTCCCGGCTTTGGCTGCCCGGCGTGCGGGCCTTGCCTGGGCTCCGTCTGCCTTTGCGCTGGTGCTCGCACGAGTCGGCGCGTGCCCGCCCGCTTCGATTTCCCTGTAGGCACACACGTGTCTGTCTGGACGTGCAAAGACAGATTTTTTCGTAACCAAAGGCCTCCTTGTCACAGTCTTGCACACCGCGGGTCATTGGTGCCCGCACACTCGGCTCTGCCACGTGACACGCACAGAAACGTGCACCGTGGTCACCACGCAGCGCAGCGACCTGTCACAGAGCGAGCCGTGTGCCGACCCCGTGAGGACCAGGCACGGCCCGACCTCCGACAGCACTGCCTGACGGGGCCGAGAGTGAAGGGCTGTGTCTGCCTTCTTTCCCTGCATCCCCTGTCTGTGGGTTTTGCACGTCGGATGCTTTCATTTCGCTTTGGGGGAGCACCCAGTGCATTAGCCCGCCCCTCGGCCGGTCCTACGCGCTCAGGGGGGCGAATGGCGCAGCTGCGAGAGGCGGACCTATCGCCGCCCCAGCTCACGCAGCTCCCTCCGCCTCTGGGCCCAGGCAGCGCGCACACGGGTCAGTCTTACGTTTCCGCTGCTGGGGTGGGTGTGCGGCGGCGTCTCCTTGTGGTTTCCGTACACTCAGAAACCGCATCGCTCTTGACTTAGAGGGAAAGTTCCACAGTGCCTCGTTGGTCGGTCAGGAGCCCTGAACATTTTCTCTTTGATGGCGAGCAGATTTTATCTTTTTTTCTTCCCCTTGTTGCGATACAGTCGACATATAACTTGTGAGACTTTAAGACGCACCATTGGGTGGGTGCCCCGGCCTCCTCCCGCCGGGGGCCTGCAGCAGCACCTCCTCCCCTCGCCGTGTCCCACACGCTGCTGTGTCTGAATTCCCGGGACCCTCCTGGGCACCCGTGGGGAGACCCGGTGGGGTTCAGGAGCACCCCCAGGCCTCATGCAGCAGGTGGAGGGCCCTGCCGGCTTTAGAAGTCCTCGAGCTCTGAATTAGGGCAGTGTGGTGTGATTAAAAGTTGGGCCTGGCTGGCCCCCAGGTCGCGCAGGGGAAAGGTGCTCACTCCTACGCGGTCTGCTAGCGCCACTGGCAGTCACTGGGGAGTCCGAGGACGGCAGACTCCCCCCGGAAGTGACTTGGTCTTTTCTGTGTGGGTGCCCTGGGGGCTGCATTTCCTTATTCTTGATCCAGAAGTGGTGTTGGCTGTGTGGGCTGTGCTGGGGTGACAGTTTCCCCTGGGGACACATACGACCCTTGCAATATGTCCTTTTAAATCTCACTTTATCTCAGGAACTTAGAGATACATCTAGTATTTCAGCGTTCCACTATTTCAGAACTCCTGTTCGGAACTCCCTGTTATGTTTTGTATCATCTTTGCCCCTTTTCTCTTAAAATCAAATCCTTTAGAGATTTTGGCCCTCCAGTCATGGGTTTTCTTTTCCTTCAGAATTTCATTTTCTGATTTTGAGAATACATGACGTTCTGTGACGTGCAGAAATCTCGAGTGTGACTTGGTGACATTTGCACGTTGTTCACTTATGTGACGGTTACTCAAATCAAAGCGTGGAACGTCTCAGGCGACCCCAGAGGTGTCCGAGAGCTCCTTCCCAGACGGCAGCCCCCGCCCTCAGCGGTGACCGCTGTTCTGCCTTCGGCCGCAGCGAGTTAGCTCTGCCTGTGCGGGAGTGAGCTCGCGGAGAGAGGCGGTCCCTCATCGCTGTCTCTTCCACCGAGAGGCCTGTCCTCGAGACTCATACGTGTTGTGTGTGTGCTGTTCCTTTTTCTGTTGTGAGCTGTATTCCAGTGTCGTTTGTGAATAAAAATTACCATCTTGACCCTGGCTGCTGTGGCTCAGCAAACTGAGTGCCCGCCTGCAAACCGAAAGGTCGCTGGTTCGATTCCCAGTCAGGGCACAGGCCTGGGTTGTGGGCCAGGTCCCCAGTAGGGGGCGTGTGAGAGGCAGCCACACACTGATGTTTCTCTCCCTCTCTTCCGCCCCCTCCCCCTCTCTCTACAAATAAATGAATGAAATCTTTTTAAAAGTTTGTTATCCTGGTATTGGAAGTTGAGGTTGTTTCCAGTTTTTGGCAATTTATGAAGAAAGCTGATATGAATTGCTTTTTTTTACTTTTCTTAAAATGACTTGGAGGGTTTTTTTTTTATTCCTGCCCTCCAGCCCCTCTCCTCGGGCGACCGTCAGCTTGTTTTCTGCATCTGTGGGTCTGTTTCTGTTCTGTTGGTTCGTTTGTCTGTTTTGTCCTTCAGGTCCCCCCATGACTGAAATCACACGGTGTATGTCTGTCTCCGACTTACTCCCTTACAGTCATGCCCTCTGGGCCCATCCATGTCGTCACAAACGGCACGGTCTCACTCTTCCTTACACCCGAGTGATGTCCCATTGCGTGTGAGTGCCGCCCGCGCGCCGTGGCTGCCGTGGGCGGTGCTGCGTGGGGCAGAGGGTGCACGTCCCGCTCTCGGCGGCGAGGGTGTCTGCCGTCCTGCCCGCGGGGGCTCGTCCCCTGGGGCCCAGGGGAGGCTGGTGGGCACGCAGTCCCGATTTCTGCCTGTTGGGAACAGTTTCTGCGGGTGACACCTGATGGTCCGTCTCACGGGTCCTAAAATACAAAGTCCTCAGTTCACATCTCCTTGACCGTCCTGTTGCCTTCAACTGCCAGCCTTCTAGCTTTTTAAAGGGGTAACGTGTTATTTGGGATAAAGAATGATTCATCCCCTGGAGAGGAGCGGTGGGCTATGCGTACGTGTCCCCCCACCCCCACACGGAGGGCCACGCTGAGGCCGGAGCCTGGCAACGACCCGGGTCCCGTGGGGAGGCTGAGCCGCCTGTTCGTTTCCTGCAGCTGCTCAGATGGAGGTGAAGAAGCCCTTCATCCTCTCCTCCATGAAGCTTCCTCTTCAGGACACCAATTGCAAGGTCAGTCGCAGGGCCAGCTGAGCTGTGCCACCAGCTGCTGCAGGGAGTGTGGCCAGCTGGGACCGGACACCGCCCCTGCCCGGGCGGCCGCCCTCAGCAGCACAGGGCGTGTGTGCCCGGGAGCCCCCAGGTCTTGCTCCTGACACGGCGCCCAGCCCCACCCCCGGGCCCCAGAGCTCCCTGGAAGGACTGCGGAGCTCGTGAGAGCGGTCGGACTCACAGCTGTGGCTTATGATGGTGAAAAGACACGGCAGCCTCAGCTGTCACTCAGGCCCAGGAGGCTGCGACGGGGAGCCCCTGTCCCCTCCCTGTGCAGTCGTGGGCAGCAGTGTGACAGCACACAGGGGCTGGCACCCTGGGAGCCCCCAGCCTGCGCCCAGGGTCTTTACCGGGCCCCATCACGCAGACCTGGTGGCTGCAGGGCTGACAGTCACCAGCCCCAGGAGGCTGAGCTGGTGGGCGTGGCCCAGGGGGAGGTGCCTGCCCCTGGGAGAGGGTGCCATTCACTGAGTGGGACTGGCTGGCAGCCTCAGCCTCCCAAGGAGTTTGGGCGACCTCCCCCTGCAGGGTGAGAGGGGCTAGGGCAGGAGGAGCACAGCCCCGGGTGTGGGACGTCTGCAGGCTGCACGGGGCTGCCTGTGCTGTGAGGGGCTGTGAGGGAGGCCCAGGTGCGGGGGCAGGTGTGGCGAAGGCACAGCTCGGGCAAAGGGAGGGGTGAGACTTGTGGGTCCACACTGGACTGTCCGGGACTGTCCCCCCCGTGCAGGTGAAGCGGGCGGCAGTGCAGGTGATCAGCGCCATGGCCCACCACGGCTACCTGGAGCAGCCCGGCGGCGAGGCGATGCTGGAGTACATCGTGCAGCAGTGCGCGCTGCCCCCCGATGCCGAGGTGAGGCCCCCGCACCAGCCAGGGCCTGGCGGCTCGGCTGGGGGCTGCCGGGGTGGCTGCGGCCTCGGGCTGTGTGCCCAGCAGACGTCTCCAGTGTCCAGTCGGGGCCTCTGCACCCCGGCAGTCAGTTCCTGGGCGCCAGCACTCAGGTGGGAGAGGCAGAGCAGGCAGGCAGCTCTCTCTGGGGCTCTGCTGTTGGAAACGGTGCTGAGAAAACCCCAGCTTCTCCTTGAGGGACAGCAAGGTAGACCCCGGTGGAGCGGACGTTGCGGGGCGGCCGCAGCATCCCTGCCACCAGCCTGCGGTGATTGTTGCAGATTGACCCGCTCGCTGTTCAGGTTCCTCAGGACCTCCCCCAGGACATCCTGTCCCCCGTAGGCAGTCCTGCCCTCCCTTTCCCGTCTGATGCCTCCAGCACAGGGCTGCGTGCGTATGGGCGGTGCCAGCAACCTGCCTGCGCTGTCCCAGTGCTGAGGGAGCACGCTCCGCAGGTGACTATTGAAGACCCTGCCGGCAGTCAGGCCCACAAGTGCTCCGTGAATGCCGGGGGACCCTCGCAGCCCCCAGGGGCAGCCTGACCGTGACTCGCTGTCAGGCTAACCCGTCGCTGGGTGCGAGTTGCTGATATTTAGTTGGGAGATTTTGCGCCCCGTCAGGAGGGATGTTGGCCTGTGCATTCCTGGTAATGTCTTTCACTGCTGCCGCTAGAGCCTCACTGCGTTTGGATACGTTCCCTCCTCTTCTGATTCGTGAAAGAGTTTGTGGAGAATTGGTATCATTTTTCCTTCCGTCTTTGGTAGAATTCCTCGGTGGCGCCATGGCCTGGAGGTTCCTTTGTCAGGGAGGTGTTAAGTGTGAATTCGGCTTCTCTGATAGACAAAGGGCCATTCAGGTGATGTGTCCTCCTGGCTCAGCTTTGATGGTGAATCTCAGGGCCGAGCGCGCCGCCTGCGCGGTGACGCACGGGACTCGCCGGCCCCGGGCCCCGCAGTCGGACCCCATTCTGTGCACAGGTCTCCGTGCCTCCCGGAGGGGCCGCAGGGCACACTCCGACAGCGGCGGAATGCAGCCACACGGCGGGCGGGCGCCGTCTCTGCCCCTTGGAGTTCCAAGTCCGGGGTTTTCGTGGGAGGCAGGCCGCGCAGGCGCTCAGGGCCTCGGCACCGGGACCAGCGAGATCAGTTAGCGGCTGCTTCAAGGCCAAGCTCCCTGATGCACGGAAGACAGTTTGTCGGGTCTTTAGAAAATTTAATGGAATTACCATCTGACCCAGCCGTTCCACTCCTGGGTACACCCCCAAAAGAACTGACAGCAGGGTCTGGAAGACGGGTCTGCACAGCCGTGCTCCCGGCGGCGTGATTCGCAACGGCTGAAATGTAAGCGTCCGCGGTGTCCAGCGGTGGAGGGGGAGGGGCGGTACATGCGGTCTGCCAGCCGCGCGGCGGGGCATTGCTCAGCCTTGGGAAGGACGGAGTTCTGACGCGCGCTACAACGCGGGCGAACTTGGGAGAATTTGCTGATTAAACTTTCACCTAGTTTTAGAATCAGTTTGTGATTCTCCAACTCCATTGATTTTTCTGTGTTTATCGCTTGGCCATTGGCCATAACAAAGGGCTCTCTCCCCGTTCTCGCGCTCACATGTGCGTGGCCCTGTGGGTGGCGGGTTGCTGTGCTACTCGGGGTCCTTAATCCGGTTCCGTCGCTGGTTCGGTGGCCGGATCGTGCCGCACGTGGCCCGTGGCCCTGTGGCAGGGCCTGCGTCCTTCTCTGAGCCGTGACCTCCCCGCACAGCAGGGGTTCCAGGCTCACCCCGGGCTGTCCCTGCCTCCAGCTCCCGGCCCTTTTCATAGGAGCTCTCTTTGTCTTTTACTTGTGCGGGGCCTGCCTCCTTTGTTTCTTTGAGTGCTTCCGGCTCTCCGTCTCCCTCCAACTCCGGGGCTTGTGTTGCCTGTATGGCAGCGCTTCTGGCTTTTAGGTCTTTCTCTCTCGTCCTTTATTGTCCCTCCAAGTCTTCGGCCGGCTCCTCCGAGTCAGCCGTCCCTTCCTCAGCGATAACCATTTCACTGTTCGCCTCCTGAGTTGCATGGTCTTTCAACTGCTACAATGTTTCACGTTGTTTTCCCTCATTTTTGGTTCCCGCCAATGTTTCCCACCTGCAGCGTGGTTCTCGTGGTTCTCGGGGCACGTCTGTGCTCTCCGTCCGTGTCCCTCATACTGCGACTCCCAGTGGGCTGTGACAGGCCTCGGCGTCACTGTCAGATGGTCTGCAGTTTTTACGTGGGTTCTTTTTATATATTTTTTAAAGATTTTATTATTTTTAGAGAGAGGGGAAGGGAGGGAGAGAGAGGAAGAGAAACATCACTGTGTGGTTGCCTCTCACACGCCCCCTACTGGGGACCTGGCCCGCAACCCAGGCATGTGCCGTGGCTGGGAATTGAACCCACGATCCTTTGGTTCTCAGGCTGGCACTCAATCCACTGAGCCACACCAGCCGGGGCTACTTGGGTTCTTTATTAACCCAGAGTTTCTCACAGGACTGTAGGATTTTTCCAGGGGAACGGCTTGTCATGGCTGTGTGGATTTGCCCCTTTACTGCATCATCTGCATCGACCGTGGCCGGGGTTGCTTCCGTTCGAGAGACTGTTGAGATACTGTTTGCGGCCTCCCGGGCGGTCAGGCTGTCAGAGTGGTCTCCGTGTGTCTGGTGTATTTCTAGAGCTTTAAAAACGGTTGTTCAAGGCCCACCCGCCCCTAGTTTTCCCGCTTGGCCTTGATTTCCGAGTGAGAAGTCCAACCAGTGCCCGCAGGTGTTGCAGCCACTCCGTGTGGCGCTGGCGGCTTTCCGGGCGTGTGTGGGAGGGAGTGCAGCCTTGGCGGAGCCGCCAGGAAGCCCGGCCGACGGTGTCGTGGCTGCGTTCTTCCGAGTCGAAGGTGGGAGTGTTCTCGGTGGCCCTCTTCCAGGAAAGCCCGGCCTCAGCCGATGGCAGAGTGCTGGGGCCTGGCGAGGTCTCCTCTCACGCAGTCAGGGGCTTGTAGGAGCGGCCCCGGGTGTCCGTTGTTTCGGAGACCAGAACGAAGCTGGGCGAGCCGCTTTCTTGGCGGATCTTAGCGCTGACTGCATTTCCCGCCCGTGGGGACACGGGTGTCCCTGCGGTGGGGGCTGGGCAGGGTCTGACCAGCCTCCATACAGGCTGGGTCCTCCTGGCCCAGAGCCCGCGGCCGGGTATCTTGGAGAAGAGAGACGTTAGGCGCAGTGCCCCACTTGCTCCTGCCTTCCCCACCCTCCAGCCTCAGAAGCCCGGGGGCCCTGCGGCGGAGCCCCCTGCCGACAGCGTGCGCGCCGTCAGCATCAGCACCCTCTACCTGGTCAGCACCACCGTGGACCGGATGAGCGACGTGAGTGCACGCCCCGCCCCTGCCCTGTGACTGACCGGCCCCCGCTGGCCCCGCAGCTAGCGCCTGCTTCACTGACTAGACCTTCCCGGCGCCGCGTGCCTGGGGCGGGGGCTCCTCGAAGCTGCCCCCCACCCTCCCGCGCCAGCCTTGATCCTGAGACCAACCACGGCACCGCCCCCAGGTCCTCTGGCCGTACCTGCTCCAGTTCCTCACCCCCGAGCGCTTCACCGGGGCACTGACCCCGCTCTGCCGGAGCCTCGTGCACTTGGCCCAGAAGAGACAGGAGGCGGGGGCGGACGCCCCGCTCATCCAGTACGATGGCAACGGTGCGCGGAGCCCCAGCCCGTGACCCCGCCCCCACCCCGCCCCCGGCCCCGCCCCGTGTCCGCGCCCGCTGCGCCCCTAGCGGCCCCTGAGTGTGGCATCTCCTTTGCAGTGACCCTGCCGTCTCCCTTCGCCATAGCCACCAGGCTCCTGGTAAGCGGCGCAGGCGTCCTCCTCCGAGGGGTGTCAGCAGAGGGGCGGGTGCTCCCCCTGTCCCTGGGCGCCTGTCCTCGCGCTGTCACGGCCGAGGGAAGGACGCCGCCCCAGGCGCTCCCTTCTGGGTGTCTGGGAGCTGTTTTGAGGGGCGCGTTGCCTCCACTCCCGGCCCTTGGGGGCAGCCCTGTGATCCTGCGTGGCTGCGAGCGCCCCCTGTGCCTTGCAGACCGTGTCTTCCCGCCCCTACCTGGGGGATGGCCGCGGGGCGGCCTCACTTCGCCTCCTGAGCGTCCTGCATCGGGACATCCACCCTCTGCTGGGGCCGCGGTGGGCCACGACCATCCCCCTGCTGCTGGAGTACCTGGAGGGTGAGGCCCGGGAGGCGGGTGGGTCCTGCACCTTTGACCCCATTCTGCCGGCCAGGGCGGCGCTGGCTGCAGGGCCGGGGTTTGCAAGTGGGAAGAAGCCGTCTCCACCACGGCTCAGGAAGGGGTCTGGACAGCAGGCTAAAGGGTGCCGCTGCTGGTGTCCCTTGGGGGTGCCTGGGGTGCTGGCCTGCTCTGGATTTCCTCTGTGCTCTGGAAGGTGGGGTGCGGCCTGGGCCCGGGGTGCTCTGAACACCTCTCTCTTGTCTGCCGGGACGGGCCCCTTGCTAGGCTGATGGGAGACTGTCGTTTCAGAACACAGCGAGGAAACCCTGCCGCAGAAGGAGTGGGAGGAGAAGCTGCTGGTGGTGAGCGAAGGGAGAAGAGACCAAGGTGTGGCCTGGCCTGGGTGGGGAGACCCTGGGGGCCGCACCTTCCCAGGGCGGTGACACCTGCCTTGACCTAGTGGTGTGGCTGGTGGCGAGAGACAGGCCGGTGTCTCTGGGGGGAGGACTGTCAGCCACCCTCCCAGACTGCCCACTCTGCTGTGACGGCCACTCATGGGGGCTGTGCGCTGCCCTGGCCACGGCAGCTCCCTGGCCTGTCCATTGCCTGGCCCAGAGCTGCCTGTGGCCCTATGACCTGGTGCATGTCTGCCTGGACGAGAAGGTCACCTACCACCATCCAGGGCCATGGCATAGGACCCCTGAGGTCACTGTGGGCGCCCCCGGGCCTTGGCCCCTCCCCAGCCAGCCCAATGCCGGCTGAGCCCCCAGGCCCCGTGGCCGCTCCTGCCCGCAGTTCCTCCGGGACAGCCTGGCCGTCGTGTCTGACAACACATGGACCTGCCAGCTGAGCCTGGAGATGTGCAAGCAGCTGCCCTGCTCCAACGGGACACCCCAGGAGAAGGTGGGGGGGGTGCCCCAGGAGAAGGTGGGGGGGCGCCCCAGGAGAAGGTGGGGGGGCGCCCCAGGAGAAGGTGGGGGGGTGCCCCAGGAGAAGGTGGGGGGGGGCGCCCCAGGAGAAGGTGGGGGGCGCCCCAGGAGAAGGTGGGGGGGCGCCCCAGGAGAAGGTGGGGGGCCGCCCCAGGAGAAGGTGGAGGGGGCGCCCCAGGAGAAGGTGGGGGGGCCACCCCAGGAGAAGGTGGGGGGGCCGCCCCAGGAGAAGGTGGGGGGGCCGCCCCAGGAGAAGAGGTGGGGTGGTAGCCTGCCGGGGTTTTGGGGGTAATGGTCCTTGGGTCCAAGTTCCTGTACTTTGATTCTGTGTCATTTGCTGCCTACGCCTGTCTGGTGGCCCATGGGGCCCTGGCAGAGCTAGGAGGAGAAGGCCTGTGGGCTGCCTCGGAGTGGCTGGTGGCCAGTACCGTGGCCAGTGCCTGGGTTCCCAGCAGCCCCTCCCTCCCACGTTGGCTGGCGTGCCGGGCCCCCTCTGCCGGCGTCAGCACAGCACTCTCCCCGGCTCTGCCGCAGAACTTCCTGTACAAATGCGTGGGGACCGCCCTGGGCGCCGCTTCCAGCAAGGACGTGGTGCGGAAGCTGCTGCGGGAGCTGCTGGAAACGGCCAGATACCAGGAGGAGGCTGAGCGTGAGGTGCCCGCCCGGCCCCACCCCCGGGAGCCCCGGGCCCACGGCCGGCTGGCGGCGTTCGCTGTCCTCTCTCAGGCGCGGGGCTGGCGAGGGCGTGTGCGCACGCGTGTGTGCTGCGCACAGAGGCAGCCGTGTGGTGTGGGCTCGTATGTGCCGTGTGCGTGCGCCTCCTGCCCCGCGCCTGCACGTCCCCGCCTCGGTGTGAATGCCCCGCGCGCCTCCCCAGGGCCTGGCGGGCTGCTTTGGGATCTGCGCCATCTCCCACCTGGATGACACCCTGGCCCAGCTGGAGGACTTCGTGAGGTCGGACATGTCCAGGAAGTCCATGGGCATTTTCAACATCTTCAAGGTACAGCAGCAGCCAGGCTCGGGAGGAGCTCATGGGGGCCGTCCCGGGCTCGGGGTGCCCTGCAGGCGGGGGGGCGGGGCAGGTGCTGGAGATGCATCCAGTCTCTGCTTCCTCCTGGGCTGGGCAACCGAGTGGGGGCTCCCTCCCAGCTGCTCACAAAGGGGCACGCCGCCCTCCACTGTCCCACCTGCCTTCTGCTGGTCCGCTGCCCCCTGGTGGCTGGCGGAGGCAGCATTCTTGCCGAAGCCCATTGCAGGACCGTGGGGACCGCATGCCTGCACCCACGCCTTGTCACTCAGGGTTGAGTCTCCTGGTGCCTGTCCCTGTGCCAGAATCTCAGGGCGGGACTGGCTGTGCAGGTGTGGGCAGGCAGGTGTGAGCAGGCCCCGAGGACGGAGGGGACCCTGGCTCGGCTCCCCAGCTCTTCCTCCTGCCTGACCCCCTGCCCCTTGGTCCCCTACTCAGATCTTTGGCCTCTGTCCCTTGGTCCCCAAACGGCTTAAGTCTGGCTTATCTCCCCCCCCCCCCCCCGAGGGAGGGACGGGCTCTCCTGGGGTTGGGTGGGGTCAGGTCGAGCCGCTGACGTCGCTGGCGGCTCTGCTCTCTTCCCTGGCGCCCGCCCTTGGGGAGGGGGGGAGGTGTGCGAGGCCCCCTGTGTGGCTGAGCCCTGCGCCCCGCCCCGCCCCCCAGGACCGCAGCGAGAACGAGGCGGAGCGCGTGAAGGGCGCGCTGATCCTGTGCTACGGGCACGTGGCGGCGCAGGCGCCCCGGGAGCTGGTGCTGGCCAGGGCCGAGTCCGACATCCTGCGGAACGTGTTCCAGTGCTTCAGCACCAAGGTGGGCGCCGGGCGGGCCTGGGGGCGGGGCGCCGAGGCCCCGGTCTCGCGTTTTAACGCCTCTCGCTTTTCGTTGTTCAGGTTCTGGGAATAAAGGTAGAGACCAAGGTACAGTGTGTAGGAGATAAGTGCGACTCTGCCTTTCTCTCTCCGCTGGGCGGGCTGAGCTTCTGGGGCCGGAGCCGTGGGGACGCCCACGGGGGCCTCCTGGTCCGGGGGCCTCCTGGTCCGGGGGCCTCCTGCTCCCGGTCTCTGGGGACAGCGTTCTGGAGCCCCACCCAGGGCCTGTCCCCGTGCACCTCGGAGCAGCCCCTCCCCTGCTCGGGCTCGGGCTCGGGCCCAGGCTCCGGACGGTGGGTGGGAAGAAGGGGGCCTTCTGCCCTCTGAGCAGCGGAGGTGGATCCGGTGGATTCGCAGGCGGGGGCAGGGGGCCTCGCACCGCACCGCACCGCAGCCCGCCTCCCGGCTCCGCTCCCTGATGCTCAGGGGGCTGACCTTCCGGTGAGCGCCGGGGAACTGGGAACGGGCTGAGCTCTGCAGCCAGTGACGGCGGCCTCCGGCCTCACTAACACGTTTCCCTCTGGAACCTCTGTCACTAACCTGGAAGCCGCTCCCTTGGACCATCGGGCCCAGCCCCTGAAGACAGACCCTCTGGTCTCCTGGGGTTGGCTGGGGGTGGGGCTGTCCTGAGACTTCTCTTTTCCCTGCGCCCATTAGGGTTGGGGTGGGGCGCACACCCCCCTCCTTGGCCCCCAGAGGCCAAGTTGGGAGCGTTGGCAGGGCAGCCCCACTGTCCTGGGGCTCTTCTTGGGTGTGCTTGCTCTGCCTCCTTGTGGGACCCTTTCAGCCACCCTCAGGGTGCAGGGGATGGGGCTGCCATCCGCCTGCAGTTACCTGCCCAAGGCTGCGACCCAGGGACCCCAGGGCCTGGGCCAGGCAAAACCCAGTGCCTCACGGCTCCTGCACGGTGCCCTCTTGGTCCTGGTGGCTTTGACAAGCCCTTAAGAGCAGGGGGGCGGTGGAGTGTCCAACCTCTTGCTGTGGGCAGCCACCCATTCTGGGCTCAAGCCCGTGGGCAGAGAGGCAGTGGCGGCCACTTCAGGGCGGACCCACGCCGCGCAGTGGGCGTTGGCGGCCTCCTGCAGCCGGCCCTCCCTGCAGGACCCGGCCCTGCAGCTGTGCCTCGTCCAGAGCGTGTGCATGGTGTGCCAGGCCATCTGCAGCAGCGCACAGGCCGGCTCCTTCCACTTCTCCCGGAAGGCAGAGCTGGTGGCCCAGATGATGGTAAGGCCGCGCAGGGCCTGGCGGGTCCCCGGGCGGCTGGAGGGCACTGGGGCCGACGAGGGGAGGTAGGCCTGGGGAGGCCGAGGTGCTCGCAGCCAGGGCCCCGGCACAGTCAGGGCGGCTGCTTGGGAGGACAGCCGCGCCCTGGCCTGGGGCTGAGTCGCGCGCTGCCCCCAGGACTTCATCAAGGCAGAGCCCCCGGACTCCATGCGGACGCGCATTCGGAAGAAGGCCATGCTCGCCTGCACCCACTTGGTGTATCCTCTTCTCTGCACGTGGGCTCCCGGGGGGAGGGCCTGGGGGTGGCCCGACAGGCCTGGCCCTTGACTCACGGCTCAGCTCCCTGGAGCCCGAGCTGGAAGAGCAGGCGCAGACGGACATGGTCCGCGGCTGTCTGCACAGCGTCATGGCGGTGCTGCCTGAGCCCCAGGGGGAGGACGGCCAGCAGGAGGTATCGCCGGGCGCCCCTCGGCCCCTGCTCGCGTCTGTGGGGGGCAGGGGAGCGGCCGCTGCGGGCGGAGGGCTCACCGGTGGGGCCGGCACCTGCTCCCCTTTCAGTCCCTGCACCTGGACACTATGCGCGCCCTCGAGGACCTGCTGAGGAGCGTCCTTCGGCGGAACCTGACGCCCCAGGGCCTGCAGATCATGGTGGAGGTGTGCGGCGGCGCGGTGTGCGCCCCGGGGGCGGGGGGCGTCAGGGCACCTGGCAGCCAACGCTCACTTGTTCCTCAGGGCCCTCCTCGCCTGGGGGCAGCGCAGGGGCCGTTGGGTGCTTTCTGCAGTGCTGTGGGGTCTGCGGGCAGGAGTGCATGTGGGGCAGGCCCTGACCCAGGTGGGGCCTGGAGCCTGTCCCCTGTCCCTTCCACCTCATGCTGCCTGGATGCAGAAATGCTGCAGGTGCTCCAGGTGTGAGCTTCCGACTGTCTGGGGCCATCGAGACAGCGGGATGGGCAGGTGGTGGCCACCCCGTCCCTTCCTGGGCCCGGCTTGCTCTGGGTCCGCCTGGGGTGGCCAGGCCAGCAGGACAGAGGCGGGGCAGGGTGAGCTGTAGCGGTGCCCTGCCCTGACCAGGCCCTGCCGGGCCCCGAAGCGGAAGGGAGGCCTGGCAGGGTGGCCGACCTGCCCGTGGTGCCCGGGCTCCTGGGCCCCACGTCCCCCAGGCTGGCCCCTGTGTGAAGGCCCCTTCTTTCCCAGCACCTGAGCCCGTGGATCAAGTCCCCTCGGGGCTACGAGCGGGCGCGGGCGCTGGGCCTGAGCGCGGGGCTGCTGCAGTTCTTCCTGGAGCACCTGCACGTCAGCGTGAGTGACGGGCGGCCCGCTGCCCCGCCCCTCCCCGGGTGGCCCCTCCCCGGGTGGCCCCTCCCCGGGTGGCCCCCTTCCTGGCCCTGAGCTCCAGGTCTGCCACCCTCGTGTCACCCAGCGTCCGGCGGGCCTTCTGGCTGTCAGCCGGCCATCACCCTGGGCTCCTGTCGCAACCCAGAGAGAGCCCCTGCTCTCCCTGCAGACACAGATGGAGGGCCGGGCCGGGCCAGGTGTGTCCTCAGAGCTGGCCACGCCGAGTCCCGCCTGAGGGGCTCCTTGGTCCTTAGAGCCCGTGCGCCCGCCAGCGCTGAGGTGCGCTGTGTCCCACCTGAGGGAGAGCGTGCTGGGGAGCCGGGTGCAAGAGGAGGACATGAGGGCGTCGGAGGTGGACGCGGCAGTGTGGGCACAGATGGAGCCTGGCCCTGCAGGGTGCTGCTGGGGAGGTGGACCCTGTGTGGGCGGCCGCTGCCAGTGGGCAGGGCGGCCCCAGGCGCCCTCGGGGCTGTGTGCTGCGGTGTCGTCCCTGCAGAGCCGTGAGTCCAGGTGATGTTGGGCCAACAGGGCCGAGCCCTGAGGTGCCTGGTCCCTGACGTGCCTGGCGCAGGGGTGACGGGCGCGGGGAACTCGGGAGCGGAGCCAGCAGCTCTGTGTGGACGGTCCCGCCCATCACAGGGGTGATGTGGTTGTCAGCACAGCTCTTCCCTCAGCTGTGCCGTGACCGCCTGCTGCTGGCGCCTGGGGAAGCGTGGGTTTGGGGTGCTCGGTCACTGGGTAGTTTGTAAGACCCCTTCGTTACTTCTGGTGAGATCTCAGCCAGTGAGTGTCCTTGTGCCGCCCAGACAGGCGGTCACGGGGCGTGCGGACCTGGGGTTTGGCCCTCCCCCCAGCACTGGCAGGCTGCGGCCCCCCCCTCGCCTGGCCCTTCGGGAGCCGTGGCCCCGCCTTTGGTGGTTCCGCTGCTGAGCACGAGGCTCGGCCTCCTGGGCCACGTTCATTCTTTCTCGTGTTCCACAGCTCCCTACTCGTTCTAATGAGGGCTCTTTTAAAAAAAATTTTATTGATTATGCAATTACAGTTTTCCCAATTTTTCCTCCTTTATCCCCTTCCACCCTGCACCCCCCAGCCCTCCAGCATCCCCAACTTAGTTCATGTCCAGGGGCTGCACATGTAAGTTCCCTGAGTTCTCTGTTTCCTGCACCATTTTTATCTCTCCCCGTCTGTTTTATGCCTAGGGATTATGCTGCTTCTTCCCTGTACCTTCCCCCCATTCCTCCCTTCCCCTCCCCACTGAACGCCCTCCGTGTGCTCTCCAGCTCTCTGATTCTGTTCCTGTTCTGGTTGTTTGCTTAGTTTTTGTTTTTGTTGTTTTTCTTTTCTTTTAGGTTCATTTGTTGATAGTTGTGAGTTTGTTGTCATTTTACTGTTCATATTTTTTTATCTTCTTTTCCTTAGATAAGTCCCTTTAACATTTCAGGTAATAAGGGCTTGGTGATGATGAACTCCTTTAACTTGCCCTTAACTGAGAAGCACTTTATCTGCCCTTCCATTCTAAATGACAGCTTTGCTGGACAGAGTAATCTTGGATGTAGGTCTTGCCTTTCATGGTCTAGAATACTTCTTTCCAGCCCCTTCTTGCCTGATGAGGACTTTTTTTAATTTACTGACTTGAGAGAGAGGGAGGGAGGGAGGGAGGGGGCGAGAGGGAGATTTGTTGTTCCACTGACCTATGCACCCATGGGTTGCTTCCTGCGCGTGCCCTGATGGGGGTGGAACCCGCAGCCCTGGCGTTCGGGACGCTGCCGCAGCGCCCAGAGCCCCAGCCGCGGCCCCGCGAGCACAGTTGTCAGGAGCACAGACTGGGTGTCGCCAGATGTCTTTTTTTCATCTGTCAGGATAATTGTCGGCTTTTTCTCTTGGTGTTTGGTTATTTTTTAAAATGCACCTGAACTTGCATTCTTCATGTGGCCAGCCCTGCCGTGTGTCTCCCAGCGGCTGTCTGCTTGGGTGCCCCCTCGGACAGGCCTTGCCCACGCGGGCGCTTCCGTGGCTGTTCCCCCTCCAGCGTGTCTTTGTGCGCGCCGTGACGGACTTCTGACCTGGCCAAGGCGAACCTCAGCTGGTCCCTGGGGTCCTTCTCCCACACTCCTGCCTCCCCTCCTCCCGCCAGTCCCCACGCTGGCGACCCCAGGGCCAGAACGGAGGCGGTGGGGCAGGAAGGCCGAGTGGTGTGAGCCGGGGGTGGTGGCTGGGGCTGCAAGTCCCAGGGCAGGAGGTGGCCAGGCTCCGCGTTTGAGGAGAGGAGAGGCTCTGAGAAGCGCGGCCCGGACCCAGTTCTGATGCAGAAGGGGTTTCCCTCACCTGAGGGGTTTGCCTTCCGGGGGCGGGGCCCTGAAGGCGGGGGCGGGGCCCTGAAGGCGGGGGCGGGGCCCTGGTGGCGGGGGCGGGGCCCTGGTGGCGGGGGCGGGGCCCTGGTGGCGGTGGCGGTGGCGGAGTCAGCTGCCCTCGGCTGCCCTCCGACTCTCAGCACACGCAGGCCCGCCAGCCTGGGCCTCCCGTCCTCTTGGGGCCCCGTCAGCTGGGCGTGGGAGGGCGGAGCTGAGTGGGGCCCACACTGGGGTGGCAGGGGCGGGCCTCCCCAGGGGCCCCGTGTCCCCCCCCCCAGCTGCCCAGGGTCCCCGCAGCTCCCGCCCCCCTGCTCCGCTCCAGGCCCTGGTGCCCTTCCACAACCTGGGCCTGCTCGTCGGCCTCTTCTCCCCACGGTGTGCGGACCTGTGGCCGGCCACCCGCCAGGAGGCCGTGAGCTGTGTCTACTCCCTGCTCTACCTCCAGCTGGGCTACGAGGGTGAGCCCCTGCCTGGGCAGAGGTGCCACGGGGATGAGGAGCAGAGTCCGGGCCTCCGGCGGCCGGGATGCCCCGCCCAGCTCCACGCTCCGTCCCGTCCCTGCAGGCTTCTCCCGCGACTACCAGGACGACGTGGCCGAGCGGCTCCTCACCCTCAAAGATGGCCTGGTGCACCCCGACCCTGCCATCCTCTTCCACACCTGCCACAGCATCGCGCAGGTACCTGCCCGCCAGGCCACGGAGGGCCTCCGGCAGGAGCCTGGTGCCTCCCGCGGCCCCGCAGGGCACTGCGGCCAGCGGGCTTGGGGCGCGGGGATGGGAGCAACGTCGTCGGGTTTCGTTCAGAGAAGCAGCCGTGCCCTGCTGCCGGCGCCCTGCTGAGCCCAGGGTGTTGAGGGCGCTGGCCGGCCCGGAGCCCCCGCCAGGGCAGTGCCCTTCCCGGAGGCCCTGCCTCAGCTCTGACGCGGAGCGCTCCTCCTAGATCATTGCGAAGCGCCTGCCGCCGGATCAGCTCATCAGCCTCCTGCTCACCCTGTTTGAGAGCCTGGGAGACCCCGACAAGAACTGCTCCCGCGCGGCCACCGTCCTGATCAACTGCCTGCTGAAGGAGCGGGGCAGCCTGCTCCAGGAGAAGGTGCGGCGGGCGGGGCGGGGCCTTCCGGGCGGGGCGGGGCCTTCTGGGAGGGGAGGGGCCTGTCCGGGGGCGGGGCCTGCCCGGGGAGGGTGGGGCGTGGTGCAGTCCGGGCAGGGGGCGTGGCCCTCACTGCTCCGCCCCTTTCCCTGCGGGCCTGATAGGGACAAACTCTCCTTTGTTCGAAGACTGAGGTTAGGTTTTAGCAGAGGTCGCCCTGCTCAGAAAGTAAGGTGAGGAGAGGAAATGGGAAGGCGCCGGGGCCGACGGCCCGGAGCTGGTGAGGACTCCGGTCCTGAGGGTCAGCGCCAGGTGCAGGGAGGCCTTGGAGGTGCTGCCCACGCCCACCCCGGCCGCGCTGAGAAGCGCTGCAGCTCCCGGGGCTTCCCTCCCGCCCCCGGCCTGACCACGGAGCCTGTCGCCCGCAGGTGCCCGAGATCGTGAGCGTGCTGCGCTGCAGGGTGCAGGACACCCGGGACGCGCACGTCCTGCAGGCCTCGCAGCACAGCGTGCACATCCTGGCGTCCCAGCACTGCCCAGCCGTGGTGTCCAGCCTCCTGGGCAGCCCCCTGCCCTTCGACAGGTACCGGGCACCGCCAGCTTGCAGGGGTGGGCGCGGGTGTGGGTGGCCCTCCTGCCTCAGTGTGGTGCCCTGTGCCCCCAGCCCCCTCCCCCCGCCTCTGCTCTGCTCCTCTGCGTAGGGAGCCAGGGGGACCCCAGGTCCTGGGGTCGGGGGGGACACCCCAGCCCTCGGGTCGCTGTCGTGGGCTGTGCCCTCCACTTCCCCTGGCCTGTCCCCTGCGGGGCAACACCGCTGTCTGTGGGCAGACACCGGGGCCTGGCTCTCCCTGGGAGCCAGGGAAGGGCCCCGCCCCCACGTCCCACTCCCAGCTGCGAGCCTGCCGGTGCCCCGTCCTGCCTGGGCACTGCCTCCCCTCCGCCGCTCGCTCTCCAGGCGGCCGGGGCCGTGGCCGTGGCAGCAAGCCTGCTGGTGCTGTCTGTCTGTGCTGTCCGCGCCGCGGGTGGGGGCCCGCCGCGTCTGGGCTGCCCCGTGCTTTTGCAGAAGCTCCCGGGCCGTCACCTCGAGTTCTGCGTTGAGGCGCATCTGGGGTGACCCTCTGCGGGTGGCTCGTCTGCCACCAGGACCCGGCCAGCATCCTCGGTCCTCACGTGGTGGGGGCGCCGCTCTCCGGCCTCGTGCCTGTCTGCCCGCCTCTCCTCCCTGTGCCCTTGCTCGCGTCCTCGGCAGGCTGACAGGGCTTCCTCACGAGCCGACTTGTTTCCGCTCAGTTACTGTGGTGGGAGCCACACACTCTGCTTCTGCTCTTGCAGCGGTCGCCCTACAAATGGCCACGTGTGTGCAGGGGACGTCCCCGTGCGCCCCTCCCTCCGGCCCCGGGCCGGTGCCACGGTGGTCCCCGGTGGTCCTTCTGCAGCCGCGTCTGCCCACATTGGCCGGACTCCCGGCTCCTCCCCCGGCTTCCGTTTTCACGGGGTGCCACTCACTGAGAAACCCGCCCCCTCACCGGGGCCGGCGGGGACTCGGGGGCCACGATGGCAGAGCCCGGTGGGGCGCTGTTCCGGGGGAGCGTGGACCCACCCCCTCTGCTTGGCCGAGCGGCGTCCTGTGGGCACCGCACCGGCCGCGGCAGGAGCAGGCAGTCCTGGTGGGCGTGGGCACGTGCTGCCCCGCCCACACGTGACCTGCCACCTGGTTTTGCACGGCCTGTGGGCGAACAGGTCCACACCTGTCGGTGGTGGGAGAAAACCACGAGCAGGACGTCTCGTGACGGGAAATCACGGGAGGCCAGGTCTCGGTGTCCACGAGGAGCGTGGTGCTCAGACGCCCGCTGGTCCCGCAGCGGGTGTGGCTGCTCGGGGTGTGCGCCGGGGGCTGACGCCGCCCACCGCCCACCACCGCCGCCCTGCAGAGCGTCCTCGCCGTCCTAGTGGATGTGCGTGTCTGTCCCAGGGCCACCAGTGCTCCCCGCGCCCTCCCCCCACTCGAAGTGCGTCCTCCAGGACGGGCCTGAAGGGCTGCCGCCAAAACGCTGCAATTTGTGCCTGGAACTGCGTCTGGTGCCGCTCTCCTCTGCGGCGCCTGGAGCTCTGGTTGAGCGAGTTCTCGCTCACTGCGTGTGAGACGGCGCGTCGCCTCTGGCTCCTGGAGTCGGCCGGCGCCCAGTCTGGGGATGCCGCGCGCCCTCCTCGCTGTGTAGGAGACGTCCCTTGTCACGGGGTCGCGCCCGCGCGGGTCGGCCCGCGACCCTGCGAGGGCGCTGGGACGTGTGGCGTCCTGGCCCGGGTCAGAGTCAGGGTCTCAGCCCGCTCTCTTCAGGCTCCGCCTCTGCTTCCGGGTGGGCGGTGCCCGTAGACCCGGGGCCGCCCCCCGCCCCCCCCGTCCTCTGGCTGCCACCGCGGCCCCTCCCCCGCTGGGTGCTGCTGGTTTCTTCTTCCATCTTCCAGTTCGCCGTCTCTCTCCTCGTGTCCAGGCCGCCCACGCGTGTCTGCCGAGCGCGGCGCTGCATGGCCTCCCCGAGGCGGCCGCCGGCTCTTCCTCATTTGCTGGGTCCGCGTCTGGAGTCCCCGACGCGGCAGGCGTGTGCAGCTTGTCGCTTCTCTCTGTGCGGATGCAGACACTGAGCTCGGCCGCTTCCTGGGTGTCTGGGTGCCCGCGTCTGCCGGCTGCGCCTGCTCGTCCCGCAGGCTGCCTGCCAGTGCACCCGGCCTCTGGCCACGCGCTGCTCGCCGCTCTGGGAGGGGGTTTGTAGGTGCTGCCGGCCGCCCCCCACCCCCCAAACTGCAGGCAGGCCCTCCGCGTTCGGGCCCCTGGGCCCAGGGGAGGCGAGAACCCGGGCCCGAGGTCAGGCTGGGCACCGTCTCCCACCTGGCCGCAGCAGAGCCGGTGGGCACGTGGGAGGCGGGGAGCTGGGGGTCACCACCTTGAGCTGACCTCCCTCGCCCCGCTGCAGCCACACCTGCACCCTGTGGCGGGCCCTGGCCATGGAGCCCGGTGTCAGCACACAGGTCCTGGGCCTGCTCCTGGAGAGGATGAGCAGAGATGTGCCCTTCAAGGAGAGCCGCGCCTTCCTGCTGAGCAGCTCCCCCGACCGCGTGGCCACGCAGCTGCCCCTCGCGGTGAGTGCTGGCCCCGCGCTCCCTTCGCCCCACCGGCAGGACAGCCCCACAGGTGGCCTGGGTGCCGCCCAGCAGGCACCTGGCGGCCGACTGGAGCCCCAGAGCCAGCGAGCTTGGAGCCCGGCCTCGCAAAGTTCCTGCAGGTGTTGGTCCCCACGGGAGACCACTCTGTTTCATCCTGCGGAAAAAAAAATAAACCCGGCTTGGCAACGTTCTCAGCAGTAAAGCAGCTGTGAGAATTCCCTCCTCCTCCCTGCTAAGGAGGCAAGAGCAGATGGTCAGGGGCCATCCCCGGGTGGCCACGTGCACCCTGAGCCTCCCTCCTGCCCCCAAAGGCCCAGCCGGGCAGGACTGTGCCCCTCACCCTGGCCACACCCTGGCCCCTCAGGGGTCCCCCCCTCACTGCCCCGGAACGCAGACCCCCAGGGCACACGGGGGCATGCCGGCCGGCTGTGGGCTCATTTGGGTCCCGGGAAGCAGGGCCCAGACTCGGCAGCGGCCGCCCTCCTTAGCCGTGGCTCCAGAGGAAGGGGCGAGCCTGAGGAGGGCCCTGTCCCCAGGCCACCTGTGCGCTGCACGAGGTCATGTCTGCTCCCGAGTCCGGGCCCGCGGTGCTCGAGCTCTACCCCCAGCTGTTTGCGGGGCTGCTGCTGCGCGTCAGCTGCACCGTGGGCGTCCAGCTGCCCCGGAACCTGCAGGCCAAGGAGCGGAGGGCCGCCAGCTCAGCTCCGGCCTCCAAGACCCTGGATCCCTGCAGGTAACAGGTCCCCCAGCCCCAGCGCTGCCAAGTGAGCGGGCTGCACTGCGCGTGCACCGGGCCAGGGCGCGAGTTTGTGCCGGGAGCTGCCCTTCCCCCGGCGATGCCCGAGGGCACACGGTCCTGCTGGGATCACAGCTTTCCTGGGCCGTCCCTCCTCACCTGCCCGGGCAGGCGTGGTTCGGGGTGTGGGGGAGGCGGCTGCAGGGTGGGTGCTGGGGCGGCCCTGGTGGGCGGGGCCCTGTGGGGGCACCGAGAGAAGTTCCAGGTCTGGTGTGCAGGACCTGCAGGGAGCTGTGCCTCCAGCACTGACCTTTGCGGCCCTGTCCTCTGACCCCGCCCCAGACAGAAACTCAGCAGGGGCCTGCCCGCCTGCCCTGAGGCCTGAGGCCCTGGGTCAGCCCCCGGCCCCCGGCCTGGGCAGGCACCGGGCCTCGGTCCTCCCTGGAGTCCTGTGAAGGCGGCCCAGCAGGCCCTGGGTCCTGGCAAGAGACTGGGCCCAGGCGAGATGGAGCTCCCCTGCTGAGGGTGGGGCCTCAGAGCTTTGGCAGCCCCGGGGGTCTGCCTGCCCACCCTAGTCCCTGGGGCCTCAGGGTGAGCACAGTAAGCCCAGGGCCCCTGGAGCCTGAGTGGCAGCCTGGGTCACCCCTTTTCCACCCCAAGTCTCAGGCTGGGTGTGCCCTGTGGCTAGGACGCCTGGGGACAGTGCCCCTCCACCCCCCCCCGGCCCCCCCAGCTGCAGGGCTGCTCCCTGCAGGACCAACGCGCGGAGTCTGGCAGGGGCTGCGGCCAGGGCCTGCCCGGACCAAGTGGAAAATGTGAACAGACCGGAGAACGCTAACCCAACGGGCCCTGGGCCTGGCGCGCCAGGATGCTGCCCCTGGGCCGTGAGCCGCGGGGACTGCAGGCCACACGCTCCCCCCAGGGGCCCCCGGGCCGCCACCCCTGAGCTGGGACGCGGGCAGAGCCAGGCCCAGGGCTTGGCTGCGACGGAGGCCGTCGGCCAGCGCGGCAGACCCTTGCAAGTGCCACATCCACAGACACTCCGGGCGGCGAGCTGACGGGCCGGGGAGACACCCTCGCTGTCCACGCTGCTCCCGCTCCCCCAGGCCCCGGCCGCGCCCCACAGCCGCCCGGAGTGCTGGTCTCCGCCCGCGGCAGGGTTCGAGGCTGCCCGGGGCATCTGCCCACGGACCGTGGTGGCTGGTGAGGGCAGCCCCCAGTGACTGGGCCCCGACTGGACTCCAGGCATAGCAAAGGGGACAGCAGGAGCTGCCCACAGTGCTTTCTGTCTCGGGGGCGCTGCAGAGGGGCGCGTTCTCCCCATGGACACCCAGTGAGGGCGGCCGTGGGGAGGGGACGGCCCGAGTGCACTGGGCTGCGTCCGCACCATGGGCCGAGGAAGGCCAGGCAGGCGCACTGCCCCCGGGTAGGTGTCTGCCTTGGGCCAGGAACTCCCTGGGACGCCGCCTGGGGGTCCGCGGGCCGGTGAGAGCTGCCGCCGTGCAGGGTAGAGGAGGTCGGGGAGGTGAGCGGACGCCCTGTGGGCCCTGTCGTGCTCGCTCGGAGCCGCGGGCTGTGCGGAAGGTTCTGCCAGGTGCAGGGCCCACGCTGCTCTCTCCAGGCCACGTCCTGAATGCCTCCGTCTGAGCTGGGGGTTCACCCGGGTGAGAGGGGCAGACACTGGATTCCAGCTGGGCCCCCTGGACTCTGGCCCCTCCCGCTGGGTTCTGGGTGGGGCAGTAGGCAAGGCCCACACCTGCCATCCCCCAGGTGGACAGAACTGGACACTTCCTGACAGTGGCCAGGTGCATATCTGGGAGTAGGCTGGGCCCTGCCTGAGGTCCATTCCTGCACAGTTGTGGGGGTCTCCTGGGTGGCTGTGGCTGTGCACTTGGCAGGAACAGGCTTGGGGGCGGGGGCCGGGCCCAGAACAGGGGACGGGAGCCGGCTCCCCTGCCCACCAGACACGGGATGGTCTGTAGCCGCCTGGCTGTGCCCAGCGCGGGGGAGGGTGAGCCCAGGGCCTGCCCCCTGCCGGGGCGGCCAGCCGGCGTGGGCTGCACGGCCCTGGGACGTGGGCGTGTGTGCGTGGGCCCGGGGCCGAGCTGCACGTCCCCACAGCTCGGCGGTGGACGCCCTGAGGACGGCGCTGCTCCGGGGCGGCAGCGAGGACGTGGTGCAGCACGTGGAGCTGGAGGGGGGCTGGGCGTCTCTGAGGACCTCCGCAGGGCACGAAGACGGGGTCACCCGGCTGGCCAGGTAGGCACTGTGGGCGGCTCCTGTGCAGGCGACGGCCAGGTGCCCAGGGACCCAAGGAAAGGCACCGACAAGGGACATCCAGGGGCATGTGGGAGGGGCAGAGCTTCCCGAGTCATGGGCCCAGCCCGGGAGCAAGCGGGCTGGTGAGGGCCGGCTTGGGCCGCGGTCCGGCGTGTGGAAGGTGGGGCGGGGGCGCGAAGGGAGCTGTACCCCTCGGGTGGGGTTGACTGTCCAGGGGCAGGGGGTGGGGTTGGGGAGAGGAGGCCCCTCGAAGGAGGACTGGCAAGGTGAGTTGGGAGGGTGCACCTGACGGGGAGGGTGTGCCAAGCCCGGCAGCTGGGCACAGGCTCACGGGCAGAGGGTGCTGGTGCGCAGAGCGGAAGGGGAGGTGCCCCCCACCCTTGCTCTGTGGGGGGGTTGGCCCCAGGGCGGCTCAGAGCGGCTTCCTTCCCCAGTGCCATGGCGAAGTTCGCGGGCCCCCGCCTGCCCCTGGTGACGAAGGCGCTCCTGGGCGCCCACAGCAGCGTGTACGAAGTCCAGAGGGTCACCTCCACAGCCTTCCTGGCCGAGGTGGGCGCTGCCTGCTCTGGGCTGCTACTGGGGCCTGGGCAGCAGGGCTGCCCCACGGGCCTGCCCAGCCAGAACCACTGCCCAGGCCCCGCTTGCTGCTGCGGGGACAGCGCCAAGCCCGTGGCCCCTGGGCCACACCCGGCGACACCCCTGCTCTGTGTCCTGTGGAGGGCGCCTGCAGTGGGGCTGGGACGGGTCAGAAGTGGGGGCGGGGTATAAGTCACGAGCCCAGCCTGGCCCTCAGCTGGCCTGGGACGCCGCTGCCCTGGTCTGCATGCGGAGCAGTGAGGGGGGCTGGCCGGGCGGGTGACCCCTGGGGGCGGGCAGTCACGGCGCCTCCACCCACAGCTGCTGAGCAGCAACGTGGTGAGCGACCTGCCTCTCCTGGAGCCGCTGCTGGACAGCCTGGCGGCCCGGCAGAAGGACCCGAGCGCCAGCGTGCGGCGGCAGGTGCTCCGCGGCCTGGCCAACATCGCCTCGGGCTCCCCGGACAAGGTCAGCTGCCGGCCGGCCCCTCTGGGGCCCTGACCGCGAGGGCACTGGAGCTGTGGCTGGGAGGCCCCGCAGGTGTGGTGTGGGGGCAGGGGTCGCCTGGCGAGCACACAGGGCAGGGCTGGGCAGGTCGTGCTGTGATGCACCATGACGGGCCTCAGGGCTGGGTGAGACGGGGACACAGCTGAGTGCGGGGCTTCCCCAGGTGCGGGCCCACGGCCCTCAGCTCCTGACAGCCATGATCAGCGGGCTGGACGACGGGGACGACCCCCACGGCCTGGTGGCTCTGGAGGCCATGGCGGGCCTGGTGAAGCTGCTGGGCCTGGTGGAGCCCTGGGACCTGCGCACGGTGCTGCTGCACACGGCCATCCGCATCCGGCCCTTCTTCGACAGCGTAGGCCGGCCTGGGGGGCGGGGCCTGCTGCCTCACCTCACCGCCTCCTCTCCGAGCCTCAGCCCCCGCCCTGCCGCCCGCTCCCCGGCTCCCCAGGTCCCAGGGGCCGCGTGTGGTCACCGTGGCTCCCTCCCCTGAGCTCCCAGGTGGGCCCTTCAGGGTAGGGAGTGGGCCTGAGGGGGCCCCCAGTGTGCTCCGTGGCACCCCCAACCCCTGACCCTCCCCACCAGCATCCCCACCGCTGCTCCGGGGACCCTGCCCCGGGCCCAGAGCACGAGGACCCGCGGGGAAGGAGACGGGCCGAGTGTCAGCGGCGGGGCGGGCGGGGAGCATCCTGTGGGGTGACGTCTGCGCCCCGCCCCTCCCCCCCAGGAAAAGATGGAGTTCCGCTCTGTGTCCATCCGCCTCTTCGGGCACCTCAACGAGGCCTGCCATGGGGACTGCGAGGACGTCTTCCTGGAGCAGGTGGTGGGTGGGCTGGTGCCCCTGCTCCTGCACCTGCGGGACCCCCAAGCCCCCGTGGCTGAAGTGAGTAGTCGGTCGGGGGATGGGCGAGCCCGCGGGGGCTCGGGGCCGAGGGCCTGAGTCTCCGCCCCGCAGGCCTGCAGGTTTGCGCTGCGCATGTGTGGCCCCAACCTGGAGTGTGAGGAGCTGGTGGCTGCCTTCCAGAAGCACCTGCAGGAGGGCCGAGGCCTGCACTTTGGGGAGTTCCTCAACACCACCTGCAAGCACCTGGTGAGGGGGCGTGGCAGCGGCGTGCGGGGGGCGTGGCCAGCGCGGGGTGCACGTGACTAGCTGGGGCCTCCACAGATGCGCCACTTCCCGGACCTGCTGGGCCGCCTGGCGAGCACCAGCCTGTTCTACTTCAAGAGCAGCTGGGAGGACGTCCGCGCCGCGGCCCCCATGCTCACGGGTGAGTGCCCCCTTCTCCCCCCGCCGCCCGGCCGGCCCTCACCCTGACCGGAGCCTCGCCTGCAGGGTTCCTGGTGCTGCACGCGGAGCCCCAGCACCGGCCGCAGGTGGACCTGGAGCAGCTCACTGCCGGTTAGCAGCGCCGCCCCCCCCGCCCCCCCACCTGTCGGGCTGCACGGGGTTCCTGCTGACCCTGTGGGCACCAGGGGGAGACTAAGTGATTTTCCTGGATTTCAAGGATTTTTTCCCTGTCACTGGTGACCTCATCGTCTCTAGTAATTCACGGAAACTTCTTAACTGTTCCAAAAGAGCTTAAAAAACACTAAAAAAGGAAAAACTATCTTTCCGTTGGCTCCCGAGCCCTCCCAGCAGCGGCCTGCTGCAGGAGGGCGGTGGGCGGGCGGCAGCCCCACGCGCAGGGTGGGGAGTGGCTCCAGGGCCCAGGCCCTGCGTCCTGTGCCAGGAGGGGGTGGGACGGGCCCCAGTGCAGCTGTGCGTGGGGGCCTGGCCCAGCGTCAGCTCCGATGGGCCACGGAGTCGCCCCCTGTCTCGCAGCGCTGCAGCTCCTGCTCAAGGACCCCGCCCCCATGGTGCGCGGGAAGGCTGCCGAGACCCTGGGCCGCCTGGTGAAGTTCGCCTGAGGCTCCTGCACGTGCCCCCCAGGCAGCACCGACCAGCGCGGGGCAGCCTGTGCCCCCACCCTGCTTCCAATAAAGCCGTTCCCGCCTCAGCAGGCGAGGGGCTGCAATGCCTTGGCCTTTCCTTGTGGGACAGGTCGCTGGTCACCCCCGGGGGAGAGACCAAATGAAGTGTGGTGGGGGGAGCTCTCAAGAGCTCAAATTCAAGGTCACACTACCAGTCAGAGGAGAGAAACATCTCTATTGAGGGTCCTGAGCAGGTGCCCAGACCCAGGGCCACAAGGCTCCCTAGGTGAAGAGGCGGACTGTGCCGTCGGCCCCCGAGGAGAAGACCCACGGCTGGGTGGGGTGGAAGGCCACGTCCAGCACGCCCAGGTCGCGGGTCAGCGTGTGCCCCCTCAGCACCTTCACGGGCACCAGCAGCGGGTTCTGCAGGAGGTCGCTGTGGGGGAGGGAGTGGCTCAGACAGGCGTGCCCGCCCCTCAACCCCTCGGGGCAGGGGGCGGGCGGGTGGGCTGGGCACTCACTTGTACACCATCCCGTGGCAGACGATGACACTGCCGTCGTCGGAGCCGGACGCGAAGAGTGGGTACTGGGGGTGGAAGGCCACCGCCCGCAGGGCCTTCCTGTGGTGCCTGGGGAGGGGCCGGTTGAGAGGAGCAGCAAGGGAGGACCCCCACCCCCCCACTCCCACCTGCAGGGGCCTCACCTCAGCACTCTGTAGGGCTTGGTGGAGAGGTCCAGGTCGAACCACACCAGCTTGCTGTCGTAGCTGCCGCAGATGAGGTTGTCCCCTGGGAGCAGATGTGGTGGGACCTGGTGCCTGGGGGCTCCACCCAAGGGTGGGACCCGGTGCTGGGGGCTCCACCCAAGGGGTGAGTCCCCACAGCCCCCCCCGCCAGGGTGCATGGGCCCCTCGCCCTCACCTGCAGGGTGCACAGCCAGGCTGGACACCCACTTGCAGTTGGGCATCAGCTTCTTGGTGAGCTCCTGGCGCAGCAGGTGGTACAGGCGGACACTGCGCTGCGAGGCCACGAGCAGGATGGGCCGGACGGGGTGGAAGGCCACCCGCTGCACCTGTCCGTGGCTGCGGCGGAAGGGGCTCTGGCTGCGGCGGCGGCTCAGCTGGTGGATCAGCACCTGGGTGTGGCCCTGGGCGGCCAGCACCACGGCCATGTAGTCCCCACGCCCGTGCCAGGTCACCTGGGTCACCGGCTGCAGGAGGCGAGGGTGGCTGAGCGGGGCCCGTCCCCACCCCCACCGCACCGCCGGGCCCCACGCCCAGTCACCTTGCCGTGACAGACGCGCAGCCGCAGGCCCCCCGGGCGCTCCTCCTCGGAGGCTTCCAGCCAGCGGGCAGGCTGCAGGGCGGGCTCCTCGGGCGGGGTGAAGGCGCCCAGCAGCTGGTCTGTGCTGCCCACCGCCAGCCGGTCCCCCAGGGCCGGATTCAGCAACAGCACCGCGTCCTCCCTGCAGGCCAGAGCCAGATGCAGCCCCGCGGCCACGGCAGCCCCGCGGCCACGGCAGCCCCTGCCCCCACCGCCCAGCCTTGCACTCACACGGCCACGGCCACCAGACAGATGGTGGGGTGGGGGTTCCACGCGACACTCTTCACCGCGCCCCCCACGGGCACAGTCCTCATGCAGCGGGCAGTGGCCACCTCCCAGAACCGCACCGAGCCGTCGTCTGAGCCTGGACACGGCAGACAGGACCTCAGCACCTGCCCTCCCTCCCACCCAGGTTCGCGGCCTGGGGCTCCCCCCAACTTCAGGCCTACCTGAAGCCAGCCACTGGCCCCCCGGGGAGATGCTCAGGCAGCGGACGAGGTCGCTGTGGCCCCTGTAGACCTGCAGAGAAGGGGCAGTGAGGAGACGGACACCCAGGAGCGAGGGTGCCTCCTGCCCCCCCCCCCCCCCGCCTTCTTACCAAAGCCTGGCTCGTGGGGAAAGGCTGAAGGTCCCGAGGCCGAGGCAGTTTGGGGATGAGGTCTTCAGGGTCCACGTTCACCTGGGGCAGGAGATCATGTGGTCAGCCAGAACCCCTGCCACACACCCTGCCCAGGTGCGCCGCCCCCTGCATACCCGCATCTTCCGCTGCCGTGGACACAGGTAGAGGTCGAGGCAGCGCTCGAAGCGCTCGTGGATGAAGCGGCCGTAGGCGGGCACGGCCCGCAGGCTCGAGAACTTGCGTGGCAGGAAGTTGAGCTTCCGCTCCCCAGGCTCCTGCTGCTCCCACGCCTGACGCTGTGGACGTGGGGGTGAGCTGGGGGTGAGCCGGGGCTGACGTGGGCCAGGGGCAGGGGCCCAGGCCCTGACCCTGCGCAGGCCAGACCCACCTCCTCCTCGCTGGGCAGGTACTCAGGGGGCGGGTTGTAAGACTCCGAGTGGCCGGGCAGGGCCAGCTTGGGGGCAGGCACGTGCATCTTGTGGCGTCCTAGCACGGCACTGGGGTCCTCCTGGGCCCACAGGTCGTAGAAGCTGGGGGTGGGGTCGCGGGGCCGGCGAGGCCGGATCCAGCCCATCTTGATGGCGTGCACCATGCGGGAGACCTGCAGACGGACACACGTGGTCAGGGCGGGCGGGGTGAGGGCCGCACCCCGGGGGAGGGGCACCCACCTTCTCCTTCTCCACGAGGGACGGGATGAAACTGCGCTTGTCGGCAGGTCGGTTGGTCACAGGGTGGATCATGAGGTCCCCGCTGAAGAAGTCCACGGCCGGCTGGGGACACAAGCACAGGCCGTGGGCCAGGGCCCTGCAGCTGCCCCAGACGCCGGGGCCAGCCACTGCCACCTACCTCGTAGGGGTCGAAGCCCTCGTCCCCAAACTGGCCCCTCTGCAGCCGCCGCACCAGGGCCACCTGCTCGTCGGTCAGCCGCAGGTCGTGCCCTGTGGTCAGGTCCTGCACCGTGCGCCTGGGGGAGGGGCGTCAGAACCGGCCCCGGCCCCCCCAGCCCCCACCCCGCCCCCCGGCCCCGCCCCCAGGCGCACCAGTAGTCGGGGTCGTCCATCTTGTCCAGGAACTGGTCCAGCTCGTCCCGGGTCCGCACGGGCTTGTAGATGCGCCTGCCGTCCAGGTCGTAGCCCACGTGCGGGAAGTCGTCGTACCACTGCAGCGGCACGTTGCCCACCGTGTTCCGCACGTCCTGGCGGCGGACGGGGCGTCAGCACCGCACACCCACCGTGTGCACCCCCCCCACGGCCCCCAGAGACACACAGGCGGCGGAAGGGCGAGAACCAGGGGAAGGGCCTTGAGGCGGGGCCGGGCCCCCGACACGTGCCGGCCCGGGGTGTGACGTGGCGCGGCGACCGGGCGGCCCCCCTCCGGCCGCAGGAGCTCCGAGCCGCACCTCACATTTTCCACTGAAGTGGTGCCGACCCCGAGCACCGCCCCTCCCCCCGGATTCCCTGGCCGGGGCTCTGGAGCCACAGACAAGGGTGAGCTCATCGCGTGGGCTCCCTCCCCTGGCGGGGCCTTGCGCAAAAACGGGCAGCCACAGACGGGGAAGACCCCGCCAGCCCCTCCGAGGGGAGGCAGGAGCCACTGCATGCTGCCCCACAGGCATTCGAAGACCCCCCCCAGCCTCCCCATCCTGCCCCCCCCCCAAACGGGCAGAGTGGCCACATTCCTGGATACACATTCCTGGTCGAGGCCCCTGCCAGCCACCACCCTCCCTCCGCCCAGCCCAAGGACTGCTGCCCGGCGGCCGCTTCCTGCAACAGTAGCCACAGGGGGAGGGGCTCAGAGGAGCCTGCGCCCAGCTGGGAGCCCCAGGCCCCCTTGCAGCAGGACCCCCTGGGCTCTGGCCCTCCGCACCTGCCCACCCCGAGACCTGCAGACTCGAGTGCTCCCAGCGAGCGAGTCTGTGGGACCCGCCCACTGCTAGGCATGCCCTTCTCCCTGCATGGGGTGGGGGGGGCCCTCCAGTGTCCCCAAGTCTACATGGCTATTTCATACCTGGGCAGACCCTGGTGGGGAACCCAGTGGCAGGGGAGGGGCACGGAGAGGTTTCTCCAGAGCAGAGCAGAGCAGCAGCACGAGCCAGGAAGGCAGGGAGGGCTCCAGGCAGAGGGCAGGGCTTCTGCCGGCCCTGGAGGGTGCAGCCCGTGCCAGGTGGGGGCAGGTGCAAGACAGCCAGGCTGTGCCCCCGGGGAACCCCGGGTGTAAATGTGAGTGGGGTTTCCGGGGGGCACAGCCCCTCAGTGCTCCTCTGTGCACCGCCCCCCCCCGCGCCTGCCTGGCACAGAGGAACCAAGTGCACATGGAAGGGAGAGACAGACAGGGTGTGGCTAGGCGCCGAGGCCAGGGCAGCTGGGTGGACTTGGTCATGCCAGAGGAAAAGGCTGGGGTCATGGGTCCCATCTGACCCTCCTGCCTCCGCTGAGGGTTAGAGGAGGGGACGGCAGAGCCCCAGAACCAGCCGTAAGGGGGCTCCCGCTTCCCCCGCATCCCCCGGAGACGACGGGATGCTCCGGCCCCTCAGCGAGGCGGGAGAAGGCTGAGGGACGCAGGGCCCCTGCTCCGGCGGCCTCCAGGGGCTGGGAGGCGGGGAGGAGGGCGGGCCTGCGCGGGGGAGGGGCCGCCACTGCTATAAAGGCCCGGCCCGCAGCCCCCGCCGCAGCCCGGGACGCACACGTGCGCGCGGCGCACCGCCACCGTGGGCGCCCCAGACCCGCGCCTCCCCGGCCCGGGCGCCCGCCCCCGAGGCCCGGCGGCATGCGCTGCGCGCGGAGGAGCTGACGGCGGCCGGCCGAGTCCTTCGCCATGCTGCGCTCGGCGCCGCCTGGCCGCTACCTGTACCCCGAGGTGAGCCCGCTGTCGGAGGACGAGGACCGAGGCAGCGAAAGCTCGGGCTCCGACGAGAAGCCCTGCCGCGTACACGCGGCGCGCTGCGGCCTCCAGGGCGCCCGGAGGCGGGCCGGGGGCCGTCGGGCGGGGGGCGCCCCGGGCCCCGGGGGCCGGCCCGGCCGGGAGCCCCGGCAGAGGCACACGGCGAACGCGCGGGAGCGGGACCGCACCAACAGCGTGAACACCGCCTTCACCGCGCTGCGGACGCTCATCCCCACGGAGCCGGCCGACCGCAAGCTCTCCAAGATCGAGACGCTGCGCCTGGCCTCCAGCTACATCTCGCACCTGGGCAACGTGCTGCTGGTGGGCGAGGCCTGCGGCGACGGGCAGCCCTGCCACTCGGGGCCCGCCTTCTTCCACGCAGCCCGCGCCGGCAGCCCCCCGCCACCCCCAGCCCGAGACGGGGAGAACGCCCAGCCCAAGCAGATCTGCACCTTCTGCCTCAGCAACCAGAGAAAGTTGGTGAGTGTGGATGTGGGGCAGCCCCCCCCCCGCAGCACCTGCAACCCCAGGGCACAGCTCCCAGGGAGGGAGGGGTGAGGCTGCAAGGCTGGGCCTCCCCCCGGCACCCTCCAGAGCACAGGACCCAGGGGAACGAGAGAGCCTTGCCTAGAACTGGTGGGGATCGGAGAGAGGCCAGCAGGGCAGGCACCGACCTGGAACAGGACGGGGGCCAGAAGAGGGTGGGTTCAGGCAATCCTGGCCCCCACCCCCATAAGGGCAGCGAGGGGGCAGGACGACCCTGCAGGGCAGTCCGCCGGGCTGCAGCCCCCGCCCCGGCCTGAGGTTTGCCGGCACCTGCCGACCCTCCCCGGCCCGGCCCTGGGCTCAGGGCTGCACGCTCAGACGTGGCTGTGGGTCTGCCCTGGTGGGATGCTGGCAGGAGACTCGGGGGCTGGGGGCCGAGCCACGGGACAGCGGCCACTGTGGTTTGCAGCCCCCGCTGTGCTCGGTGGCACCGGAAAAGCGGGGTGAGTGCGGAGAAGCCGCGGCCCGGCTTCTCCCGATCCCCATTTCCTCTCCAGACAGCCCGCGCGAGCTCCTGGGGCCTGAACATCTGGGAAATTTAATTTTACAATTCCGGCTGCGCGGCAGCGTGTGCTCTCCTCCCCGGCGCCCGGGGAAGCGGGGTGAGCGTGGAAGGGGGTGCCTCCCTGGCCCGCCACCTGAGCCGGCATGGGGGAGCCCAGAGGGCGGGCTGGCGCCCGGTCCCTGCCCAGGCCCTGACACTGCCCTCCCTCCGCAGAGCAAGGACCGGGACAGGAAGACGGCGATTCGGAGCTAGAGGCGGATGCCGCTGGGCCACCCACGGACAGCCCCCATGGACCTGACTCGGGCACAGGCCCCCGCACAGGAGGGCGCCCCCCGGGCCCGGGCCGCCTCCGGCCTCGAGTGGGGTCGATGGACAGACAGGCGGCAGGCAGGACTCTGAGCTGGCCACAGCACTTGCCCAGGCCCACTGGAACTTTCCATGCTGGCTTCCTACCGGGGGTTTCTTCTGGTTACTGTGTGCTGGCATCTCGTGTCTGTGGTATGGTAATATAAAGCCTGGAAATTTTGTATAATTAAAAACAAAACAGTATCTTCCAAAGGTGGAAGCACACTGTCCGGACAAAGGGCCCAGAATCCGTTCTGAGCCCGTCCCCCACCCCAAGGGCTGGCTCTCTTCGAGCTGTGTCCCCCCTGGGCTGGATGCACCCCCGTTCTCAGGGGAGACCCCCACCCCCCAGGCCTCAAGGCAGAGCGAGGGGCCTTCTGCCTGGGAGCTGTGGCCTGGGGCCCGAGGAGACCAGCAAAGGGGCAGGAGGGCAGGACCGATGGACACAGACAGCCCCAGGGCCCCGCTCTCAGGACCTGCACGGCACCCAGGCAGCCCCCAACAGTGAGGCTGGCACTGCTCAGGGCTTTGTGCCAGACCTCGGGGCCTTGGCACTGCAGCCTGTGCCCGTGGAGCCCCCAAAATGGACTGGGAGGCAGCAAGGGGGACTGCCTGGCATGGGCCTGGAGGCAGCCACCTCCGTGCACCTGGGGGTGTGCCCTGCCAGGCCCCTCAGCATGTAGCCCCTCAGCACTGCCCACACTGGGAGGACCCCGGCCACCTACCACTGTGTCCACCCAACTCCCCCATCTGCTAATGAGGAGGGCAATCCAGGCCCCTCCCCAAGCCGAGCACAGCTGGCCCACCATTAAAGTCCTGCAGGTGACAATTACAGTTCAGTGGTGTGAGCTCCGCAGGCAGAGAGGGAGGATGGTGTGGCCCCGTGTGGGGCAGGGTGCAGAGCACCAGGTGCTGGCCCTGGGCCCTCTCCGCGCTCAGGCGGCCTCGGGCCCCGGTGGCGTGCCCTCCGAAGCCCCCAGGGAGCAGCCAGGTGCGGGGGCCCACGTGGGCGCCCCAGCAGGGCAGGGCCGAATGTGCCCCCCCCCCCCCGCGAGGACGGGCCCCAGGGAACTGCGGAGCAGGAAGCGGCCGTGTGATTTTGGAGGAAATTCTCAAAGCCAGAGCCATCACGGGCTGGAGGGGGCTGTGTCCAATCTGGTAGGAACACCACAGGATAGAAAGTCACGGCGGCAGGTCCACTCAGAGAAACCCAACTCCAAATTTCCTCTCCTTAATCCTGCAGGAGCTACAGCTGGTCCAGGGAGGGGAGGGGAGGGGAGGGCGAGCTGGTCACTGCAGAAGCCCCCCGCCTGCCCGAGGACCCGGGACCCAGGCGGGGCTCCAGGTCCAGCTGGGGACTGAGAGAGGCCCCCTTCCCCTCTAGGGACCCTGGGGCACTTTCAGGACCTGAGCCGGGGAGAGGCGCGGCCAGTCCAGTCCCCCCAGGCCCCCCGGCCCCTCCCGCCGCACCGGGCAGGCTGTGCGGAGGCTCCAGGGCCCACTGGCTGGGGGTGCACGTTGCCCTCACAAAACCCCCAAGACGACGGGCAGCCAGTGGCCACAGGGGAAGAGGGAGCAGACCCCGAGGAAGGCCCGAGAGAAGGACGTGCAGAGGGAGGGACCCTCCCCCGGAGCTGCTGGCAGGCGGAGGTGTGTGCAGGTGGGAAGTCGGCTCGGGGACGGGCCTCTGGGGCAGTCCCCAGGGCGCGGGGGCCAGGCTGTCCCAGGCAGTGCGCACGGGCCAAGCCCTTTGCCTCTGCGCCTGTGACTCCAGCAGCGGCTGCAGCTTGGCCGGCCACGGGCCGGGCAGGAGGCCCGGCTGCTCCCTGAGCTGCACCAGTAGCAGCGGCGGCGGCGAGGGCCTGGACCGCCAGCCAGCAGGGGAGGGGAGAGGGGGCAGGGAGGAGCACTCCGTCACCCTCCGCTGCTCCAGAAATTCAAACCAGACTGGGGGTGGCGGGGGCGGCCCCACGCAAGTCCACTCGGCTGCTCACAGCCGCTGGGCCGGGGGTGGCAGGTGCTCCCCGCCCACCCCAGCCCTGCTCCCCCCCCTCAAGCCGGCCCTGGGACAAAGGCCCCAGGCTCTCTGTGCTGTGCCCCACAGGCATCTGGCAAGGAGGGGGCCAGCCTGCACTAGGGCCAGCAGCCACCGCCGTGGGCCAAGCTGGGCTGGAAACACTCCGATCAGCCCCGGCTGTCAGCTCCCTGTCCCCGGCCGGGGAACGAGCTGCCGGCGGCACCACATGATTCATCACCGGGCCGCCCGCGCCCGCAGGCCAGCAGCCCCCGCCCTGCTCAGCACCTGTGGCTGCCAGGAAGCACATGTGACCCCACGGGGTGAGCGCCGCCAGCCCCTCTGGGTCAGGCGCTGTGCTGGGAGCCCTGGCTGAGGGCACAGACGGCCCGGCCCCGCTCCCCGGGGCTGCCCTGCCCCGGGGCCAGGCCGGGGAGCAGGCCGGCAGGGTCCCCACCCCAACTGGCCGGAGGAGGCGGCCACTAGCGGAGGCGCGGCTGGGCCGCGACGGCTCCACTGGATGAGCCCGCCCCTCCCCCTCCCCAAAGTGGCTGCAGCTGTCAGGCCCGCAGATTGGAACTGCAGGTACGGCCTGGCCCGCTGCCACCTCCCTCCCTGTCTGTCTGCGAGGGAGGAAGCCGGCCCACCTCTGGAATCCTTCACTCGCTCCTCGTTCCCTCTCCACCTGTCCCCCGGGAGCGCGGGGTCAGCCGCCCTCGCTCAGCTCCCTCTCTCCCCGTGCCCCTCTCCGATTACAATGCCGGCAGTGTTCGCTGCTCCCCAGCACGAAGCTCCCGCCTGTCTCGGGGCGCCCGGCCTTCCTGCACCTCCGTCCCTCCCGGCTCCTCCTCGGGGCCTGCCCCCCACCCCGCGAGCCAGTGCCCTGGCCCACCTGCTGCAGCTGGACCCACAGAAGGTTCCAGCAGGACGAGTCCTGGCTGTTAGACCGGAGGGGAGAAAGCCAGGTCCTAACCCAAAGGCCCAGGACAGCGGAGCCCCCGCCCCCACCACCACGGTGGACGGGTCAGAAGCGGAGAGCCCACTGGCTGCAGCCAGTGGGGCCCAGGTGTCCCAGGTGGGGAACTCAGAGCACCCTCCCCAAACACCTCCGCGGGCACGCCCCATCATTTGCCGACTCAGGTAGCAGAGCAGCTCCGCTGAGACCAGCCCAGACGCCCCCAGCTCCTCCTGTCTGCCCCTAACAAAGGCCACGCTGGCTGACCAGCCCCCCCCCCCGAGCTTGTGGGCGCAGGGCCCCTCCAAGCTCACTGCTGGGCCCCCTACCAGCACCTGCAGGGCTATGGGGGGAGAAGGCACAGAGGCCACCCCTGCCCCCAGGCCCTCAGATACCGGAGACCCGACCCACCTGCCCATCCCCTGGGGCTGAGCGGGCTCCATGGGAGTTCCCAGGTGGGTGTGGGTCCAGGGCCCCTGGCCGGGTGGCAAAGGCTGCTCTGAGCCACACTAACCGGAGACAGAGCTGCTGCCTCAGGCGGGGCCTGGGGCCTGGGAGCTCGGCGCCAGCCCCCAGGCCCCGCCGTCTCCTTCGGGCCTCAACCTCGGCCCGAGCCCCGGGCGCCCAGGCGGCCCTCCTCTGCACGCAGGGCCCCTGCCCGCCGGCCCGCGGAGCCCGGCTCCCAGTGTCACAGCCCCAGCCCCAGGGCGCACCTTCCCCTCCTAGGAGGCTCCTGCTCAGCACCCTCCCACCCACCTGCCAGGGCTCCCGCTGCCACGGAAAGGGGCTCACAGCAGGCGGGGGCTCTGAAGCCCACCCCCGCCCGCAGCTGCTGCACAGGCCGGGCCCAAGGCCCTGCTGGGCCCCGGAATGCTCACTGCGCACCTCCCCAGGAGCAAGGGCCTCCACCCCTGCTCCCTCCTCACTGACCCCCCCAGGGGGACTCTCCTCTCCCACCAGGTGGCTCCTGGGGAGCCCTACACAAGACGGCCCCCCCAGCACCCTGCTCAGAGCTGGAGCCAGGCACAGGCGCCGGGGCGCCTGCAGCCACAGCCATCACGTCCCTCAGCCCTCGTGGGTGCCACCTGTGAGGCCGCGGCTCAGCTCTGCAGGCCAGCGCCCCCCCCCCACCCCCCAGGAGAGGCAGGGCCCAGACCCGGGTCCTGGCCAGCGGCCCCACTCGGAGGCTGGCGGCGGGGGCGGAAGGCCGCCAGGGAGGCAGAGGCGTGGGGCGGCCTGTGAGGCCGAGACACCAGCAGGCTCAGCGACGGGCGGGCGTCCCCACAAACAGCTCAGAAACCTGAGCCAACCGGCCCGGCTGCCAGCAGCGACGCAAGCGCTCAGAGTGCGCGCGCGGCTGGGGGGGCGGGGGGCAGGCGCCCCGGGAGGAGCGGGAGGCCGCCAGCGCTGGAGGCAGCTGCCGGTTCAGTAGCTGGGAGAAGCCATTAACGGCGCTTGGCGGGAGAGCAGAGGGGATCGTGGGCTCGGGATGCAGACAGGCCCGCTGTCCCCGTGGGACCCGCGCAACCGCAGAGACGAGGGGCCGAGGGCCCGCCGGGCTTCGGCCCCGCCCCCACCCCGGCCCGGGGGCGACCGGGGGGTGTGGCCAGGGCTCCTCCCAGCCTCTCGGACCGGAGTTCACCGTGGCCCTGACCCCTCGCCCTGACCATGCTTCCTAGACACACAGCCGCAAGCCTGCGGGGGGCCTCCCCCGCCCACTGTGGGCCTCAGTTTCTCCAGCGGCTGAAACAAAGAGGGGCAGCTGCCGCGAAGGCCGCCAGCCCCCTCCCCAGCCCCTCCTCCCCCACCCCGTCCTGGCGGCTGGATGAGATCACGTCTGTGAGGTGCCGTGGAGCGGGGCAGGGGGACACGGGGGGGCGGGGCGGACGCCGCTCGCAGGCTCCTCAAGGCTCCCGCGTGCACGCACGCGGGCAGGGCCCTGCCTGGCCTAGCGGCGGGTCGGGGGCTTCCCCCAGAGCAGCTCGGAACGGAACAAACTCGGGAGGAGGATGGAGGGCGAGCACAGGGGCACCGGGTCTCCTGGGAAGGCGCTGGCCCCGCCCCCGCTGCCCGCAGAGGCCCAATGCCCCAGCAGCCCCCCCACACACCCCCAGCCTGGGCCTCAGGTCTGCACCCAGGGTGGGGGCTGGGCGGCAGGGGGTCCCCTACCCCAGGAGCACACACCTGCCAGGACCCCCGCCTGCTGCCGAGCGGGGTCCT